CAGGAAAACACATCAGTTCCTCAGGTCCCAAGGCAGCTTTGGAGTGGAGGATGCTTAAAGCCCATTTCCTGAGCCACCGGGATGCTCTGCCGCAGAAGCCGAACTCCAGGACAGGGATGTCCCACCTCCATTCAATCCAGCAGGCACAACATCCTCCATCTTCTCCACCTCAAAGCCTGAGCTGCTTGTAGGGCTTCCAGCAATGCTCTGTATGTGAGGTGCCAGCAGGGCTTCCCATTGCTACCAGTAGGGCCTCCTATCACTGCTGGTTGGGATTCCTATCACTGCTGTTAGGGCTTCCAGCAATGCTCCGTACATGGGGTGCCAGTAGGGCTTCCCATCACTGCTGGTAGGGCATTCCATCACTGTTGGTTGGGATTCTCATTACTGCCAGTAGGGCTTCCCATCACTGCTTGTAGGGCTTCCAGCAATGCTCTGTTTGTGAGGTGCCAGTAGGGCTTCCCATTGCTACCAGTAGGGCTTCCCATTGCTACCAGTAGGGCCTCCCATCACTGCTGGCTGGGATTCCTATCACTGCTGTTAGGGCTTCCAGCAATGCTCCGTATATGGGGTGCCAGTAAGGCTTCCCATCACTGCTGGTAGGGCTTCCAGCAATGCTCTGTATGTGAGGTGCCAGTAGGGCTTCCCATTGCTACCAGCAGGGCTTCCCATCACTGCTGGTTGGGATTCTCATCACTGCTGGTTGGGATTCCCACTACTGTCAGTAGGGCTTCCCATCACTGCTGGTTGGGATTACCATCGCTGCCAGTAGGGCTTCCCATGGCTGCTGTTGGATGTCAAACTGCATGGAGGTGGTTTTGGGGATCGGGCAAAGGATGAGCAAGGCAACGAGCCCAATGGAGGAAAATCAGGATCAATCAAACCTGTTTGCCTGCAGGGATGAAACGGGGACAGCACATTGATGGCAAAGCTCCGGCCTGCCCCAATTAGTGCGTGAGAAGCGGGTTCCTCTTGCAGGGCAATGAAAGCAGAGCCAAGGGCAGGGGTGCAGCACAGATTGCTCCCAACAACCCCCACAGGCTGGGAAGTGTGCAAGCCGCCAGCATGCTAATGGCTCTTACGTAAAGCTGGTGGCATAGGGTGGGGGCTGACCCACATACAGGGGCTGGTGGCTGGCACCTGGGGACCTTCCTGCTGCGACGGGGGCAGCCTGCATCTTGGACCCCCTGCCCCATCCTGGCGCTGCTCTGCAAGCCTGGAGTTGGGGATCGCTGCTCTCAGTTGTGCAAACCGGAGGAAAAAAAACAACAACCTAAACAGCTTTCTCCAGTTATTCCTTCCTGCGAGGCAATGGGGAGGGAGGGGGAAAGTGCACAGTTCATTAAAGCAAAAGGGCAGGCGGCCAGAGAGCATCCTGGCAGGCAGCGCGATGCGTTTTCGCAGCCTCGCTGCCTCCCGACACAGAAGCTCCCCTTGTAGTGATCACAGCTGTTTGGATTTTACCCCAGTTCATATCACAGTTTATCAAAGGGGCTGCATTTTTTTTTTTTTCTTTCTATTTTTTCCTGAGCTTTGCTGAGGACAAGCTGAATGGTTCAGGCGGAGACAAACGCGGGTTTTGTTCTGCGCGTGGCATTGATGCTGGAGGGGAGGACAGAGGGATTTTCTGGGCATGGGAACATCCAGCATCAGTGGGCTCAGGGTAAGGATGAAGCAGTGCATCACCAGTGGATGGTGGCAGCATGGCAAGACCCTAACCCTATCCTACCCCTACCTCTACCCCTACACCTAACCCTGCCCCTAACCCAGACCCCCAGTGGTCTCAACATTCCCTCACGACTGTGCAGATCCATATAGGGTTCCCAACATCTCCATCCCCTCTGTGTTGTTGGGTGGAGGCAGAAGTCCCTCCCTGCTCCAAAACAGGAGACTGTCCCCAAGCCAAGGGCATCACTCTGCCCAGCACCATGTGCTAGGCTGACATCCTCTTCCAAGCACCCCCACCCTCAGCAAAGCAGGGCTGCACCTGATCTCCGTCACAGTGGGACTTTGAGATCCCAAGGACAGTGCAGGGTGTGGAGTTCTGCAGGTGAACCCTCCCCTACCCAAACTTGCTGCCCAGTGGGAACCTTGGGACTTTCCAGCTCACAGCTTAATGCCCTACGTTGGCCAAATAACCCCATCTGCTCCAGCAGAGTGGATCAGCTCGTGACCCCATGGGGTTCCTGCATCCCCCTGGGTGAAGTCAGGGAAACCCAAGGTGATGGATCTCTGTCCAATGGCCACCCTGTTACGTGCACCCCATAGGAGGAGGCTGCTGCACCACGGGGGATTTCACACCCCAGCTCTGTAAGACAAGCTTGGGCAGTGCCTGTGCCTCGGTCAGAGCACAGTGCTGACTCAGGCAGCCTCTGGTGCTCCCAAAAAGGGCTCCAAAGCCAAACCCTGCCCTGCAGCACACCCTGCACATGGGCATCTCCAGCCCAATGCACAGCCTGTGGGTTTTCTTGTTTAGCCACACTGCTGGGTCACCAGCCCTGCGCTCCCAGCAATGAACCTGAAAGCTGTGGGACAGGGCTCAGCCTTTTGCTTCATCCCTACATCCCACCAACAGGCGAGCACTAAATGAAGCCTGGAAACCTCTGTGCTGGCTGCCTGGACAAGCCCCGGCACAGCGGCTGTTCCTCTGCTTTGAGGCTGGCCATGTGGCTCCAAAAGGCATGTGATGCTTTGGAAGCTCCTCTGCATTTTTCTGCTGTTCCAGACCAGCATCGGGAGGCCAGTAGCTGAATGGGGATGTTTTCCTCTTGCTTAAGGGCTCCGCTGAGGACGGGACTCTTTCAGTGCTGCATGCCAGCTGGGGCAGATAGCTCTGAGTTAGAGGGAAAGGCTCAGCTTTGTGCATCAAGCAGAGAGCTAACACTGAAGGAAATCAGAATCTGCTTCCAACAACCACTCTGGAGCTACTTTGGGTAGAAAAGAAGAGGCAGGGCAGCCAGTTCTGAAGGCAAGACGGTTCTCAGCTCTGGAGATGAGCGCCATTGGCAGCAGGGCAGCTCCCCTGGCACATCTCCTTTAAAGCCAGGTCTTCCAAGCGGTCAGGGGGCGCTGCAATCAGGTGTGCACCAAACAGGCCCAGGGAGCCCCTTCCTGGGTGCTTCCCTTTCCCTTTCCTCCTGTCTCAGGCTCTGCTGTAGCCACATGCTCGCTCTGCATGCCAGGGCACACCGTGCCACACATGCAGTGCTGGATGCCACCAGGGCAAGGTGGCAGGCTGAGCAGGGCATTCTGTGCACCCACAGACCCCGTGTCCCTGAAGAGCAAGGATCCCACAGCTCGGCTCCTTGGGCACACGGTGTGCCATGACCTCTGCCTCCAATGCTCATCGGGACAGGGACCAAAGTCCTTTTGGAGTCAGCAGCCAGACATGCCCAAGCCTGAGCTGGATTGGAAAACAAACTGCCTTACCGCAGCCCCTCCGCTTGACCTCACAGACCTCAGCTTGCCCAGCACTGCCAACGTGACGAGGAAAAATGCTGCGTGGGCAGTAAACCCTGCGCAACATTTCCCTTTCCATCGAGCGCTAATCCTTGGGCTGGCAATCATTACCTCAGCTAACAGGTTTATCCCCTTCCCCGCTGCCCCAGCTCCACCATCCCTGGTGGCGGAGGGTGAGATCTCCCCACACCTCCCAGGTGGAAGCATGGGGTCAGCTTCTGTGCCCGACAGCTGAGGGATGCAACGCGGGAGGACGCATATGGCTTTCATTTGGAAAGCAGCTAAAAATAGCAGTGCGAGGCTCTGCCTTTGGTGGATCCCTCTGGCAGCAGATCAATCTTTTCCAGACAGTCCTGGAAAACTTCTCCTGCTCTGTTCCCATCTTCCTCACCCCGATGCAGTTAAGCCAACGCTTGCGCTGTCGTCAGGAGGATTCAGAGTTACTCAGCAGTGCCTGGGGCTCACCCTTCCCAGAAGTGCTGCCTTGGCCCCAGCCCAGGGCACACGTGAGCCACAACGTGACTTTTTTTTTTTGCACCGATGTGGATTTTTTGCACAACCAAACCCTGGGGTGAGAGTCATCCTCCCTCCCCCCACGTAGCACCAGTCTGAGTGGGGCTCCCAGCACACCTCCAGCGTGGCAACCAGGGAGGAACTGAAAGTGGCCGTCATATGAGAGAGCTTTTACTTGTGTCCCTGCCCAACCAGGGGACCCGTAGCAACTTTCCATACTCATTCATGCCACCCAAAGGTTTGGGCACAAAGCATTAAGCTGAGCCTGATACAGGACCCAGCCTGGTTTAGCAGTCTGGGAGCTTCTACACACTTCATTTTCTGAAGTGTGTGGCTTGCACACTTTGGAGAAGTAGTTCTCTTTTCCCACTGGAGCGTGCCTGTCACCACACCAAAACCAAGGGAGGAAGGAACCCCAGTCCTGCTCCCTCCCTCCAACATCCTTGCTGATTTTGCCTCGACCTTGCCTTTCCTTGATTGCTAAATCCATTATTTTGAAGCGAGTCGAGGAATTTATCTCCCTTGCCCCAGATTTCATTGCACTCAAGATGAAGCTCTGCCAGCTGTCATAACACTCGGTTTTCCAGCCTCTGTGCCTAACTGCAGCTACTAAACAGTGGAAGCAAAACCCACTCGTGTTGGGAATGAAGCTTCCACCAGGCAAGCACAGTGAAACCACGCTGATCTGCAGTGCTCTGAGCTGAGCCAGGTGGAAGAATTCGGTCCATGTGGCACCCTGAGCCACAGCCTGCCCTCCTGCCCCTGCTGCTCTGCTCACTTCTCAGCACAAACGGGATCTGACAACACTATTTAATAGGGAGATACTTTGCCTCAGGGCTGGGAGCAAGAAATATGGTGGTGCCTCAACATGCGAAAGGCAAGTCTGTTTGCTCTAGAAACGTCAGCACTGACTACCAGCAAGCGAGGGAGGCTTGCGGAAACCACTTCTGGCTGCTGGTGATGTGGGAGAGCACGGAGCTTGGCCCCTTCCCCCAGCCCACCCTGCCCATCCAGCGCTGGGGGCTGACCTGATGATGAAGGCTCCTCTCGTCTCCAGGAGTTTCCTCTCGCTGCTGAACCTCTTGAGCAGGTTGATCATGAACTTGTAGAAGTAGGAATTCATGGTGGGGGTGGAGGGAGAGCACTCCAAGCCTTTAGGTCCTGGGGAGGAAATGAGAGCAGATGGTTCACATTGGCCAAAGCAGTCTCAATCAGTGCACAGGCACCTAAAATATGGCAACGCACTTGTGGAGTTCCAAGCCTCAGCCTGAGCAGAGCCAGCACTCTCCATCCCAGGGGAAGTATCCTGACATATTTACAGCCTTGAGCAAGCACACAGGGATGAAATGGGCTCTGTGGGAGATGGCCACAGATCCCACCAGTTCTAGCAGCTGACAGAAGGGGTAGCCAAGCTCTGAGTAAATGCACAATCCCATATCTTTGGGTAAAACTTGTAAAGCCATTCCACAAAGCAGACAGCCCCCGTGTGCCAGAGATGCTCCAAGCCATATTTTCAGCAGCACCATGCTGCTGCAGGTGACACAGGCCCACTTGGTCTGTCACCTCCCCATGCCCCAGGGCTGGTAGGATGGGCACAGAAGCCCAGTCACAACGCAGCAGGGAGCCAAGCTTACAGACTGGAAGGCTCTTTCATGATTCCTCCTCACACACCTGGCTCAGGGCTGGAGGATTAGGATGGCAATGGGATCACAAGGGGTCACAGCATGCTGGGTGAGCAGCACCACCGTGGCTGTTTGCAGGGCTCTCCCTTAACATCCCCTACAAGTGGAGGAGCACAGTGAAGCTGTGCACAGCCCGACATGGTCAGGGCTCCCATTGGGCTCCAGTGGAGACACGTGCAGTTTGATTTACGAGTGGTGTCTGCTTCTGTCGGGATTTAGCAGAGCACGGAGCAGCCAATTAAAAAGGCAATCAGGCAGCCGAAGCCTGGGCTGATGGAAAAGTCGCTGGGCTGATTCCCACTGCGCTGATGGCAGCGATACGGGGAGGTGCAGATGTGAGCATCCAAAAGGATGGAGCAAAACCTGCTGCAGAGGCACGGGTGCCTCCTTCCCATGGGATCCCCTTCCCCAGTACAGCTGAAGCCCTGAGCTGTGCTCTGAAGCAGGCCTCTCCCCGAGCACAAGCGTGAGCCACAGCATCGTGTTTCCCCTCAGCTGCAGGTAAGCTGATCTGGGCAAAAATATTACACTGCTGAGACAATGTGCTCCGAAACAAAGGTGTGATTGTTTCCAGGCATGGATCACCCAGAGTGAAACCACAGCCGTGCCCGGCGTGTCGCTGCTACAGCTGTTAGCACTTCTCACCAGTGCCTGCAAAGGGGAACAGCCGCACACGGGGCAGCCCTGCACCCAACCCAACGCACTGAGGCTGCAACCCATCCAGGGGAAGTGCTGTCCCTGCGAGTCCCTCCATCCTCAGGACTCCCCTTTTATGTCTCTGCCCCCCCTCGTTGCATGGGCAGCAGCACAGCGCTCACCCTGGATCTGCCATCGACCCCTCTACATCTTTCAGACTCACCGCTTCGTCTCATGACTTCTAGTGGTGGCAGTTGGAAGCCAATAACACAACGCATCTTAGAATCACAGAGTCACTGGGGTGGGAAAAGATCTCTCAAACCCCCAGGTCCAACCCCAGCCCACCCCAACCATGCCCACTGAGCACACATCCCTCGGTGCCACATCCCCAGGGCTCTTCAATCTCAGCCTGTGGCCCCATGGGTTATGGCTCAGCGCACTGAGATCCGGCGTGGGAGAGCTGTGTGAGCAGCTTTCAGTGTTTCCATGCAGCACGAGAGACGAGCAGAGAGGTGTGACGAAAACTGTGGCTCGGTTCATTGAAGCTTGCACCTCTCCCCCTTCCCCTCGAGTGAGACTTTGCAGATTTGTAAGCTGACAGATCGGCTGCGAACGCACCACGAGCGGGGCTGCCGGGGGTTTGGTTGGTACCCAGGAGGAGCAGGAGGAAGATCCCTGCTTAGAGCAGTGACAGAGCTCAGCCTGGGCTCAGCTGTAATAGGAACAAAAGGCAATTTCTTGTCTGCAACAGAACTGAACGCGGGCACTGCTTGGATCTGCAGGTGGGAACAATTTCGGCCCCAAAAGAGCAGTGATGCAATGGCACAGCTGCCCAAGAGCTGGGGGAGTCACCGTCCCTGGAGGTATCCCAGAGCCATGGGGATGTGGTACTGAGGGATGTGGGCAGTGGGAATGGTGGGGGGTGGGCTGGGGTTGGGGGATCTGTGGTCTTTTCCAACCTTCATGATCCTATGATTTGCTGACTGCTCCCAACTCCTCTCAGCTGAGTTTTGATGCTCAGAGTGACCCCCAAAACAATTTTTCTCCCCTCCAAGTATCCAACGATGCTATTACACAAAGAGCCCCCCAGTACCCTGGGCTGGAGAGCAGCAAACCTCACCCAAGGGAAGCTCCCAGCCTGGCAGTGGGCTCCTGCAGCACCCAGGCTCACCACATTGCTGGTGTGCTCCTGCAGCTGTGTTATAAATCAAAAGAGACAGGCAATTAGGAATCCATATTAAGGGCCTTATAAATATATATTGTCACACAGCCTGCTTCCTTCAAGCCACCTGGCTGCCTGGCGGATGGAGCGGGCTCCAAACCTGCAGTGCCAAAGCATCCTCAAATGCTCAGGCATTGGATTTGCCTACATCAGCCACTAAGCACCAAACTTTACCGTCACAAGTTCCGCTCATTTCCCATAATTGGCTTCAAACTGGGCTTAATTAAAACCAGTGCAGACTTGCTTAACTCCAATGAAACCAAATTTAAGTGTGATCTGACCAGAACTGATTCCTTTCTGAAGCAGCATAAGCTGTTTAATGAGCAACCACCAGGACACTGGTGCGGGTTTAGCTGCAGTGATTGACTTCATGTTGCAATTGAGGCAATTTCAGTGCAGACCCAGACTGGGTGATGGGGGGGAGAGGCTGGGAGCTGGCAAGGAGCACTGCAGGGTGGGTGCTGCGTCTTCATTCCCATAAAAAGGGTAATTGGAGACTGCTTCCTCACTCACAAAACGCTTAGTATGATCGAGGGTCTGGGAGGAAGCGTTGCCTCCAGCAAGATTTCCAGCATCGAGACAGAGCAGCTCCTGCATCCCACTGCCATGCTCTGCGTGTGGATGGGGCTGCTGGAGCCCAGCATCCCCCCCATTCCCTCAGAGCTCACTCTTCCAGCACTGACTTCCTTAGGCTACCCCTGCATGCAGCTGGCCCCAGCCCCATGGAGCTCAGCACAGCCCCACGTAGGGACGTGGGAATCTGCTCTGTACCTCCCCCAGCAGCCTTCTTCCCTTCCTTCCCTTCCCTAGGACGTTTTCAATCGGAGCAAAGCCTCGCAGAGCAGGATAAAAATAGAGCTGTAAAAAAAATAAATGAAATAAAGGCAGACTCCCCCTGCAAAACCCAGCATGGGGCGTAGCTGGAAACAGATGCGAGAGCGTCGGCAGCTCAGCTGGGCTCTGAGAGACGTCAGCTCAGCCCTCTCCAAAGCACAGGATGCTGCTGAGGAAAGGAACACTCTGAAAGTACCGACGGTGCTTGGCCCTGGTTGTGCTCTGCCTGCTCCTGCCCTGCTCCCCATGTGGCCACCACTGCCCTCTTTGCTATCTGGGAGACCTCAGCACTGAGAGGTCCCTGGTGGGGGACAGCAGTGCCCTATCCATGCCCTGCTGCAGGCATGGCAGCCAGCTGGCATCACCCCATGGCTGATGGGCAGGGGAGAAGGCACATCTGGATGCCTAATGAGGCTTTTCCTGCTGTCTTTCAGGCTGTCATTTAGGGGACCCTCATACCCTCATCCTTTTCAGGGTGCTGAGCTGACAGAACTCAGACCCCTCATTTACTCCCGTGCTTCTGATCCCTTGAAACCTGCCTGCAAATAAGCTCCTCTGTGAGCAAGTGCTCCATTTGGTGGCATCTGCTGCATCCTGGCAGCAGAGGATGAGCATGGATGGGTTTTGCTTTGCAGTGACCAAGAAGGACAGAGAGAAGCCCAGGTGATGGCACAGCACTCATCACCTTCCCATCAGTGCCTGAACAAAGCAGACCACGTTTCTTAGGGATTGTTAGCAGGCTGCTCAGGAGTAATCCACAGAATCCTGAGCGCTGCTGGTTGAAACTAATGACCTCAAGCGTGTTAGCACACCCACGTATGAAGTCAGCCTCCCCATAAACATCCCCTGGTGTGATGTGCTCTGAGGGCACGTCAGTGTCCCCACCACCTCCGGTAGGAAGCCAGCTAGGAGGGACTGCAGGGAGAGGAAGGTGCCTCCTGCAGAACAAAGGGTTGTGGTGCTGCTCCGTGCAGACAGGAAGGGATGTGCACACGGAGCTGCTGGGGCTGACAGCCTTTTGGAGGGGCTGCCCTCCAACTGTGCAGAATTGAGCTGAAGAAGTAGGCTGCAGGGCTTGCACCATGGTGGTAACCACTCGTGGGCCATCTGCTGCTTGTACCTGACTTTGGTGTGGTTGGTAGAACAACCCTGTAGTAAAGCTGCTGGAAGCCAGACGGGTGCTTGGACTGTCACCCCAAAGAGGTGCCAGCCCCAGGCTTGTTCCTGCAGCTCCTCTCCTGTCACTGGGATCTGCCACCCAGGGTCACCAAACAGGGCATCTGATGCACGGCTCACCATCTGCCTCTGCATCAGGGATGCTCCAGCAGCACTTGAACCACTTGAGATGGCAAATGCGAGACGTGGCAGTGAGAAAACGCACGGCTTTCCCTCTGGTTTTCTCCAGCTACACCTCCACAGAGCCCTGGAAAAAGCAGGCAGAAGGGAAGGCAGAAGGTAACAGAGGGACTGCAGAAGGCTCAGCTGCCCCATGCAGGCAGGAGGAGGCCTGCCGGGACTCCCACACACCCCTTCTCACCTCGTTGTGCCAGGAGAAGCTGTTGGAGGGCAGCTGACCTTATGTAATGGGAGAACAAAGCAGCTAAATAAAACCCCGAGCTGGGAACAGGCTGCGGAAGTGGGACACCGTTTTCCTGACTAATCACCCAGCATCTGAAGGAAACACGAGTGAATGGCAGGGAAACAACTGCATAAACACATCCCGAGGGAAGAAAGGGTGAGAGAGGAAGTGGGGGAAGCCCGCGGCGTGGCATGGGCCCCTTCTGCCTCCCCTGCTGACTGCGTGGGGAGAGTGGCACAGAGAGCCGCTGCCCGGGCAAGGGCTGGAGATGGCCACGCTCACCCACCTGCAGAGCTGCGTGCTGGGATGTAGGACAGAAGCAGAGCTGGAGTTACTCAGTCCTGCTCCCAGCGAGGGCATGAAGGCAATGGGGTGACCCCAGGGGGAAGCACCAGAACTCTGCGGCCTGCCGTCCAGTGTTGGTTGTGCGATGGCATCCTGCTTCCAGAAAGAGCTCCAAGCCAAAGCATGGCACAGAACTGCCCGGGGAGGACTGCTCCTGTCTGCTCCAGTACAAAACAGTGCCTTTCCCACTGGTGCAGTCACACACAGTCACACCAAGCTCCTCAGTGCCACTTTAGCTTTGCTCCCTCTAATCGCACACCATTACACCAGCACCACGTTCAGGTGTACGGATTTCCACTGGTTTTGTTCCAAAACCCCAAGAACACCCTCACCAAAACAACCCTTCAGCAAAAAGAGCTTGTTTCAAAGAGCCCCCACTTTCCCACCATGACACAGGAGGCTCCCAGCCCTGCTGTGACCCCTGCACAGCCCACAGCCCATTTGCAGAACTGGGGAGCACCCACCTTTGGGTAAAAGCCGACGCATGTGCAAAGCTCAACTCTGGGAACCTTTCTAAAGAAGAAGAAAGCAAACGAGGTGACCGAAGCAGAGCGCATCACAACCCATGTGGATTCTCAGAGCTGGAGCTCTGGCTGCAGCAGCTCTGCTGAACACGGAGAGCAGCACCAGACTCCTTTTCAGCGTTGCACTCGCAGAACCGAAGCCAAGTTGCTCTTCCAGAGAGCTGAGGGGCCACGGCAGCCGTTCGGCCGCACGCCATGCAGCCTGCTATTTTTAGATAATCCACAAGGAAGGAAACCTCAGACAGCCATCGGTGTGAGCTGAACTGCAGCCCTTTGGCAGCACCGTGGGGCTGCTCCACCCGTGTGGGCTCACATCAGTGGCAATTCACCCCCCACCCTCCATCCTGCATGTACCAGGCAGGCAGAGCTGCAGGAAAACGAACCCTGGGCAGCCCATGGATTGCCAAAACCTGGCTGCTTTCTGCTGCAGTCCAAGGAGGGGGAAAATAATCGGTGTTCTTCAAAGAAAACAAATGCAGGGAGCGGAACGCATGGCTGCGGCGCTGGTTCTGCTGCGCAGGGAGGGGCTGCCTTGGCTCTGCTCTGAGTTTACAATCCACAGCTGACATGAAATGTGCCTTTGGCCAGGCAGACCTGGCGTGGGGAGCACAACGGGGAGGCTCCGAAATAGCAGCAGCAAAAGCAGCAGCCGAGGAGAAGGGGCAGCCAACGAATAGTGGAGGATGAGCCACGGATGGGGGGGGAGGTGGAAAAAGCTGCCCAATGTGCCGGGATGATTAATGAAGGGCTTTTTCCCCCTGTCCAAACAACAGGACTGTCCTTCTGCATCTCTCCTCCGAGGTCTCCACAGTGCTCACAGCAACGCCACAGTTTGCATTCAGCACATGCAGCCACAAGCCAGCAATGTACTGCATCACAGGCACAGAGGAGCTGTGCGTGCTGAGCACCTGGGTTTATAGCGAGCACCCAGACTGAGCTGCTTTTAGGGACTTGGAGGGCTCTTATGAGAAGACAGGCTGACACCCATAAGGGTGTCCCATAAAGAAGGGCAATAACAACATCCTTCTGCACTAAGCTCTGCAGCATCTGCCCAGGGATGTGGGGAGTCGTCATTCCTAGAGGTGTCCCAGTGGGGATGTGGCACTGAGGGACGTGGGCAGTGGGCATGCTGGAGTGAGTTGGGCTCAGGGATTTGAGAGCTCTTTTTCAATGGTAATGATTCTATAACCTTGCTGGTCATTGTGTTCTTACCCCAGAAGATGAGCAAGGAGAAAGACCAAAGTAACACAGACAGCCTTGGCCTACCATTCAGAGTGCAGTGCAGGACACATACCTGAAGAGCTCAGCTGGCTGTTCCGAATGGGGACGTGGAGCTCCACCTGGCTGGGTCGTGGCTCTGCAGCCTCGGAGGGGCCATATCCCTCTGTCTGTCCTGCTGGAGAAGAGGCAATCTCAGCCAGCACTTCCAGGTCCTTGAGGATAACCTGTGAGGAGATGGAGAGCATCGGTGAGCAGGCACAGAGCAGCTGAAGGTGAGCTTTGCCTTCCAAAATCACTGCCAGAGCATCAAATCCCTGCATGACACAAAAGACGTAGAGAAAACAGGGGTACCTATCAAGTTCAAAGTGAAGATTTCAAATGATTGCCCAGGAGCTGGGGCAGGAAAAGCAGCAGTGAAGTCCCCATCCCTGCATGTACCCCAGAGCCATGGGGATGTGGCACAGAGGGCCGTGGGCAGTGGGCATGGTGGGGCTGGCCTGGGTTGGGCTTGTCAATCTTAGTGGTCTTTTCACTTTCCTGCCCAACGAGAAAATTCATTCTATTTCTATTCTGCAGGTCCCAAGGAAGCAGGGGAAACTAAGCCACACTGTGCAGCTGGGAGCTCAGCCTGCTTCTCCCAGTCTGGGGAGGTCTGGGTTTGCTCCCTCTCAGCACCCGAGAGCTGCTCCCTCGTTCCAGCCATCTGCTCAGCCTGTGTAACTATATATAGCACTTCTGGAGAAGTTATTACAGGTTGGTGCTTTTTTTTTTCCCCCCTCAACTCTTCTCATGTCTCGAGCTATTTTGGGTCCCTCTCCAACCCGATGTCCTTGGGCACAGACATCTCGTCACTCTTCCCTGATGCTCTGAGCGTACCAGGGCTGCCAGAAAAGCCTCACTGCACAGCTGCACCCAGCACAGGACATCCAAGTGCAATGCTGAGGACTTCTCATGCACTTCCCAAGCCAGGGGCATCTCTCCGTGGAGATGCATGAGATGGGAATTTCAGCTACCAAGAAAACCCTCATCCCGAAGAAAACAAAAAACGATGACATCTTTTTACATGTGCACAAGTTGAAAATGAGACCCGTGATAATGTGTTGCATGGGTAGTTGAAGTTATTTAGTGCAGTTACAGCTGATTTTTAGGCCCCATTAGCCTGAGCAGGTGGTTCTCAGAGCTGGCCGTGGGAAGGTGCAGCAGTACTGTGAGTGGTAACCATGCTTGGGAGGACCCCCATGGGCATAAACACAACGAAATCCCAGCGTGGGGCAACTGAGGGGAGGAGAAAAGATGACAACAGCAGCTTTGGCAATGAGGAACCATCCCTGAAGACAGAAGAATGCAGCCCAACCTATGGCTGCTCTGCAATGTTGTCACTGATGGGACCTTGTTGCCATTGTGGGATGTCACCAACGTCATCAACTCTCATCCTCTTACAGGGAAGGGAGCCCGTGGCTCCCCATAGAGAGAACTCACTCCTCTCCCCCTCCTGGTTTTGCAGGGATTTCAAGCCTTGGTTGCTGAGATAAAGGAGGCAGGGGCAGGAATGGAGCAGGATGTGGCACTGAGGGACGTGGTCAGTGGGCACAGGGGGATGGGTTGGGGGTTGGACTCGGTGATCTTAGTGGCTTTTTCCAAGCTTAATGATTCTGTGGCTCTACAACACGGTCCCAGCCCCCTGCCTGGCTGTGACAATGCCCACCTTAGGCTATCAGCCTGGATATCTCAGCATGGACAACACCAGCAGCTTCAACAATAGGACCACAATTGAAATTCACCCCCATTGCCTCCCAAGGCCTTAAATCCCACAATTTACCCTTTCATCCGCACGGTCTGGATTTCCTAATTGCAAAAACACGGAGGAAATAAGAACCAGGAGGGATGGCGCATAAAGACCCAGAGGATGAGGAGCAGTGGATGTGAAGAGCTGGGGTTCTCCAGCCGTGGGAACGAGGCAGGGAGCCCAACCTCCTCTCTGTGTGCTGCAGAGCAGTTCCCAGCCCCGGTGGGACAGAGCAGAGCCAGAGCACTTGGTATGCGCTGCACATCCCTGAGATGGAAGCTGGAAGAAAGCAATATCCTGCAGGAGCACGGGGCTGCCACTGCCATGGCAACGGGCCGGCTGCGCCAGCAGAGCTGGTCCCATCCCTCTGCAAAAGGGACGGAACCATTCCCAGCTCCCGGGCAAGGGATGGGTCAGGCAATGGGAGAGCATACGGGAGCCAAGAGCTGGGCAATGCGGGAGCCCTGGGGGATTTTTAGGGGTGTGGTAGCCCTGCAGTGAGGATGTGAAGAGGGCGGGAGGCCCCACACCTTGCACAGATCCCAAAAAGCTCCTTCCATGCGCTGGTGAGGATGCACGCTGATGCCAAAAAGCACTGTGGTGGAGGCCCTGCAGTGAGGACTGCCTCTGCCCTGCCTGGAGTCTCCAAGTGTGATTTCCCTGGGGGCTGCAGAAATCGATGAGATTCAGGGCAACACGTTTCTCCTTGGGGCCAAAGAGCAGGAATGAGCCCCTAAAGCAGGGTGGCTTTGCAGGACACATGGTGCTGCAAACAGTGGGTCAGGCTGTGGCTCGAAGCAAACCTCACAGCCAGGAATGGGTTACGGGATGGCTGTTCTAAACGAGCAGCTATTTCTCAGCCCTGGGAGCAGTGAAACTGCTCTCCACATTGCCTCCAGAGCACAGATTTTGAGGGCACACAGAGCAGAGAGCCGTGGGTCTCTTCAGATGTAGGTCAGGTTCATTTGTCCCTTGTTCTGGTTGAGTTGAGCCTGCAGTAGCACTGCCATCATGCGTGCTGGCTCACGTAGGAGCGGGTGGACGGATGCCCCCATGCTTCCTTGGGTGCTTTCCCACCTGGATTCTCCTGCTACTCCCACGGATGGGCAGAGCCAAGGCACTGCATCAGCTGCATGTGATAAGGGCATGGACTGAGCTCCTGAAGGTGCTGCTATTTAAGGAAAACCCTAAAAAAAGAGAAGATTAAAGCATGCCTACACTAAGCACAGCCTTGTATGTCCCTGGGCAACAACAGGGACGTGTGACACCACAAACAGCCGAGCAGAGCAGAGGATGGAAGCCCAGCTGGAGCGTGATGCCCCCAGGGTGGATAAGAGGAAGGGCTGTAAAAGCTCTTCTTCAAAAGGGACTGAGATTGAGGAGCAGCACTGCCACAATGGTCCTCGCTCTGCTCTGCCACTCCTGGCAGCCCCTCACTACACCCAGGCTCCTTCAAGGCATGCAGAGCAGCGTTTATGCTGCTTTGGTGCGTTTTTTTGTCTACCTCTGAAGCTTCCAGATGCAACCAGGAAGGGAAGAATAAGCCATACCAGAGCCAGGAGTCCAACCGGCAGCACTTGCTGGGCCTCAGGCATGCAAGGTGTGAAAAGCAAACTCACATGCCCCCCCCTCTGCAGCTTTAAAAACATGAAAAGAAAGAGAAGCCCACCATTAATCTTCCCACAGCAATGTAACCAGGGCTCTTTTCAGGCCCCCAGCACAGTGACTTCTCTCCCCTGATCCTGCCAAGCCCTTTTCTTTCTCTTTTTTCACAGCCGCTGGGTTTCAGCCTGCTGCTGGGAGGGGATGGAGCAGCGCTCCTCACATCTCTGTGGCATTTGCTTCAGCTGGCAGAGCAGAATGAAGGCTTCCTTTCTCCCTCTGCTACAGGAAAATCCTCCCAGGCCATGCGAGCACACCTTCATGGCAGCAGCAAACACAGCAGGAAGGAGGGAGGCGGTTCACCAAAGCTAAGCACCTGGGTCATAGCAACTCTTCCTGCCAGCACAGGCTGGGGGATGAAAGGATGGAGCACAACCCTGCTGAAAAGGACCTGGGGGTACCAGTGGCTGGCAGCTGGGCAATGTGCCCTCGCAGCCCAGAAAGCCAACTGGGCTGCATCCAAAGCAGCACGGCCAGATCCAATAGCGGCCTTTCAGTATCTAAAGGGGTTGTAAGAAAGAAGGGGACAGACTCTTCAGCAGACTGTTGTGATAGGACAAGGGGATATGGATTTGAACTAAAAGAGGGGAGATGCAGGTTAGAATTAAGGAAGAAGTCCTTCGTGCTCAGGGCAGTGAGGTGGTGGCACAGGCTGCACACAGAGCTGGTGCTGCCCCATCCCTGCACACAGCCAAGGTCAGGGCACGGGGCTGTGAGCACTGATGGAGCTGTAGGTGTCCCTGCTCAGTGCAGGGCTGGGAACAGACAGCCTTTAGGGTCCCCTCCAACACAGACAGTTCAACTACAAACTACGTACACGTGTATTGCAGCCCTTACCTTCAGTCCCTAACCACATAATTACAGCCTAGTGCTGTGCTGAGCCAAGCTGCTCCCCACGGACCAGCCTCCCCCTCAGAAACCTCCCAGCCCAGCACGACGTGGAGCACGGAGCAGCTTTCAACCCGGTGCCCTCGCCTTTCCTCGAGTCCTTATAGCACACAGAGAGCATCATTCCATCCCGCTGCACCAAGCAGTGTGATTGCTGCTTGCAGGCTGCCTGCATGGACGTAAGGTTGGGCTGACCGCATTTTCCATGATCCAACTTAAATTATATACCTCTCTCTCCACCCCACCATTAAAGCCCTAAAGTACACCCTCAAGTGCAACTTCTGGAGAACGGGTAACCTCCCTGCTTTGGTATCCAAGCGCCTGGAGTCTCTCCCTGGAAAATATTTATCACATAAATATCAAAATATTTATAAAAATCACGAAAACAAAAGCCAGGCACGCTCAGTGCTCTCCTCCCTGTGCACTCGCCCTGCTCTCTGCTTTGCACGGGATCACAATATTCTAGCGGTGCTGAATTAAAGGCCGGGAGCTGGAACACAATGGACCTAAAACCAACAGAGCACAGCTGAAAACCAAACCTCACGAAGACGGCGATTCGCTCTGGCACAAGCTTTTGTTAAGCTTCATTGTGCTGCGGATCGGGCGCAAGGGGAGACATTTGCTGGGATTTAATAGGACGGCACAGCTCAGAGAGCTGCCAGAATGCAGCCCGATGCTCAGAGCCACCACGTTTTGTCACCAGGGAGTAAAATACACTCGTGAATGACAACATCCTGGGCTCAGGACAGGGCCCCAGCTCCCCATCACTTGCCAGGTGCAGAAGCGGGCTTCCAAAGGACGCAAGCTAAGAGATCATCGGGATTTTCTTGCTGATTCCAAAGCCTGCATTAAGGCAGTTTTCCTCTAGCAGAGTAGAAGGGAGCTGGGCTCTATCCTGCTTCAGATCAGACACCAATCCCACCACTGCTCCTGGGTAGCAGCGACAGGATGAGAGGGGATGGCCTCAAGTTGCACCAGGGGAGGTTCAGGTGGGACATTAGGAACAATGTCTGCCCCAAAAGAGTGATGCAAGGGGGAGTCACCATCCCTGGAGGCGTCCCAGAGCTGTGGGGATGTGGCACTGAGGGACGTGGGCAGTGGGCACGATGGGGTGGGTTGGGCTTGCGGATCTGAGAGGTCGTTTCCAGTCTTAATGGTTTTGTGATTCATCCCCCAACCCCGCTGAGTCAGAAAGAAGTCCCAGCCCACAAGACCAACAGCATGACGGGGCATGTATGAAACTCCATGCTGGAGCTGGAGAAAGGAAAACGAAGCCAAACAAAGAAAATAAATGGGGTCATAACTTCTCATTTTTCTCTGCTGCATTCACCTCAATACGGTACCTGGAATCCAGGCTGGGATGAGCTGAGCAGCTAGGAGCTGCCTCTGCAACAGCCTGCAGAGGGTGATAACCCAACGAGCAGGTCCTGCCCTCTGCAGCAGTGCTGCATTTAACCGTGAGTGCTGGACTGGGGCTTCCACTCTTCACCACCTCTGACATCAGCTCTCAGCCTCACGCCAGCAGGTAGCAGAGCTGAGAAAGATGAAAGCAGCAGCTTGTGCAGAGAAAAACACTCTCCCCAGCATCCTGCTATCTCGGAGCTGTAAGGAAGTTTTTAACCACATCAAATTTTAACTGCAGCTTTTAAAGGTTGCCTTCAAAACCAGCTCACAGACACACGTGGATGGGCGAGCATGCAAATCAGAGCACGGTGACGCAGGGCAGCAACGCAGAACCTGACAGCCAGGAGCCTCACATCCCGACTCGTCTACATATCAAAGAGAACTGCTTGCTTCAGCTTTGCTCCAGCTTCTCTGTATTGCATCTGTGGATCCTAACTGGGTCTCTTGGCAAAATCTGGGCGCTGACATTCCAGATCAGCCATTCCAATTTGTCCCCACCCTTCTCAGAAATGCCCAGCTTGTACCCCCCTCTTCTACTTTGGCCACTTCTATTTTCTCAGCAGAGCTGGTTGGGAGCCAGCTGAGCAGTGATGTTTAATGGATTGACTTGTCGATGGATTTCCTCAAAAAAAAAAAAAAAAATCCCCCCCAAACATTTAAATAAATAGAAGACAGGATTAAATAAATCAGCTTAGAATTACTTTTGAGCCATTCCCAGTTAAGTCACATGGAGGAAATGCATCACCAGGGTCCTTTCTTCGCTGCTTTTTTCAAATATTAATAAGCAGTGTAATTGCAACATGACTCACAGCAGTCTCCTGCCAAGCTGGAGAGCCTATCTGCGAGATGCAGGCTTTCTGGAGCATTGCAAAGGCAGATGTGTGCTTGGGGACTCTTTTGGAGAGGTCTGCGTCGTAAGCAGCAGGGTATGGAAAACGGCCAGGCAGCCGCTTGCCTTTGCAAGTCATTCCCTTGCTTGCTCATTCCCTTCCCTCCTCTCTTCACAGCCCCCTCACAACAAGGGATTTATTGTGGAGTTGGGTGCCCTGAGCGTGTAATCTGGTGCAGAGAGCACGTGACTTCTATTCCATGAGGAAGATCTGATGTGGGAAATGCTGAGGATCTCTGGCAGCTCTGCGCAGGATGCATCCAAACCCGGGGCAGCTGAAGGCAGAGGTGTTAGCAGGGCCTGAGCCAAGAGAGCCTAAGCTGCCAGCATCCCACCCGAACACCACAAGCGCTCCAGAGTGCAATGCAGGGGTGAGAAAAAGAGAAAGGTGCCAATACTGAGGAGACCAGACTGGGAAAAAAAGTGAAGGAGCTAGCTTGGAGTTGGAGAGTTCTGCATTGAGAAGCCAAAGAGCAGGCAGGAAGGCACACAGTGAGGCCAGAGCAAGCTGGCTCCCCTGTGGCTGCTGGATTTGTTTTGCTCCCTCTGAGCCAGCCTAATGCTGCTGCAGATCTAACAACAAGGTGGCAAGCTGCTGCCAGAAAGCTAACTCCTAAGGCACGGCTTGGGGCAGATGGGCTTAGTCCTCAGCTCTGTCTCTAAGCCCAGCATGTCAGGCCAAGGCGACGAGGTTGCTGGCCAAGCCTTCTGAGCAACCTGATGGAGCTGTAGGCGTCCCTGCTCATGGCAGGGAAGTTGGACTAGGTGGCCTTCCGTGGTCCCTTGCAACTCAAACGATTCTCTGATTCTCCCCAGCACTGCTGCTCGCCGGCCGGGCCCAGCGTGGTTGCTCAGAGGATGTCTCAAAGGCATGTTGACACAGACTATGAGGTAGTGTCTGACTTCTGATTCAAATGACATGGGAAGGGGAGAAAGAAAGAAGCCTGTCCCGCAGTCTGGCGTGGCATTTTGGTGGGGGGAATGTATATGTGCTGGGGTGGCTCTGGGAAAAACCCGAAGAGGCTTTGGGGCACTGAGCATAGCTCCACCAGGCAAAGCTGCTGCTGCTGCTGCTGAACCGTTTTGCTAGGGCTTGCCTCTAAAATTTCCCGGTATCTACAGGAAAATATTCCCTTCCTGTGTTCGCAGCTGTCACACAGTGTCTGAATTCCCACTCACCGAGGACCTGGCCAAGACCCATTCCCAGGCATAGCACTGGGGTCTTGACTCCCAAACTGAGACTTGAATCCCGGGCAAGCAAAGAAGATACATACAAGTAGGTTTTGAGGGACTGGCTCTCTGAGGAGGCAGAAGAAAACAGTCTAACTGAGACAGAAGGGGCTTCAGTTGTGCAGCTCTTTGCACAGGTCCTTGTTTGGTTTAGCCAACAGGGCTGAATGAACACCCCAATGCCAAAGCTGGCCAAGCCCTTGAAATCCCTTTGTCTAACCCAACCGTACCAGACAAAGCTTTTCCAAAGCTTGGTTGGATGTGGGGATGTGCAGGGCCTGCAGCACTTACCTCATCTGACTCATCTGAGAGGGTCCGCAGCAAGATGGGGAAGAGGCTGTCGGTGTGTCGGAACATCTAGAAGCAGGGAGGTGAATGGCATCAGTTCCACAGACAGATCAACACTCACCAAAGGAGGGTGCACCCCGAGAGGCTGCTGAGAGCTTTGCCAGCGTTCTCCATCTCACCTGAAAGCATCTCCCTTAAGCTACTAGGGTAGCAGCAGCCAACCTCCTCATGAAAAATGCAGGCACTTGGTGACAAAGCAGTTTGCAGGCAGACCTACTTCTGGGGCAGCACAGCGCAGCTGTAGCCACTACACACGCTTCAAAGGCCCATGAACAAGTCATGCAACCATTCATAGTGTCATATATCTACCTTTTTTTCCTGCAGAGCTACACCACCACCAACTCCCACTGCCCAACTTCAGCCTAGGGGCTTGTTAATCCCACAGTTTTTACTCCTAAGACTCCTGGCATTCCAGCAGTGTCAGCCCCATGGCAAGTCAGTGTTGTGCTTGGGCCTTCTGTAGCACCTCCATCTGATTCAGGTCCCAGCAGATTAAGGAACGAAGGCTAAAGCTTGGGTGCCCCTTTCCAACAAACTCAGTCTCGTGGAGGAAGCAATGGGCTCCCGTGCCGAGTCCTGGACCTACCTTACGAGGAGTCTTGATGTACAGGTGATAGAGCCATTTCAGGACTGCAATTCTGGTCATCATGCCAATGGATGTATCATGCAGGTGGCAATCCAACACCTGAACTATTCCATCCAGGTTGAGTGTCACCTGGATTCTCTCAGAGCTGCACGAAAAGGAGAAGAGCTGGTTCAGCACTGCGATGCCCAATGCAATCCCCCCAGGGTGGAGAGGTCTGTAACACACCAGAGCCTTCATCCAACACCTCAGCTCAAACCCTAAGCAACCTAAATCATCCCTGTGGCCTGATAGAAGAGCCAGGAAGCAAGCTCAGGGCTTGCAAGGGGTCATAGCAATGCAGGCCAGGCATATGCTGCATGCATGCAAGGAATCAATTCAGCCTGAGGAAGGAAGATCAGCAACACCCAAATAGCTCTGGCTTGGCTGCCTGCAGGCTTCCAGCTGCTCCAACCACACAGCCTCACCCATGCTGGCTTGCTGCACCCCACTGCTGCTTTCCTCAGGTCTCCACATCTGCTCTGAAAGGGAGCAGCAAACACGATGGGTCCAAAGAGCAGACATTTGCCCACATGGTGCAGATTAGATTCTGATTGGCATTACAAGAATGGGAAGCACGGGGAGAGACACAGCAGCGCACCAAAAACTTGCCTTGGAAAGAACAAAAAATTCCCAGGCTTCGAGCTTTACCACTTTCCCAAAACAGCTGGTACCTACACATGACAAAACACCACGCCAGATGAATCCTGCAGCACGATGACACTGAAGAACTGGCTTGTAGGGCAGCCATCAGGTTTGGGGTACAAGGCTGAAGACCCATCACGTGCATTTGGGACCCAACTCAAGCTTGGTTGGGTTCACACACCTCCAAAAAACATCCAACCAAATGCCCTCAGACTTCATCCACTGGGGCCACTCCACAAGGTGAGGGTGCTCAGCCCCCACTAACCCAGCAGGCTCACACCACTGACTGTAGATGGCACAGTGGTTTTTGGGATGCAGCTCTCTGCTACGGGGCTGCCTTGAGAGCTAAGTCACTCCTCTCCTGCTCCAGCTACTGAATTATTCAAGGCTGGGCTGAGCTCCTGCAGGTTTTTCTAGCGTGCTCAGAGCTCCTCTGCATCGTGTTTGATAAGAAATCCTAAGGGGCAGATTTCTCATGGTATAATTTGCAAGTAGAACGGCGGCTTAATAGGATTTGATCTTCCCCAGGACACATGTTGGAAGGGCAAGGCGAGGAGGCTGCAGCCCCCTCACAGCCCTGTAAATATCCGACTGCTTCATCTGTGTCACTGAACAGATGCTTGGGCCTGCAAATTGCATTTCGAATTGGCCTAAGTTGTGCTTTGATGTTGCAAACTACAGCCGAGGGCAAAAAATCAAATGTTCAGAACGGAGAGAAGTAAAGATGGGTTCAAGACATTGGTTGGCTTCTTCTTAGAGGCCTCAACATGCCCAAAGGGAGCAGCATCCCAGTGGATTTAAGCCCCTCGTGAACCTGGGGAGCTGCTGATGAGCAGAGCTGTGCCTTTCTACCTTTCTGTACCTTTCTGTACCTGCCCTAGCCTCCCATTCCTGCTCCCCGCTTCTAACAGACACATGAAGAGCTCAGATGAGGCTGCTCTCCCCATCCCCTTCCTGCTTTTCCCAAGGAGCCAGCTCTTCTCTGGTACACAGCCTGCACTCCACCTGCCACCACGAGGCTCCTGATTGCAGAGCAGCACGAATCCTTGACCTGATTACATCTCCACGCCAAAATACACCGTGTGCCTGCACAGGATGGAAAAAGCTCTGGGTAATGTGAGAAACGTGCCTGATATTTGCAGGGGCTGACAGAGCGGCTGGGCTGGGGTGGAGGTGGCCCTGATGCTGCTTTGAGGGGGGGATGCAGACAGGGGGGATGCTGTGCTACGGAGGAAGGGGCCAGCACAGCAACAAAGCCACTTCCAGACCTGCTCCTGCAAAAGAAGCTCATCAGAACCCATTACCCCGTGACGGAGGATGGGTACAGTGGTGGTCCCATTGACCATGCTCCTGCAGGCTGGAGCAGCAGCAGATTTCTGTGCTGCTGTGTTTCGAGGGAGGAGGAGGGCACTGCTTACGCACAGCGAGCACAGCTGCAGCTCTGAAGCATGCTCACAGCTCGCCGTGCATCCCGGCTCTCCCTAATCCCCAGGCAGCCCAGCGCAGGAGCTTGGGAGCGAGGGTAATGGCATTGCTTTAATGCAATCCTCTCGGGCTGATATGCAGGCTCCCAGTGTCGACAGCTGTGCCAGGGCAGATGTCAGATGCGATCGCTTCCATCTAACCCACTACCCTAGATTCTTCTCCACTGTGCAGCCCTGGCACCTCCTCCACGGTCCATGTGCTGCAGCAAGCAGTTTTTCTGGCGGATTGAGCAATGGTGGGAGCTGCACCAGGCTCTTGCCTCTGGATATCGGGACCTTTTGCTCAAGTAGAACAGTGGCTGAGGAAGCTGAACCCCCGCACATGGCCTTGCCATTTCACAAGGCATCCTCCAGCATGGGAACACTTCCCACTTATCGAGTGCATTCAATGCTTTTCACCCCATTTCCCTTATCAACTCATTTTCTCAGTTCTTCCTTTTCATCATGGGCTCCTGCCATCTCTCTCCTCAGCGGTTCCTTTTCACTGCCAATCTCTGAGCTGTCATCTCCCTCCTGGCCTCCTGCCCAGCCCAGCTGCTTTCCCGACCCCATTTTAAGACAAGGTTAAGGTCCAGGCCAGGCTCTAGCCTTTAAGCGGGCTCAGCAAGCTGCGCTGCCAAGGGTGGAAATATCCAGGTTCTTTCATTGTGGTCCAAGTCACAAGGGCATATCCCATATGGGCTGGCAGCTGTGCTGCTGAACTGGCCTGAGCTAGTGGCCAGGAGGTAAACAGCTCCTTTCTGCTCTCTGTCCCACAAGCTGTCGCTTGTTCATCCTCTATCACCTCTATTTTGATGCTCTTGGCTTCCTCCTGCTCACTGTGATCTCTGAGTGCTGGAGGAACACAAACTGCTCTCCCAGTTACAAGGCTTGAATTTAGCAGAGCAGTGCAGCGAGCTGCAGGCACCAGGGTAGAGAATGAGGTGGCATGCCCCAGGACCCCTGGTCAGCAAGGGACAGAGCACAGCCCATCTCATCCCTCCACGGTATGCAGGAGCAGGGCAGCCCTCCTGCACCCTCTCGTGCTGCAAACCGCAGAGGAAACTCAGGAGGAGCCTCCCCAGGAAAGCACTTTGGAGCCAAACGCTGCAATTTCAGCTTCCTACTATGCCCTAACAACCCTTCTTCCAGTTGCCTGATCCAAACACAGCTGAGCCACGTGGCAGCAGTGTGCCCTCTCTGCAGAGGATGAATGACATCTGGTTGAAGTCGGTGCTCCTGTCCCTGGGGCCACAGTGCTTGTCCTCGTGGCTCAGGACTGCCAGCCCTGCCCGAGAGGGATGTCACACCAAGGCCATGGGCTGCCAGAGGCAATCTGGAGCAGTGTCCCAAGGTCACCAGGCCTGGAAGATTGAGAAGGAGGCAACCCTTCCTGACCAATAGTTTGGTGTCCTGACACCAGTTTAACACCTGTGTACCTAACCCTGCTGAATGCCCAACCATCAGCCTGGTAGGACGGCTGGGAGGTGTTCTCAAGCCTTCAGTCTTTGTTGATGCAGTCAGGAAGCTCCAAGAGCATTAAAAATGCCTTCCAGCCACGCTGGTTCAGCGATGCAGGACAGATGTCTGTTTCTCTTTCAGCAGCTCACATTCCAGCAGGGAAATCAGGGCTCTGCTCCAGCAGCAACAACTCCACTTCTCTTCCCCGATCTGGACTCAAATTCACAATGGCAGGGGCAGCAGTGTCAGCTGGGCCACAGAAAGGCTTCAGCATCCCTGAAACCTCGTATCATCTCTTCTGCAGAAGCTGAATTCAGGAGTTCTGCCTCCCTGGGAAGCCCCGAGGCCCCTGCAGTCTCTGTCTCAGAACAGACACGGTCCTCACTTCCAAGTAAATGCCACCAGGAAGCTCTCTCCAAGTTCCAAGCGAAGCCAGTGATTACCATGGAAGCATTTTGGCCTGCCTACAGCACGTTTTAGGAGTGGGGGTGGTCACTTTGTGGCCCCAGGAACGTGTCCAGAATCCATCTACGGAGCATTCAGACCTCGTCATCTGCTTGGACCTCATCTTCACGCAATGCCTCCACAGTTTCCCTCTTCTCTGCCCCTGCTGAACGAGGTCCTCCTCCTCTCACTGCTGCTGCAGTGTTATCCTTCTGCAGGCGTCTGCATGGGGAGGGCAGGGGAAGGGGCGTGAGAGCCGGGCGCTGGCGCAGGGCCTCGCTTCATCCCTTGCTCTCAGGGGGAGACCGGGGGAAGCAGGGGGAATGAAACAAAAACACAAGCACAGAGTGATTTCATCTTAAAAGGCAGCTGCAACTTCCTCTGCCTGCAGGCTTCCCAGCTTCAAATGGCAACGGAATGGTTTCCTGCGGTCCTGCCTTGACACCCAGTGGGCACTCGGTGTGCAGGCAGCTGCCTGCTCCCCAGTGGGAGTTATGGCTGCAGCTGGCTCCTGCTGCCCTCCCAGCACGGCATCTCATGGTGCAGAGGTCCGTGCTGCTGCTATGCCAGCTACTGTGCTCCGCCAGCACCACAGGTGCAATTCAGCTGTCTGTGTTCTTAAAGGACAATTTTCTGACAGAACAGAACCCCTGGATTCCAGCCACCCAGGTGGACAGGCAGAATGATGGGCATGGTCACAGCCCACCCAGCTCCATGCCAGCTCCCCGTAATGAGAGCCATGGGGAAAGTGCTTCAGGTGTTCACACAGCATGGGGAAATAGCCATCCTGGCAGGTAAACTCCATGACAAAACCTGGTATCCCCCACTCCAAAGGGCTTAGGAGAGCTCAAGAAATCTCTCTGCAAACCCAGGCAATCTCAACTCCACATTCTCTTGTCTACAGTGCCACAAAATGAGCTCTCATTGCTGCATGGGGCAGCTGGCAGGAGCAAGAACATCCACCACCAAGCGTGGGGTGTGGAGACAACAGCATTCCCCCAGCGTCCCACTGAGCTCAGTCTCACCGCCTTCACTCTCTCTCCCCCCCAGATGCAAGCTCTCCAGGACAGAGATGCAGTTATCACGTATCCCTTCGACTTAGTGCCTCATTTTCTCTCCTTGCTTTCCAGCTTCAGCCTCGTGCAACGCCCACTCCAGCACCTGCTAAACTTTATGGGCTGAGTCTGCAGCCATGAGTGTGGGAGGCTGGCAAAGAGCAGGGCCAGGATGCAGCGAGCGCAGGGAAGCAGGGGGAAACCACTGAAGAGCCATAGAATGAAATCTAGAGACAAATGGAAACAATCTATGCTCTTGTTGGAGAAGAACAATCAAGGGTACCATTAAGGAGAGGGAGTAGATGGGCTTTGCGGGAGTGCAGAAAGGGAACGGAGAGATATAGAAAATCAAATCTGGAAAGCTGAGTCTTGCAGTGCTCTGGGATGTTACGATGGGTATCACATGTCAGACTGCTGGCAGGATGCAGCCAGAGTAATGCATGCTATTCTGAGGATCACAACAAGGTATAAATATACGTGTGAGCACAACAGAAGCACGGCAAATAACGATCTCTTTGGAAGGGTACTGCAGGCAGCAGGAGGAAAGCAAAGATGGTTCTAAAAGCAGATGGATTTGCTACTAAATTCCCTGGCAGCTGGATGGGAAGAAAGGTATTTGCAGGGAAGATGATTTAGATGAAATTTTGGGAGCAATCACGCTGGGTACGAAGCAGCAATCTGCAGACGTGGGCCTGATGGATGCCACACAAGGCTGGCAGGGGGACAGGCTGGTGGCAGGGGCTGCAAGGACACCTCATCCCTCAGGCAGCCGGAGCTGGGCTGCACGCCCTGAGCCATGCCTCAACGCCTGCCCTACAGCACCGTGCTGTGGTGGGCTGCCAGGACTGCAGTGCTGCAGCAGCACGGAGCTGAATTTTAAGCTCTTCCACTGGCTCCAGATGGTTTGTGTCCCCCTTCTTCACATGAGATTGATGCCTCCGCACGAGATTAACTCCTTGCAAAGGCAGGAGGGGACCAAGTGTCTGCTATTGTGGTCAAGCTAGAAGAGCCACTACCAAAACCAACGCCCACATTCTCCCTTCCTTTTAGCAGGGATCTCCAGCCAGAGTGGCTTGAATACAGAAGAGGTGCAGAACTCTGAGTGCACACACAAACTCGCTGCCTTCCCAGGGAGCTCTGCAAGGTTTCTTGAGGGGGAAACACTGCCATTTAAGAGGACTGAAGTACTGAATCAGGTTGCACAGAGAAGTGGTGGATGCTTCATCTCTGAAAATATTCAAGGTCAGGCTCGATTGGGCTCTAAGCATCTGATAGAGCCATAGGTGCCTCTGCTCACTGCAAGGGAGTTGGACCAGATGGCCTTTGAAGATGCCTTCCAAATCGAACAATTCCATGAATCTACCACAGAGACAAGACACTGAGGTGTAAACGCATCCTCTGTCATGCATTCCACTGCAATCTGAGACCCCATTTGGTTTCCAACCCACATCACGCTTCCCACAGCTTTGTCAGCATCCATCACTCACAGTCTGTAACAACCAGCCCCTACCTGGTTACCGTGCAGACACTGGCATTGCTCACACTGGAGTCACCAGAAGCATCCAGAGAGCCTGCAGGCAAGACAGAAAGAAGACACAGTGAATGGGAAGACAGGGAAGGCAGGTAGCAGGAGCAGCATGGCCTTCTGCAGGCACCTCCAGTCATTGTTTCAGGGCCCCGAGGATCCCTTTTCCCCTGCAGTGAGCACTTTACACTTATCATCAAGCTTGTGCACAGAACTAGTACACTACAACCACCAGATATGCAAGCTGCATATCTTCAGACCTGTGCCTCTGGGCCTCCCTCTTTGCAATTGGGGGAGGACCCCCAGTGAGCTCAGACAGCCAGGAACTTTGTGCTATGCTGCTCAAATTACAAGATATACATTCTTATAACAAGGAGCTCAGGTCTGGAGGGCTGCCTCCCAAAGTCCAGATTTCAATGGCCACAGGACAGCACATCAGCACACTGGACCATCCTCACCTGGCCAGCTGTCCCGTGCTGTGGCTCCATATGGAAACCAATAAACCCAAGCAGCTTTCCAGCCTTTGCTCCATACCAGACAGGTCTCTGCAGACCCACTTTAAATCAAGTGCACAGCTTAGCTGAGCCCCACTGAAGCAATGTTTCAGCAAAGGGCTACTGAGATTTTTAGAGGGTTCACGCTGTGCAGGACTGCTGTGCAAAGCAAGGAGCCTGTGCTGCGCACAGCTTGAACCTGGGTCTCACAAACACAGTGACAAAGCGTAAAAAGATGAACTTGGCTCCTTATGCCCCCTATTGCCAGCTGCCTCTACTTGCACACAGCAGAACTGCCACATCAGCACAAAGGGAGCACAGAAGAGATTTTCAGCCGTAAAAGCATCACCCTGATCCTGCCTGCATGTAGGAGCACTACCATCTATGCAAAGGGTTAGGTATTAAAGCAGTCATGCTTTTAATCGATATTTTAACCAAAGATTGTCTTATGACAATCAGGGAAGAAAAGGAAAAAATAAAAAGCTTTTGCTGCCCCAACAAAGGGGTTACATTTTCCCCCTCCATCCCATCCAAAAAGCTGCTGCATTGGCCGGGAATCGAACCCGGGCCTCCCGCGTGGCAGGCGAGAATTCTACCACTGAACCACCAATGCTGTACTGGCTGCTCCCTGCGCCCGCCGGCTGTGCTGCTCGTTCCAGCTGTGCATGCTGACAGTGCAGCCCTGCAGCCCCAGGCTGCTGCACGCCTCCTCACCTCCTACCTGGCTGCTGCTGCACAAGAAAACCCTTCTACCTTTTCATTTTCACCTTCTCCATCCCCTCCTGCAGCAGGATTTTTCAAGCAGGGTTTGTGGGCAATGCTACATGGAAGCACTGGGCTGAACATGCAACCCCAGAAGAAGAATAGATAAGCCCATGTGATTTGCATGCTACATATATTCTATGTGCTTGGCCAGCTTAGATGTGTCAGAGGTAGCTTTAGCCATCCTGGGACAATGGCATCTGTCAAGGGGATGCTGGAAGGCTAAATGAACTGCGGCCTGCAGGTATCAGGCCTCCAAAACCTTAATTAGTTTAATTTCTTCTCACTTGAATACTCTTCCAGGCCTCCCATCACAAGTTAATGACCATGGTGATGTGAAATGTGCTGGGATGTTCACCAGACTATGCAGTACTGCCTGGGCTGCAGGTTGGATGAGGGACCTGATCTGCAGGTGGCACCAAGTGTGTGTCTCAGCAGAGGATCAGCTGTGTAATAGGACCCCAGTGCTCATGGAAAAGTGCAGAGGTTCCCTGCCACAGGCAACCAAACCAACTTAAGACCTCCTCAAGACTTTTCCCCAACCTTTATCACATCTCCAATGGCCCAGGCCAACAGGGACTCACCGCTGGATGCTGCCTCTGGCTTGGAGACGGGCTCCTCCAGGTTGGGCTCTGCTGACAGGGTTACTGACTGCTTGGTCTCATCCATTTCGTCGTCCTCTGGGATGACAAGCTTCATCAGACTCTGGTTGCACACGTTTGCCACCTCTTTGATGTCTGAGTGGAGGCGGTGTAAGGAACACGCAGTCTCATGCATGCTAGGTGCCATACCTGGCCAGCCACAGAGAAGCCATCACAGCCCAACCACATCTGCTTCGGCTTGCTCCCTTCACATCCAAATGGCTGGGGTGATTTTTAGCACTCAGGGGGCAGGACTCTTCCTGGCCCTCTCTGGGAGCAGCTCAGTTACAAGGATACTCTTCTTGCGATCATCGTAGGAGAGACACGGCAGGACAGCAGTCAGGATCCCTGAGGAATAAGGCAGCATCACTCGGCCAGCCAGCTGGATGAACTCCCTCATCCAGCACATGGCAGTCAGCTGGATCAGGTCATCTGGAAGGCACAGGATGAGCAGAGGTGAGGGAAACGACAGCAAACCACACAGGATAAGGACTGCTTGCAACCACAGAGCTGACTGGACTTCAGCAGGGCTCAAAGGGAAGGGCCTCTTCTTCAAGCAGAGTCTCTAGTCTGGACAAACTCTAGTATGGGATCACACAGGAGCTAGCCAAGTTTGGGAAAAGCCAGATAGCCTTCTCAGAAAGCACATCAAACTGCAGCTGTATCACTGCCTACACAGCAGACCCTGTGGTGCAGCACTAACACAAAGTGTCAGGCACATCATGTTTAACTGCTCTGTCCATGCAACGAGTACCATCTCAGGTTCTTTCTCAAAACAAATCCCCTTTCCAGATGTGCTGGATAACCACACGTGCTACCCACAGCCAGTTATTTAATTTTCAGGCACTTCCACTACTGTACACTCGTGATGACACCTGTTCTGTATTTGAGGTGGAAAAAGTGGTAGTGCCAGCCATGGGAGAACTGTTCCAGAACATCACACAAAGGCAGATCTCCAGAGAGAGCTGCCTGCCCACCCTTTTTTTTAGCAGGCTTTTCATGCACAACAGAAAAAGAAGGGGCAAGGGTGCAAGGTGGTATAACATGGCTGGTAAACAGGAAAACCCTGAGCCTGAATCAATGGGTTGGCACTGCAGAGCCAAAGATGGATGCTCCAGCTCCCGCCAGCTTTGCACTGAACACTCACCTGCAGCCTGGCAGTGGATCACCAGAATATTGGCCATTTCTGCAAACTTGACACTAGAGGGATTCTTCTTGATCTCCTTGAGGAACTCCCCAAGAGCCACCTCACACCTGAAGGCAGACAGACAGGTAAACACTCCTCCGCCACCAGAGAAGCCAGAGAGCAGCCTTCCACACACACACACAGCAAGGATACACGTGGAATGGCACTTGTATACATCCACTCTGCCCCAAATTAAAGGCTGCAGACTCTAGGACACACTGGCACTCACAAGTACAAATCCATCCCAAGGTAACAGACAAGCTGACGTATTTGCTCCAGGAACAGCTACGGAACAAGAGCAAGATATGGGCAACAGACCCCAGTGCACCTGCTCCATATTGGGTCCAAGTTTACCCTATCCCACACACACACATACCAGGAAAGATGGAGGCAACGGAAGTCCCACACATCTTCCCTTCTGACAACAAGCACATGTTTGGGATGGGGAGCACAAAGGGGAACAGGGGTAGGGGTGAGGTGGGAGGGCAGATCCCCAAAGCTTTCAGTACTTGTTCCCTGATATGTACACCCTGGGAAACAAAGAAGCAAGGAGGAACTGGTAGGGCCTGGCAGTGGGAAAGACCCAGGCTTGTCTCAGCACTTACTTATGCCCTATCAAACAGGTCCAGTCACTTTCGTTCATTGCAAGAGCTAAGATCCTCTGATCTGATTGAGAACATCCAGCCACTCCTCTGTTTCAAAATGCTCCTCCAAACTGAGTCTTAGCAATGGATCCAAAAGGCCAGCTAGTAATGCTTGCTTATTCTTTGCACCCAGGAGACTTGGGGTTGGTTCTGCACCTCGCTGAGAGGCTGCTCACAAATCTCCTACCCCAAAAGCACACATGAGCATCCCTTTTATGACACCATGCACAGGGCCTGGAGAGGTAATGGATGCACTGAGCCAGAACAGTCTGTACCACAGCACCAACATCACAATGTCCCCCAACAGCCGCTGCAGCCACAACAACCTGGGGAAGGGACGCCTTGGCCAAGGACACACTGATCCACCAAACAAACCAGCTAGGTTGCTCTTATCTCCCACAGTGAGCGTGTAGTTTAGCTACAGTTATGTAGAACTGCAAACAAATGAAGAGGTGACCCAACACAACGCACTGCTGCAGGGAAACGTGCCGGCTCCAGAGCAAAACACAGACCTGGCCCCCAGCCAGCCTCCACACTCACATTTTTCGTATCTCTTTACTGTTGTCTCCCAGGATCTGGAAGAGCCCATCCAGGATTTCTGGCAGGTAATCCAAAAGGTTGATGTCAGGCACGGACTCTAAGACCAGGATCTAGCTCGGGGAAGGTACAAGAAAGAAGATGGGTGAGTTTTGGAGAAGCTAACTAACATCACCAGCACAAATCTGGTGCGGCACTGAGGAACACTGAGCTACAGGAAGCTACAGGAGGGAAGCACGGCTGCCTGTGTGGGACAGGGAGGGAAGGACAAGAGGATTGCGTGGAGCTGCCCATCTCAGAAAGAAGCTGGGCTAGCAAAGGAAGCGAGGGATCAGACTGCAGAACTGCTGCATTTCCAATCACAGCTCCTTAACGGCAGGGATCACAAACAACTGTCAAAATGCCAACAAGCAGATGTGGAACGACAAACAGCATAGCTGAAAAAGAGAGCCCTGAGGCACACACATTCCTCCAAGGCCCTGGTCAGCTATTAACAGCTTCTGCCTTGCACAGAAATCAGGAACTGAATGGAAATCACTTGCTTCGTGGACAGCAACATCTCTCCATCACTGCTGGGTTTGCAGGGGCCCCTTAAATTTGCATTTGGAAAGCAAACAGTAAGGTATTGGGAGGTTGCAACCTCTAGGTCACGATACATTTATTCATACAAGCAATGCTTGGACTGTATTTTCTAACTTGCTGTGCAAAGCCCTGAACCACGGTGGCAGAGGCGCACCATCGTGGACGTGTGACTGCAAGTGATGTCACAGGGAGCTGGCATTTTAAAGATGCAGAAGTCAGAAGCTGATGACTTAAAATAAGGCCTGGCAAACTCAGGTCCCTGTGTTCACACATCACTGTGGACATCTGGTGTCTGCCCAGGCCTGGGATGCTGACCAGGAGGAGAAGCCCATGTGTACCTACCCAGGATATGATGAACTGACGGGCGTATTGGTTGTTGGAGTAAATCCTCTCACGCAGCAGCGGGATGAAGCCCACCAAGTCAAACTGGTTACTCTCTGTCACGATGTCCTGCACAGCCCAAGCAGAGCGTGTCAGAAGGTAAGTCCAGCACCTGGCACACGCTGCCCCCACCCAGCCATGTCCACCCAGCCCTTTTTAAGGCACATGACAGGATAAGGATCACAAGATGCTGACAAGCGGCTCTGTCAGAGGGCTGTAGGCTCTCCTGGCTGCTGGGAGACTCTGGGAGAAAGAATCATATGGTTTGTTCAGATGATGAGGCAGGAATTCCCCCTCGGGCAGCGAATAACTTTGTGCTGGATGCACTGAGGAAGGCTCCCGCTGCCTGGCTGAACAGGAGGAGGGTGGGACCTTCTCTGATTCACGCCTCATTGGTGCCATTGCACACATGAGCAGGCAACTTTGATGTAATCACATGTGTCAGTGACTGGAGAGTCCCCTGGCTTTCTCTTAGAGCTCTTCCTACACGCTTGACAGATTTTGCTGCATAACAAAGTCCCTCAACCCGGAGCAGTAGAGCAGATCCCCTCTGCTCTGCAGGCTCCCAGCAGGAAGGACTGCAAGAGGGAATGTGGAGACTGCACTAACTGCAGTGCTAATGAGGAGAGGGGGCATGACCTGGCAGGGAGCTACTTCTTTCCAATTGGACCGTGAAGTCTGCAGACGTACAAACTCCTCAGCAGACAGAACAGGAAGAGGAACCAGGTGCCCCCACCCTGGAAGTAGCAGCTCTGATCTTTAGTTCTTTTTGTTCCTCATTTAGGCACAGGAGAAGGGAAGAAAATTAGACGAGCAGCCCTCCTGCTGTCCAGGGTGGAGGTGCAACTTCCCTCAGACTAAATCCTTGCTTCCCCAGAGACCTGGCTTCCAACAGCTAAACATCTATTTTGCATTGCAGTAATCTACAAGCTCCTCAAACCAGCCACCAGATTCTCGATTTATCAAGCTACAACCAGTGACAGAAATAACCACTTTGGCAGAAGCCTCAGGATCCCTATGGGATGGTTTTAGCCGGTGCAGCCTGCTAGACCAGCATGTCCCCATGAGAACTCTGCCATGTCACATCAGGCAGCATCCAGGCACCTGCAGGAACGTTGAAGCTGCCTACCACACTTGCCTCCTGCACCAAGGATTCTCAGCTAGAAGGAGAAACACACCTTGAGAAGTCGATCCAGGAGCTCGGAGCCACTTTTGACATTTGGGTCAGGATCAGCAGCCAGCTGTAAAGAACAGAAACAAAAGTCATTATAACAGGTCCCAGGCCTTTTCCCATCTCTGCAGTGGAGCTCCCAGCAGGTTCACAGGACTGTTGCTCTCTTTTGAAATCACTGGGATGGACACAGAAAACCCTTCATCTCTGATTCATCATTAGGCTCCAACAAATTCTCCAGGGAGACTTCTTAGGGGGATGCCAAGCACCTATCACCTTCCCACATAGGAAGGTTTCCACGTGTCAGCGCCCATGTTGTGGCAGACAAAAACAAGATAAGCTGCACAGAGGAGTGCCTGTAGACATGGTTTTGACCCTACATGACTAAAAAGCTGTGGTGCTGCAGAACCACTTTGCAGTGTCTTACACCACTGACTAAGGAGCAGAAAAATGCATCTTGGAGGTGGAAACCAAGAGCAAGGTACTTTACAGTGAAGTCTGGCATCCCCAACACCAAGGCCAGCACGCTGCTGCAGAAACATTTTTGTGCAGACTTTCAGATGTGCCTGGTCAAAGCAGACCAGCTTCCTTAAAAAGATGATATCAGACTACTTGGTTTCTTTCATCCTGGAAAGAAGAGCGCTAGAGAACAAGATGTACTATTCCAGTGAAGGAAAGGAAAAACCCCTGGGGTCTTAGAGGAAGCTTCTTACCTTGCTGAGGCCATCAAAGAGCACATTGAAGTGTGGGAGAATAGAGCCTCTGGCCACCTTCACAATGTTATAGAGGGCCTCACAAGCATAGTACCGCAGCCGACTATCAGCATCGTTGAAACACGTCAGCACTGGTTCAATCAGCTCCTTCAGGTAGAGCCCAGAGTCCTGATGGACAGAAGGAGACTGGTGAGTTGAGAACCATGGGGAGAGGACAGAGATGGCACTGCCATGGATCCTGGAATACAAAGCACAAGGGTATGGTGCAAGAATTCAGGCCCGTGGTGGCCTATGCTTGGCCCAGTATTGCTACCATTTGTATTTACTGCTACTGCTGGTTTCTTTGTAAAGCCACAGCAACAGACCAGCCCTAACTACAACCTCATAACTGAGCAAAGCAACACAGCTCCCACAAGGAGGAGCAGCTCAGTAGAGCCACATCTGTTGGGTTATTCTCTGTACCATCTGGAGCTGGGCAGCAGGAAGGATGTGGTAATAGAGGCTTCACAAAGAAAACCAGCACTCACTCCAGAAAGACCCAACTCCACCAAGGCCTGAGCTGCCAGAAAACAGGCAGCATTTGTACGTGCAGCTGCTTAAAGACAGGTGCTACAGCTCCTGGAGCTCAGCTGGACACAGCTGCTAGCTGAAGCAACTGGAGCTCTGCTTTCCAGGCAAGAGCAGACAGTGCAGCTCCACTCTTGCAGAGAGCATGCTTGTTGTTTACATGCTGAAGTCTGTCCTCCTGAAAGAGCCACGCTAGACAGAGCATGGGGCAATCAGGCTGCCATTTCTCAAGCATCTAGCAAAGGAAATGGCAAGAAAATCAACAACATGCAGACCAGCAGATTAAGGAGTTCAGCTCTAAGTTTTATCAGAGTCCTTCAGGGCCCCAAACACAACTCCTCCAGTTCCTCAGAGCACAAGCTGCCCTGCCCCAGTGATGTGCAGAAGGCAAAGCAGGGTTAAGCTTCCCAGCTACACCTCTGAGACTCTTTATGTCTCAGAGTGCTGCTGACCCAGAGAGAAGTGACATGCAAAGAGACTCTGCACTTTTAACAACAGGATGACAAAGGAGCACTGCTCAGAAGCATGTGGCCATCAGCTTAAAGGCTGTTAATCATCATGCTTCAGAGTGTCTGTTTCAAATGGTTGTGGCTCTCATTAGAAGGAGATTAATCAAATTAAAATACACCTTGCAGTGCTTCTGAGACAGTCTGCTCTTCCTAAGCTCCGTGCTTTCTTTACATCCGCCCTACTAGAAACCCAAACGACTCCTTCCCTTGTAGACATTTTCAAAATGAACCATGTGGTTTAACTGAAAAGCCCAACGGAGCTCTGAGTCCACAGAGTCCCTGCTCCCCTCAGCAGGGATCTGTGTGCGCTGGCCTAGCCCCAGAGGTAACTTACTGAGCTTATTCCTTATAATGAGAGGTAAGCAAGGGAGGAAGCTCTTAATTGGGATGGAAATCAGTCAGCTTTCAGCAGGAGGAGAACAATGGGCACCCATGTAACACCTCCAGAGCTGGGCTCAATGATTAATGCTTTCAGCAGAGAAATCTTCTACCAAATCAATAGAAAGTTATAACTTAGGCTAATACAACTTTACACCTCACACTGCCTGCCTGCTTTGAGCTATGCCTCTTGTAAGTTCCATTAATATCAAGTCATACCCAATTTTTGCCATCTGGGTAACCAGCTGCACATGCAGAAATGGAGACAGTGTCACCAGCTGTCAGCAGAAAATATATTCTGCTTTTAAACTTCAGAAGAAAGAGTCTGGCTTCAGCTGACTGTTGAACAGGACCAGACCTCAGCTGCAACCTGCTGAGCCTAGCCCTATTTTCAGCTCAGCAGCAACACTCACTGAAAACACATCAGCTGGAAACACAAATGCACTGACACCAAGGCTGGGGAGCTGCCAAGGTTTGACCCAAGCCAGAAAGCATTCCAGTGCTCACAGCACGTGGCTGGATCCGCTGGGGAATCTCATTCACAACCTGGTGTCACACTGCAACACGGGATGCCACACAGCTGGGGAGCAGCCAGCCCCAGTCTTTCCCTGGCACACTGGCCCCATGTGGAGCACAGCTCCTCTCCCACTACAGGGAGCCCAAAAACACCCACATTTACCTTGCCCAGGGCGATGGAGCAAGCAGCCAGGCCGATGAGTCCCCCTTTCCGGCTGTGGGGGTGTTGGGAGAGCGCAAACTCCTGCGACAGGATCAGGATCACATGCTTGATTTGAGATGTGTTGTTCTGAGCCACAAACTCTCGCACCAGCCTGGGGAGAGAAGAGGAAAGCACATGGCCACAGATCTTGTCTGATGAAAGCACCTGGGGGCTCAGTTCCCTGCGGCTGCCAGAAAGCAGCTTTTACAGAGAAGGTGAGACAAGGCCAGGGGGAGGATTCATTCCTTCCATTCCCAAGGGACTGAGAGGCAAAAGAAGCCACCTGACCTCACGCAAATACCCCCTGCGCTGAGCTGTATGAGCCAAATGCAGACATAAAACCCATGGTTTGGAGCATAGGAACATGTTAGAAACCTGCTGTGTATACCACCAGTCATTCTATTACTTTTAAATGGAAGAGGCTGGATGAGATTGTTGGGAATAGAGGTCTGCTAAGTTTTGCCACGTGGTGGCATTTCATGAGCTTTAGGCTGCTTCTTTAGAAAACCTGACTACCTGAAAGTAAGCAGCAAATCAATCATTCTGAAGTTGCCAATGGTAAAAACAAGGCTGCCCGCACAGTTTATATTTAACCCTCTGAACAATGTTATGTATTTTTAATGACACAGTCACATATTCTTCTTCCACCATACCTCAGCTGCAGCCCAGGACAGACAGCGCTCAGTGAATCAGCAGTTATTTGATATTTTTTACCCTTGCTATTCAGTGCTTACCCCCGAGCTGTTCTGTACTGCACACCATTCAAGCTCCTCTGTAGAAAAGCAATGATTAATTTTTCTCATTGGTTTTCCAGTGTTGTCACTCTACTGTTTGACTGCTTCACAACGTTAATGCACTGTTTCCACAGTACTTCTGAAACTGCCATGTATATAGATGTTTAAATATGCATTAAATGTCTTGTCCTTGCATTTAATAGCTCTAGTGGCTTTTCCTTCTGTGCATTTGTTCAGTCGGTCTTGGAAAAAAACGTGAATTTCTTGCATTCATAGTATCCTCCTCTAGCAAGGGTTTCACATCTTAATGAAGTATTATGTGAAGAATGTTCCCTGTAAGCCATTTCACCTATTGGAAATGTGTACAGATAGATTCTCGTGTTCAATGGTTTGTTTTTGGAGCACAGACATGGACAGATTCCGTTTCTGTGCAGCGTTCAACTGCTGTTCATGTTCCCTGCTACTTTAATTCCAGTACACCTTCCAATATCTTCCATTTACAAAAAGAAAACAGTTCTTATCAGTCACCTGTTATGGAGCCTCCAATCATCCCAAGGCCAGCATTCATTACACAAAGAAAAACAGTATGGAATAATGAAATTTTTAAAAGCATGACTCTGTACACATGCATAACTGGGATGAATCAACACCAGCACTTTCATCCTTCCCTTTACTACCTCAATGATTTTTAATACACATTGCTGTCCAATACATTCATCTATTGAACTCCAGATTTAGACTGCCTTTGTGGTGATCAACAGAATGTATTGAAGATTTCTCTATTAATTTATAAACATTACAACTCCTGATATGTATTCCATATCTTTATGAAGAATTATGAGAGATCCAGGACCCTGAAGAATATTTCTTTTTCACTTTGGCATATCTAAACATGCACATTTGAATGAGATTCCCACTACACTGCCTGAAACAGCAAAGGTGAATTGAAGAAAATTAATTGTGGAAAGGAATTTGTGAAGATGGAAGTGAAATAGCTGTGTATAGGATAGGAGTGGTTCTGTCTTGTGAGGGAAACTTACTGCAGAGACAACAAAGTCATTCACCAGCGAGGTGGGAGGTGTATTATTTCCTTGCTTAACACTAGCTGATCATAATTAATAAATGACTTTTGGAGTATCAGCTTTACAGCAGATGAAGTCCATCCTGGTTACTGGTACTTAGCATGTTGGTAAGGAAGAGGATTTAGATCCAGATGCAGATTTTGAAGAAAATCCTGGAGGAACAACGAGACGCTCATTGTGATGCCATTATTTGACCTCTCCTAAACCCCAAGATGCTGGTTATGGGGAGCAGGTTGAGATTCGGATGTCACTCGGGTATAAAGGTGGTCTAATGAGATGAGAGATGGGGTCACGAACAGCGCGTAGGGATCCTCACAGACTAAGATTCACTTTTTTTTCCCAGTCATTATGTTTTAGATCACGTATGTCTATTTAATTGAAAAAAACAAACCAAAAACCCCTCGCTTCTATGCACTGAAGCAGGTCCTGCCCCACCAGCCCCCCAGCAGCGCTGGGCCAAAGCAACTGTGCAGGCAGCTGCACACAGCTGGAGCATTGGTGGTTCAGTGGTAGAATTCTCGCCTGCCACGCGGGAGGCCCGGGTTCGATTCCCGGCCAATGCAACAGAATTTTTTTCTTTTTCTTTTGACTTCCTGTGTACAGGACGAGGACAGACACCTCAGCATCTCAGCCTACGTGATTATTGTCACTTCAACCTGTGCTGAAGGCACAAAGATTTCCAACGCCAAACTCCGTATGCTTTTTTGTTGCTGCTGCACCAAATCTGGCCAACCCCAACAACTGGTATCTCACTCTCGGCCCTCCTTTCAAGTCTCAGCTCTGCACAAACCTGCCTCAGCTGCGTGAAGCCAGACAGGCACCGAGGGGCTTGGAGACCTCATGCTGCTCGCTTCTAGCTGGCCATCGCTCTCCCATCACCTACTGCTTAGCAGAGGCAAATCATTACAGGAGATACTTATGGCCTCCTCTCACCCTGCTGTGAACAGAGCTGCTGCCCTGTTTCTCCTTGGAGGCATCACAAAGCCCATCTACTCTTCTCCATCCCAAAGCTGAATTTGGTAATGGCCAGAGCTGGTGCCACTCTCACAAAATGCTGATCCCAGGCTGACTGCTCTGCCTCCCAGTCCCACCCAGCACCACGAGGAGCATGCAGCAAGCCCTGGCAGCACAGAGGGAATCTCTTTACAGCCTGGATTTAATGAACAGAGTGGGGTTTTGGTTTGAAATGAAAAAAAACGTACATCCCAGGAGTCAGGAGGGGGACCGACTTTTTATGCAGGTGGATAGTAATAGGACAAGGGGGGATGGTTTTAAACTGAGACAGAAGGTTAGATATTAGGAGGAAGTTTTTCACTTACAGGGTGGGAACTCACTGGAACAGGTTGCCCAGGGAGCTGTGGGTGCCCCCATCCCTGGAGACATTCAAGGCCAGGCTCAGGAAGGGCCTCTGGGCATGCTGATCTAGTGGTTGGCATCTCTGCCCACAGCCATTCTATGACTTTATGACCCCTTTGAGTTTAAAGGGCGCAGGGGTGAACTAGGGAAGCAAGAGGCACTGAACAGCAACGTACACAGTGTGAGGGAGTTTGCACACAGCAGGAGCTGCTCCACATTACGGGGCAGAGAGCTGGGAGGTACCCGCACTGAGGCAGCGAGTTCCCCACACAACGCCATAGGCACAACAACGACACGTGCAGTGCTATTCTGTGACTAGTCTAGGTTGAGCTAAATCCACGTGTCTGTAAAAGGGGTTGGACTCTGTCTTCCTCATCCTGATAGCCTTTGCAATTTGGGTGTCCGGCTCCATCAGCAAATTCCAAATCTGATTTTGGTTGGTATAAACCAACCACGAAGCCACAGTACTGGGGCAAAACAAGTCAGAGCAGGGCTGCTTGGTTCACAGAATCACAGAACCATAGGGATTGGCAGGGACCTCTGGAGATCCCCCAGTCCAAACCACTGATAAAGCAAGTTCCTTACAGTAGGTTACAGAGGAAAGCATCCAGACAGGCCTTGAATATCTCCAGAGAAGAAGATTCCATCACATCTCTGGACAGCCTCTGTCACTGGTGACAGGACGAGGGGGAAATGGCCTCAAGTTGCACCAGGGTAAGTTTAGGTTGGCTATCAGGAAAAGCTTCTTTACAGAAAGGGTTGTTAAGCACTGAAATAGGCTGTCCAGGGAGGCGGTTGAGTCACCATCCCTGGATGTGCTTAAAAACCGTTTGGATGTGGTGCTCAGGGACGTGGTTTAGTGGAGGGTTGTTAGAGTTGGGGTAGGATGGTCGTGGTTGGACTCGATGATTTTTAAGGTCTTTTCCAACCTGAGTGATCCTATGATTCTATGATTCACATTAAAGATGTTCTTCTTTGTGATCCTATGGAATTTCCTATGCTCTAGTCTGTGTCTGTTGCTCCTTGTTGTGCTGCTGGCCACCACTGAAAAGAGCCCGGCCCCATCCACTGGACTCTCACTCTTCAGAAACTGATAAGCATTGACAAGATCTCCTCTCCAGGCTGAACAGCCCCGGGACTCCCAGCCTTTCCTCAAACAGGAGAGGCTCCAGGCCCCGCTCATCTCTTTAGCCACCCACTGGATCCCTCCAGCAGCTCCCTGTCTGCCTTGAACGGAGGAGCCCAGAACTGGACGCAGAGCTCCAGACGCGCCTTCCTCAGGGCAGAGAAGAGGGGAGGAACGTTTCCCTCACCCTGCTGGCCACGATCCGTGCACTGCACCTCTGGACACCATTCTCGGCCATAAGGTCACACCGCTGCCTCGTGCTCAGCCCGCTGTCGGCTGCATCCCACGAGGACGATGCGGGGCAGTGCAGAAGGGGGCAGGTCCTTCCCGCGCACGGCCACAGAGCAGCGCAGCGCCCGCAGTGACAGCACGGGAGTTCAGACACACGGGGGAGATGCACTGACAAACTAAAGGACGCGCGGCAGCGCCAGCAAACTCCCTTTACCCGGGGTCAAACGGCTTTAAGCACGGTTCCCCCCCGTCCCCTCCCGGACCCGCGGCCGCCCCACAGCCTCGCTCCCTCCCCCCCACCGTTCCCCCAGCTTTTCCCCATCGTTTTCTCACTTCTCGATCTCGAGGGCCGCCACTTTCCTCTTCTCGTACAGCTTGTCGTTCAACGCCCGCACGACGCTGGGCGCCAGCGGCGCCAGGTCCCGCTCCGCATTCATGGCACAGCCGGCACCGCCGCCACCATCACCGCCCGACCCCACCGCCACCGGCGGCCCGCCCGCATCACGTGACCACGCCCCGCCGCAGGGCGCCCCCACGCGGCGCGGAGGAGCGCCCCCCAGTCTCTGCATCACGGAATGACCTGGGCTGAAAAGGAGCACAGTGCTCACCTCTTTTCAGCCCCCTGCTGTGTGCAGGTCACCAACCAGCAGCCCAGGCTGCCCAGAGTCACATCCAGCCTGGCACTGAATGCCTGCAGAGATGGGGCATCCACAGCCTCCTTGGGCAACCTGTTCCAGTGCCTCACCGCCCTCTGGGGGAAAAACTTCCTCCTCATATCCAACCTAAACCTCCCCTGTCTCAGTTTAAAACCATTCCCCTTGTCCTATCACCACCCACCCTCACAAACAGCCGTTCCCCCTTCTGTTTATAGGCTCCCTTCAAGCACTGGAAGGCCACATTGAAGTCTCCCTGCAGCCTTCTCTTCAAGCCAAACAAGCCCAGTTCCCTCAACCTTTTCTCACAGCAGAGCAGCTCCAGCCCTCTGCTCATCTCAGTGCCTCCTCTGACCCCCTCCAAGCGCTCCAAGTCCTTCCTGTGCTGGACGCAGCACTGCAGATGGGGCCTCACGAGAGCATAGCAGAGGGGGACGATCACCTCCCTTTCCCTGCTGGCCACCCCTTTTTTAACGCAGCCCGGAACACAGCTGGCCTTCTGGGCTGCAAGCACACACTGCTGGCTCACGTCCAGCTTCTCGTCCACCAGGACCCCCAAATCTCTCTCTGATATCCACATCCCCCCACAGCACTCTGCTTTGCCCATGCTTTTATTCCGAGCCGTGACACAGACCCCACCATAGCACCATGAGACCCCTCAAGCCGGCGCTGTGCCTGCAGAGGACGCCTCCAACCCCATCACTTCTCGAGGGGCAGCCCCTGCAGGTAGAACACCCAGGAGATGCCTGCTCCCAGGCCACCTGCTCGGGCGCAGGAGACCACCAGCCGGCTGCTGACGGGGGTGTTGGTGCCCTCTGGGCTGCCCTCGAAGGAGACAGCCATGAAGATGGTCTTCTTGGGGCGCAGGGTCTCGGTGGCCCTCACGGTGAAGGCCGGGTTCTCCACGCTGAACCTGAAGGATGTGGGCTGGAGGAAGACGTTCTTGAAGGGGATGGAGGTGCTGCCACCGGCCTTGATGAGGAAGGGGCCCTGCGGCTTGGGGGGCAGGGCGAGGCCGAAGAGCGGGATGCTGTATTCCCTGCCTGAAGGGCCCAGGAGCTGCAGTGTGGCCCGGGACTCACCCAGCTGGCAGGGCTCATAGATCACCTCCACGCTCACCTCCGAGCCCCCCAGGCAGGCAGGAGGCATGCTGATGGTCTTCTCTGTCTGGAAATCAGCACAGTCAGTCTGTAGGGAACAGGAGGGACAAGCAGAGGGGTGTCACAAAAGCAGAGCTCAGAGGGAACAGCAGGGGAGAAAACAAGGCTCCCCCTGCATCATAGGATCACTTTAGTATGAAGAGACCCTTGAAGGTCATCTAGTCCAACTGCCCTGCAACTAACAGGGACACCCACAGCTCCATCAGAGCACTGCCCAGCCTGACCTTGGGTGTCTACAGGGCAGCCACTACCTCTCTGCTCAGCCTGTGCCAGTTCTTCCTTATATCCAATCTAAATCGCCCCTCTTTTGGTTTGAAACCATTCCCCCTTCCCCTTGTCATATCACAACAGACCCTGCCCCCTTCTTTCTTACAGCCCCTTTAGATGCTGAAGGCTGCTCTCAGCTCTCCCTGCAGCCCTTCCCTTCCGCATGCTGCACAGCCCCAGCTCTCAGCCTGTCCCTGTAGGGAGGTGCTCCATCCCTTGGGTCATTTCTGTGGTCCTCCTCTGGATGCTCTCCAACAGGTCTGTGTCTTTCTGTACTGAGCACTCTCATCTGGACACAGGTGAGGTCTCACAGAGCAGAGGTGCACATCCCCTCCCTGTCCTTCTGGCCACGCTGCTTTGGATGTAGCCCGGGGTATTAGTTGGCTTTCTGGGCTGCAAGGGCACACTGCTGCCTCACATCTAGCTGCCACCCACTAGTCCCTTTAAGTATTTCTCCCCATACTTTCTCTTGCCTATCACATTTCCTCCCACCACGTTGTTCCTAAACAGGGACTGCCTAAATCTTCCCAGCAGGAATAATCCTGCACCCAAGCAAGGCCTGGGACATCTAAAGTCCCAGCTCTGGCAGCAATGTGAAAATCCAGGCACCATGGGATCTGCAAGAGCAGTTCCAGCAAGGGCGGTAGAGAGGGTCTGTGAGTAAGGACAGTCCAGATGAGGACAGGTCCAGCTTTGGTGGGAAGACCCACCAGGCTCTCATGGCCACTTCAGCTATGCCAGACAAAGCTGAAGGATCAGGATCCATCCACAGAGAGGGTTGGCACCATCCAGAGGTGCCACCTCCCAGCCTTTCTGTTCAGCTGGGCTTCCTCCCTCCTGCAAGAGCACAGCACACTCACCTGGAGGATGTATTCTGTCTTTTGGCGGTTGTAATTCATGATCTTGGTGGTGATGGTCTGGTTAGAGCCCAGCATAGTGCAAAAGTACAGTGGCTTCTCTGGCTTGCTAATCGTGGCTTTCAGGATCAACTCGTAGTAGCATGAGCCTAAATTACTGCTATGGAGCATCAGGCGCCCAGTGCTCTCACCTACCTTCAAAGGCTGGTACTCAAAGACAAGATTGGCCTGGGAAGGAAGGAGGCAAAAGCCACAAGCTCAGGCAGAGGATGGGGAAATCAGTCCTAAGTGTGCTCACGCAGTGCTGGGTGGGAGCCCAACCTACTCTAGACAGAACCCAAAGGAGCCCAAATACCAGCCCTTCACCCATCATCCCTGCTTTAGCAAGCTCTAGCAGCTGTGCCCTCGCTCTGCTCACACATTATCAAATTTGAGTTAGAAAGGACTGGCTGGCATGCACCCCCCCCCCTCTCCCCACACCCCTGCTTTCTTGGGAAACAAGGATTAAACCCCCACTCCATACAACGTGCTTCTCTTTCAGTGCTACTAGAGTCCTAATTTTGTCTTTATAATGTGTTTCCAGCAGTTCTCAGCAAAGCTGGGCAGCCTGACGCAGCTGAGCACACTGCTAATGAGGAGATGGGAGACCCAACTGACCCAGTACAGGGACCTGGCCCAAAGAAGAGCAATCACAGAAAGAAGATGCAAGGCAGTCACGCTTGCAGGATGGCCTGTGGGACTCTGGGTTTGCATATCTCAGGAGGCAATGTGACAAAACATCAGGACAGGGCAATTCCCACTGGAGATATTCTCATTCACTCCTTCCCTTTTGAGTTATTAGCAAGTGGGAGAAGTTGGAGTTGTTATCCTTAGAGAGCAGCCCCATATTGACCAGCATAGGGCCATCGCCTTCAAAGAGCACCTGCTCCCAGAGAGGTTGAAAAGAGTGCACTGGGTGAGCTCTGCACCTACCTCTGAATGAGCAGGAACAGTGAAATGTGGGGGAACGGTGATGTCAGGCACTTTGCAATCTACGTCAAACACCACTGGGGCAGCAAGAGGGTTGTCCACCTTGATGGTGGAAGACACGTTCTGCCGGACAGCTGCTGTCACTTCGACAGTGCCAATGGGTCCTGAAGCAGTGGCCTTGAAAGTGATCATGTAAAACAAGTATTCCTCGGTCACCTCATTGAGGAAGGTCACCTGAATCAGGGGAAATAAAAAAAAAAAAGGAAGCTCTGGTCATCTTGCACACGGAAATCCACCAGGGGTGTTAGGCCAGCCCAAAGACCTCTCCAGATCAGCACGCACACTGCACAGATGCCCATGAGCAACTGCATGGGAAGAGTGCAAGACTGGGGCAAAGTATTCCCATTCGTAATCTCCAAAATGCTTCCACCTCACCTATGTCCTGACCAGCTTGTGCTTTGCAGCCCTCAAGGGCTGCCAAGACTGACAGCACAAGGAGTGCATGGGGAGGTGCCTGGTGTCTGCCTGGGGCCTACAGGCTGGGCACGTGGAGGTATGAAAAGAAATATGTGGCTTCTCAGCCAGCAAAACAGCTCCTGGAAGGCCTGCAGCCTGGTGTCTACATTTACCATTGTGCTAAAGACTCCTTCCTTGTAGGAGAGGAATGTGAGCTTGTAGTCCTTCTTGCCGGAGCCAGGCACATCAATGTATTCCAGCCCATGCAGCACAGAACTATGCTCCACGTCCTCTGCTTGAAGTATTTCTGTTACCACAAGGAACCTGCGGGTGAGGAGGAGGCAGTGAGGGTAGGAAGGAAGGAAACCCATAGGATGCCCATCACCTGGGGGTACACCACAGCCCCTGCTCCTCCTCCCTGCCTTGGGCAGAGGGAGCCAGTACCCATTTGGCCTAGAGAAAAGTGCTCCAGGGTGGGTCTGAATGTGAGCAGTGTGACCACAGGCATCCGTGGCCAGAAAGTGGCCAAGAAGAGTGCAGAGCTTGCTGGAAGGACTCCCATTCAGCAAAAAGCCCTTCCTTGCACCACTGCAGGATTTGCTGATGGGAAGAGACCTCCTGGGCCCAACTCACCTCTGCGGTTTGTTCAGCCAGTTGGAGACGGGGAGGAGCTCAGTGTAGGGAGTCCTGCATGGCACCTCCCGAACAATGGTCCCTGAGCACTTTGGGCCCTCAGCAAATCCTTGCAGGAGGTAGTACAAGCCTGTCCCATCTGGTAATGGGAAAAAGATGGAGCCCTAGAGACAAGGAATGGGGCTTGTGAGCTCTCCTGCTCTCAGCCCAGAGCAGTTACTGGCTCTTTTGTGCACAGTATTCATCTCAGGAGCCAACACCAAAAACGCCTTCTGTGGCATCTCCTCTGCTTCCAGAAGAACTGAAAACTTCAGGACTCTTAATGTAAGGCTTTAAATACGAATATCATATGTTAAGGAGATACCAATCACGTGCAATCCCAACAGGGTATAGATGTGCTCAGTGCCCCAGAAACTGACCCGGGAGATCTCTGGCCTCCCTTATTGCTCTGGGCTTCAGTAAGGCCAGATGGAGCAGGGCAATGGGCAGGTGCCCAACATAGGATTTAGGATAATTCATGTTTAGAGGAGACCATCTTGTCTAACATCCTGCCCAAAGCAGGGTTGCCATGAGGGTTGTGCCAGGAGGGTCAGCGCACTGGCTCAGCTCACATACCTGATGCTTCTCTTTCTTAGAGCTCATGGTTAGGGGCTTGTAGGTGATCTTGTATGGCTTGTCTTTTTGATTGCCCTCAAGGTGGATGCATTCGGGCCCTTTCCAGTGGTCGCCCTCAATGACAGGCTTCACGGCCCAGGGCTCATCGCTTGGGTTCGACAGGAGGATGGTCTGGCTGTGCTTCTCACGCACCTTGCATGAAAAAATCAACGTCTGCAATGGAGGAGCACAGATCATGCTTGGTTGGACAGAGGATTTCTTCCCACAGGGCTGGCACCTGCTCACCCACTTGCAGAGAGATCAAAGGAAGAGGCAGAAGTCTGAAAAAGGGTCTTAGACCATCTCTAAGTAAGAAGCACAGTAAGAAGCATTTTAGGAAAAGTCATCTGCCGAATGTCCATTTGTGCCATAGCTTTTGGAGTCAATCTTGTTGGTTGTTCGTAGAGAAAGAAGAGGAATGAGTTTTCTCACGCTGGGTGAAGGAGAAGGAAAACGAGGAGCAGGTAAGGGGCCCCCAGGCTGTACCCTGCAAGAGGTGTGGTGGGATAAGAGGGACCCAAACCCAGCACTGCTGCTGTTACCTCTTTGATGACGGGGGTCTCCATGCAGCACCCTGCCAGAGCAAGGCAGAGTGGCTCACTGCCCTGGATGAAGCACTGCAGCCCCTCAGACTTGATAGAGGGGCTCAGCTTCGACGGGTGGAAGCTCACCACGAAGGGGACATCCATTCCTGGGGAGATGTAACCCTTGGCAGGGCTGATGGAGAAATCTGGCTCGAAGCTCTTGATGTCCCACTTAAACCTTGCAAAGGAAAGCAGAAGTACAGAAAGGATTAGCAATGGGGAGGCTGTGAGTGCAATATGCTCTTTCCACACCTACTGTACTCTTCTCCACAGGATCTCAGGTGTGGTGAGGTTTTAAGCTGGGCAGGACTCAGCTTGCACCCTAGTGCTTTTGAGTGTATCCCTGATAACTGCCAGGGCCTGACTGCACAGCTCTCCAACAAAGCAGAAGGGAACTACCCAGGCAAGCTACAGCACCATCCAACCCCCAGCCCAGCTCTCGGCACTCAGACAAGTCATGGTTTTACATTACTTGACTCCAACGTCGCCCGTGTTCCGCATGGTGATGCGCTGGGATGTGCAGCTCTGCTGCACCACTGCTCCAAAGCTGAGGTGCTCCTGGTCCAAGCTGACACAGATCCCCTGGCAGGAGCCCTGCAGCATGAACAGGGAGCGCAGCAGCCCGCTGCTCTCCAGCATCACTTCTTCAGTGAACGGCTGAATGCGGCGCTTTGGGGAGAAGATCACCTCCACTTTACAGGTGTCTCCTTTGGGCTTCAAACTTAATTCTCTGTTGGGGTGCAAGCAGAGAACCTGTGCAAAGAAATGAGAGGCCAGCACACATTTGTAATTAATGCTAGCTCCCATCCCAAGCAGCTCATGGGTACCTGCAGGTACTCCTGTAGATTCCCCTAAGGGCTCTCTAGTGAAGGAAGTGGCCTTACCCCATCTTCTTGCAGTTCTGGCACAGTGGGCATGACACAAAGCTTAAAAGTGAGAGGGGCAACACTATTGTTTGCTATGGTGACAATCTTCTTCACCGTCTGCCCCACAGAGAGGGCTCCCAGCTTCACCACCTTCCCTTGAGGTTCCACAATGTCCACCTGAGACAGGAGGGATCAGCGTGAAACAAAAGGAAAGGAGGAAAACCAAATCATGGCAGGCTGGGGAGGAGAGATGAGGAAAGCCATGCTGGCTGGCTGGAGTTCTAGGGTTTGGATTTCGTCTCACCTTCATTTCTGCACCCTTTCCTTGGACCTCAACAGTCTGTTGACAAAGACCATTGATTTCAAAAGGAATGACCTCACAGTAAGATGCAACTTCTCTGGGATAGAAAGTGATGGGCACCTCCACCGTCCCTCCTGGTTGAAGGATGTACCCCGGGAAATCCACCTCCAGGTGCATGGTGTTGGTGAACAAGCAGCTCAAACTGGCAGAAAGCACAGCAAAGAGAAGCAGAGGTGTTGCGTGTGGTGCTCAGGAGACAACATCAGGGCTGCAGTGTTATATTAGGGCACAATGGCTACATCCTGGGGTGTGCTTATCTTGGCAGCAGGTCATAGTATGCTCAGTAGAGGGAAATGGCCTGAAGTGGTTTCATGTGTGATTGGCACCCCAAGGAGAATCGTATACAGGCAAAGACTCCCATCAGCCAGGGGAAATGCTTTGTGAAACCCCATGGCCAGCACAACGCGGGCATGAAGGAGACTGCTGGGTCTGGCACAGGATAGGTGAGGAGTGAATGAGCATGTGAAGTCCTACCTGACATCTTTGTCTGCTTTGTTTGTAATGGCAAGAGTCTGCCGGGCAGGTGGCATCCCAGCCTGGTAGATGAAACAGGCTCCGAAGTTGAGTCTTGTGGTTGAGAAGTGGACAGTGGGCACTACCACAGTGGCCAGGAACACGCAGGTAAACATAGGACCCTTGCTGATCTGGTGGGGAGAAACACAGCATAAGCCAGCTCAAGAGATGGGAACTGCAGCCACAAACACAAGAGATGGGTGAGGAGGAGCGTGGGGACAGCTGGCTGCAGTGACAATATTGAAAGCCTGATGCCAAAGGACAGCAGAAAGAGGAGGGGATGGTTTCTGGAGAGTCACGACCTCGGGTGAGCACTCAGTAAGGTAATGGGTTCAGAAGCTGTCAGGCTCTCCAGTTTGGCAGCAGTAACCTCTCTGTCCTGGATCTTCAAAGCTGGAGCTCACCCCCAGCTCTGGGCTCCTGCTGCCAAGCTGACACGTAGGAAAGGCAAAGCTTCCCCATTACACACAGCTGCCTCACCTGCAGTGTCAGCTCTACGTCCTTTAATGAGCACATTTTCTGAGGGTGAAAAACCAGCTGGGTGTCCACCTTGCCCTCAGCCTGCACGCTGCCTGTCCGAGGGCTGAGAGACAGGAGCTGCACCCGGGCTGTGGGGCCACTCAGCTCCCACGAGAAGGTGAAGCTGAACTTGCCGTTGTTGTAGATGCTGAAGGTGCGCCGGGTGCTCTCGTTCAGCTGCACCTGGGGGGGGGAAGTGGCAAGGATGTGGGGTTGTGGCACCTGCAAAATGCCAACAGACACAGCAAGGGCTCCTTCCTCACATGCTCCTGGGTGCTTCCCATTTGATGGATGAGCAACATGAAAGATCAGTCTCCCTCTCTCTACAGAACAGCTTGTGCGTGTAAAAGATGAGCAGTAATGGCCTCACGTTGTGCCAGGGGAAGTTCGGGTTGGATATTAGGAACAATTTCTGCTCCAGAAGAGCAGTGATGCAGTGGCACAGCTGCCCAGGGAGGTGGGGAAGTCACAATCCCTGGAGGTGCACAAAAACCACTGGGATGTGGCACTGAGGGACACGGGCAGTGGCACGGTGAGGGTGGGCTGATGGTTGGACTCAATGATCTTAGCAGTCTTCTCCAACCTCAGTGACTTTATGAAACGTCTTCCCTCCTGCTCAAACACTTCTGCAAAGCTCCTGGTTGAGGTTCCATCTTGCAGGACCATGCGGAGCAAGGGGAGCTGCTCACCTCCTTGAAGTCAATGACGTTGACCTCCTGTGCACTGAGCTCAGTCACACCGCCATCGCTGTTCTCGCACCTGACAGACACACTCATGCTGTAGCCAGTGGCCTTGATATTCAGGGAGAGGGGCTCTGTCTTCCTCTTGACATCGCATTTGAGGTTGAAGACCACCTCTCCTTCCAGTGTCGGTGTAAAGGCAATTTTAATGGGATATCTGGGGAGAGAAAACCCATTTTTGGCTCCATTCACTCTCTGATGGCTTTCTTGGCCCTGTACTGCATTGGTCCTTGGGAGAGCAGCGTGCAGTGGCTGCAGCAAGGCCCTAGGTTTGGAAGAAGCCAGCAGCTGTGCATAGTGCTCTGTTGCAAAGCTCAGCATCTTTTAAAACAAGGCAAAGCTGCCTGGAGCTAATGCAGCACCCGAGCAGGCTGTGAGCAGGCACAGGCCTGGTGGATCTGTGGTATTGGTTGGACAGCTGCTGGCTTGGGAGATCAGGTTAAAGCCTCAAAACATGATTTTGTCATTAAAACCGGAAGATCCAAGTCTGAGCTTCTCTGGGAAGGGGGCCCATAAGACCAGGGTAACCCAAACAGCCACTGGATAGCAAAACCTGCAGGTTCCTGGTGCTCCTTTGGGGAGGGAATGAACCAAGGCGGATATGTGCCATTGCTGAGTGTCACCTGGTGACTGCACAGGGGAGAAAGCCTCCAAAGCAAAGTGACCATGCAACATTTGGCTGGTGGGAGAGGGAATCTGGCCTGGTAGCCCATCACACTGCCTCATTACCTTGAAAGGGGAGCAATGGAGCCTTCCATGGGCTCTACTTTCACCGAGGTGCCGCATCCCTCTGAGAAGAGCGAGCTTTCTCTGAAAGCAAAGGCGAAAGCCTCTTTCTCACTGTTGATCATGTAGATGGTCTGGTGTACTTTGTGCCCTGGAAAAGAAACAGATCAGTCTCTGAAAACCCTCTGGCAGCACAGCCACCACGGCACAGTGTGCTCCTGCCCGCATGCTGAGCCCCGTGGAAGTTTGCAGCATGGCATGCTCAGGATGAGAGCATGGAAACCAGCTTCTCACCCCCTGGTCTTCCTGGCATCACTTCCCAAATCCTCTCCTGGAAGCCTCAGCCACACACTGTGCCCCCAACACCCATGTCTTCTTCCCTTCCCCTCCCTCTTCCTCCTACAGTCAGGTCCAGGAGCTGGCTGATCTGCTCACAAGTGCCAGCTCCCATTTCAGCTTCCTTTTGGGAGTTTGGCTCGAACAACAGAACTGGATCAGCACATGTCTGAGTGTATAAGGCATAACCACGTGCTCACCAACTAACAGCAAATGGAGGTTCAGGTGGGACCTGTCCAGAGTCACCAGTGGTTCGGTGCTGTGTCCCACCAGCAGGAACAGGACTGACATGCTCTTCTCAGGGATTGTAAAGACCCAGAAGGACTCGGTGATATCCAGATGTCGGGGGATGAATTCAAACTTGATCTGAGGAGAAAGAGGCAAATGAAGGAGTGTTGCTGCCCTTGGCAGGGGTGAGGGAAGGAAGTGCAGATTGTACCATAGAGAAATCCCAGAAAGCTCCCAGCTCAGAGGCAGGTCACTGTGACACTTACTACAGCCCAAAGGCATGGCAGATGTTGGCAGTGTAAGAACAGGTTTTCTGCCAACTCCAGTCAATAGTTCCTTCATGACTTTGCCTAAAGCAAGCTCACAGTGAGACCAGACACCCAGATTAGACACAGCTGGTGTCAAACTGGCATATATCTACAGGGCCAACCCTCTTCCTTTTCTGCACCCACCTCTGCTTTCTTCCCAGGCTGGATCTGCCCTTTCTCTGTGAGGCAGAAGAAAGCTCTCTGTCCTGGTGGGGCTTCAGGGTCCTGGCATGTCCATTGGAAGGAGTATGCAGAACTGGTTGGGTTCATCACCTTGAAGGTCCTGGGCACACAAAGTGAAAAAGACTGCTAAGGTGGCAGCAGGACGTTAATAATCCCATCCTGCAGCAGACATCAAGCACTGCCAGTCTGGACATCATCCAGATGTTGGGTGCAGGTGGACAATGCTGGGAACACGAACATTTCATTTGCTTTCTGCAAGCAGTGTTTGTCTCCTAGGTGGAAATAATGCCAGTTACCGAGAAAGAAATTATAGAAAGGATATAGCCAAACTCTTGAACCTTAAAAATGGTGAAATCAGGTCCAACAAGACTCCTTTGGAAGATGATACTGTCTGTTGTGGCTGCAGCCTTCAGTGATCCTGTCTGGCTGGTATGTCAAAGGAGCAAGAACGTCTCAAAGATGCTCTTGGAAGGGACCAATGTTGTACTGCCCCATAGCACAGGCTAGATGGGGTTCTCTTAGCTCAACCCCATGCTGAGGAGCTGAGCACATACTATCAGCTGTGTTCATTGAAGTAAAGGGCAAAGAGAAGGAAAAACTGGCCACTTGTTATTCAGCAACTTGTTCCAGCCCCACAGCAGACTGGTGGCCACGTGTCAGCACAACACAGACACGGTACAGATGTGCCACAGGGCTGGAGATGTCTCTGCTTAAGGAGGGTGACAAGAGGCCATTAACAGAAGCCATGCCCACACCTACCTGCTGTTCCTGCTGCCAAGCCCAGTTGCTGCAAACTCAATTACTCTGGTCTTCAGGTCTAGCACTGCCCCTCTGGGCTCTGGCAGCTCTGGTTTGCGCCTCTTTGCAGTGATGTAGTCAGAATCCTTCAGTTCAAAGTGGCAGTGTGGCATCTGGCTTTTCCCCTCCACAACCACCTCTGGGCCCTTCTGATTTGGCTTCAGGTTAGGAATGCTAGAAAGAATGACATTAAGAACGTTGTTCCCAGACAGACAGACAGCTGCTTGTGTTGTATTCTTTCTCAGTGCAAGAAATTCCAGCAGAAGTGCAAAGCTGAGATGGTCGAAGTGGGAACAGCTGTGTGTCTACAGAAGAACACAAGTTTCTATGTAGACAGGAAGGTTGTGCTTGTCTGACAAAGAAGGCTATTTAGCTTTTGCTGGCCCCTAGGCAGCCTTTCTGGATCTCCCATTCCAGATGCTACAACACAAGAAGAGCTTAATATTTTATAAAACATCTCCTTCTGCTGTCTCCATACCTGCTTCCACCAAGGCCAGATAATCACCTTTACTCACTCCTGCATGCTGGTTATTCCTGCTGCCCCTCTGAGGCTGGCTGTCCCCAGGTCTGCATTCCACCCCCGAGTAGAGGCAAAGCAGCACGAGTTCAAGAGTTACCATTCCTACCTGCAGACCATGCAGCTCTTAAACTTCCCCACGTACACCGGGCAGAACTTCATCTGGAAGAGCTGCTCCTGGCCAGCAGGGATGGTGCCGCTGGGAGGCTCAACACAGAACACTGGGGTGGCATGGCCAAGGCTTGTGGGTGAGCTCAGGGTGGATGAGGTGTGCTCCAGGCCATGGCCCAGCTGGACAAATGGGAGCTTCACAGGGGCAACAGACATGGAGGAGAGGCAACGTCCTGTGGGAAGGAAGAGCTTAGTGGGACATTTGCTTTCATGAGGGAAATCCTATCAAACTCTCTTCATCTCCAGAACTGAGTTGCTAAAGGAAAACTTCTCCTGTGGAACGGCTTCTGGTCAGCGTTCACCCCTATGCATTTCCAGGAACTACTGAGTGATTTGGCCCAGGTCAAAGCTGTGCCAACTTATGGTACAGCAGTGCATTGCACCAGCTGGGAATATTTCTGAGCACTGTGTCACGTTGGACAACCTCATTCCATCAAGGACAGCATCAATGGTTGAACTAGATAATCCCAGTGGTCTTTTCCAACCGTAACGATACTACGATTCTCTGACTTCCATAACCAGTGCCCAAGACGACCGATGGCACAGCCCAATAAATCAGCTTCAGCACAAGCATGCTGGGAAGGAACCAACATCAGGACAGACAGACAGGGAGGTGAGCACATTCAATGGATGCCAGGCACCCCAAGCTGCCAGCAGAGCCGGTGCCGTACCTTCCAGCCCAGCTGGGCTCGCTGCTCTCTCATCCCCCATGGCTGCCATCCAGGTGTATTCCAGGGACACATTTCCTGTATTGGACAGCCGGAAACTGAAAAACAAGGAGAAAAAAAAAAAAGAAAAGTAACAACTAATGAAGGCTGTCACTGAGGAAATATTTACAAGCTTAGAAGTTCAAGAGGAAGGTGCAGATGTGGTGCCTGAGGGATTCAATCCAAGCGGTTTATTCCAGCCTTGCATCTCAAATGGGCAGCTGCCTTTGAAGCAGCCCCTGCTCCACCTCCACCACTCACGGGAATCTCCTTGTCTGGAACAGCAAGGTCTCCTTGAACTGAATTGAGTCCACATCCACTTGGAAGTCAGCATAATCAATGACAGCACTCAGGCGAAGTTCTACTTCACGGCTGCTCTTCTCCAGGATGGTGTGAGCTGGTTCTGGGTCTGTCTCGATCACCTCCAAAGAGGACAAGGAAGAACCACTGAGCAGAGAGCTTCCGAGACTCCAAAGCAAAGCTCAGCTCCATACAGGAGCTAGGAAGGACCATTCCCATTTATTAGATAAATAATGCTGCTCAAAGTGGTCACCACCACGGCTGTGGATATGCCCATGTGGTCTACGACCAGTTATCAGCCCCCACGTTTAAATCCCATAGAATGTCTGACATTTGTCCTGGCCCCCAGTAAATATGACAGGTCTCTATAATAGGATTAAGCTTCTCTGTTGGAGCCCCGTGGGCAGAGAACTCAAAGAGTGAGCAAATCTAAGTACCATCTCTCCTTGAAAGTGCCTTCCGAATGTCACGTGTGGGACAACAGCCACACAGACACCTTGGGAAGGGAATGAGATCATTAGGGAAATCTCTGGCTGCTGATGCTCTGACGGAGAAAAAAAACAACTTAGAGGTCTTATAATAGTTCAGAAACCAGGGAAGAACCATCACTCAAGGTAAGAGTGTACAGAATCACAGAACAGCTGGGGTTGGGGACTTTAAAGATCATCTACTTCCAACTCCTTGCCATGGGCAAGGTTGCCAAGCCATGCTCACCAGCATGCTGTCATCAGGTTTGAAAGCTAATTGATAGCAGGGCCTCAGCTTGGGGCAGGAGTTCCCCAGAAACCCCAAATGATTCTGGAAACCACAAGGAAGAGATGACAAGGCTGGTTCTCTGAGGAGCTCCTCAGAGGGCTGGAAGCTGCCTGGTTACCTACATTCTTCCATTCTCAAAGGTGTGGAATAGTGAATTACTGACTATGTGTCATTCTTTTCGGGCTTGATTTTCCTTCAGTAATTTTACAGTTACTGTAAAATTAGCAAATTGAAAAGCTCTAATATTACTTGGTGCTTGACCAAGAGCTTCTGAAGATGCTAGTTCTCTGGACTCCTGTAAAACCACCATACTCATGCTTCAGGAGGAAGCAGGAGCTGCTGAGCCAGCAGATGGTGGCTTTGCTGCTGTAGGCATCTGTTTTTATGGGTTGGCTTTTGCTGCTGTACTTCTTACCTTCCTCTTGACTGGCCACATAGCTGCCTCCCCCCTGGTGGCATCCACCCATCTGACAGTGTGCAGGCGGTCGTCCCAGTCGGAGACCTGCTCTGCTGGCAGCTGGAAGGAGATCCTGGCCACCTTACACTTCACAAGCTGTGCTTGGCAGGTGACTGCAACATCCGACTTCAAGGTCACTGTGATGTCCTTAGCACAGCCAGCATGGAGGTGTCCCACCTAGGGAGAATGGGAGCCAAGAATCACTGGCAAAGAAGGACCATCAGCAAAGGGGCTGTGACGCAAAGATACCGTCTCCTACAGCAAGAAGCCCCAACTAAGCTCTGGTTTGCATCTCCCGGCACTGAAAAGCAGCACCAGGAGTTGGAAAGTCACTGGTAGCTCCCAGAAATCTGTCTGGGCAGTGGGAAAGGCAAAGCTGCCAGCACTCACCTGGGGTGAGAAGTGGAAGGGGGGGCCTGCCAGCCACTCGAACCGCATCGCCTCCGCCCGGCTGCGGTTGGTGATCGTGAAGGTCACCTGGTAGGGCTTCCCAATGTGACAGTCCCCAAACTGGATGTGATCCACTCTGCCAGCTGTTAAGGAGGACAGCAAGAGATGTCAGTGTGCAGTGAGGTCCATCCACCCCGCCTGACTCCTTCCATCAGGTCTGGTGGTGACAGCACAGGATTGCTCATATAGAGAGCACATGCTTGAACACGGCCTTCATCTCCACGCTGTATCACATGCACACAGACTTCCTGTGGCCCTGCCAGAGATGTCTGCTTGAATTCTCTTACCTTCAATTACGTCCTCCTCCACATTGCCTTCAGTGTTCTCCTCAAAGCTGTCTGCCACAAGCCCGTGGATGTTATCTAGCGTGAAATCATCCTCATAGCCCTCACCCACCAGCTGGATGTTGGTCTCCTCATAGGGGTTGTCCACCACAGACAGGTGGATCTGCCCTTCCACACGCTGGGGCAGGTTGGGTTTGAAAAGCACGTCAAACTCTGCTGATTCCCCATGATGTAGAACACAGGAGGCAGTGTGGGGCTTTCTCCCTGCACCGGTGAAATTAGAGACAGCAATAGATCTGTTCAGAGGAAATTCTTCCTTGGGATATAATAGGAAGAAGTGGTTGAAACCCAGCTGTCTCTAAGCACAGGTGCTCCCACCTATGGCTCTGCATGTTCCCCTTATGCTCACAGGGCTATGATGACAGCACACACAGCCTTAAGTGTCTCAAAGCCTGGTTAACACCTGGCTCCCGAATCTCCTCCAGTCAGTGCCTAACATCTAGCTGCTGCTTGGCAAACCTTGAGCCTGGCACATGTTTAGAATAACAGAATCATTAAGATTGGGTGAAAAAGAGCTCTCAGGTCCCTAAGCCCAACCCCACCCCCCCATGCCCACTACCAACGTCCCTCAGTGCCGCATCCCCACGGCTCTGGGACACCCCAGCGATGGTGACTCCCCCTCTCCCTGGGCAGCTGTGCCACTGCATCACTGCTCTTTTGTAGAAGAATTTTATCCTACTGTCCAACCCGTGTGGATGCCCACACTTCATGGCTAGTGCATTCACCTTCTCCAGTAGAATCCTCCTTTGTGTCTGCAGCCTGGTAGATGCAGTGCGTGGTGGGCCTGGCTTTCAGGAAGAAAACTCTCGCTTCATCCAACATATCTATCAGCAACTGAGAAAAGGGAACACAGAGCACTGCCACAACAGTGAGAGTGCAGGACAGCCCAAAGACTGAACTGCTGCTGGTTCCTCACTGGGAAAGAGTAAATAATGAGCAGAATGGAATTAAACTACAGTCAAGCTTAATTAAACTGCAGTAAGATGTGATAAAATAGAATATAATGTAAGTAGGACGCCATGCATTTCCACATATGAGATAGGAGGGGAATGGAGAGGAGACGCACAGTGTAGCAGCAAGTCTGTGCCATGCTTTCTCCTCCATGGGACAAGAACTTGCACCCAGAGTAGCTGATGCATTCCCACAGCAGCCCCTCACCTGGACAGGTATGATGCCATTGTTCTGAAGGACCAGAGGGAGCTTTTCTGAATCACCAAGCAGCAGCTTCTTGAAGAGGAGCAGAGGGTTCCCCCTCTTGTTGCGAAGCACTGGGCGCAGGACTGTCACCCGAGGCAGGTTCCCCTCCCCACTGATATCAAATGTCAGGCTTTCTGTTTTAATTGCCACTGGGCTGCAGGAGGGGCAGAGGAGAAATTGTTATTGGCTGGTATTTATACAGCCCCCTTGTCCCTCTCCTCCCACATCCTTAGCACAGGAGCCAGGAGGAAATAACGTGGCACAGAAACCACTTCATCGTCCCCCTACCATCTCAGAGGCTGTGTTACCTTGCCTGGGTTTCAAGGCAAGCCTCAAAAGTGCACTGGTAGTTCTGCATCGTTTGTGGAGTGAAAGTCACTGTAGCAAAGGCGTGAGAATGGCTGGGCACACACATCTGAATGGGATCCACCTCAAAGATGTCACTGATGCGGCTGTTCTGCTGGAGGGGAGCACACGGATTGGTGTTAGGACATAAAAGCTTCCACGCAGCGCAGCCCAATTCACACATGCATCAGGGAGCAGGGGACAGGACACCTCCGTCTCAAGGGGAGACACCAAAGTAATGCTGGCCTTAAACAGGGAGCTGCCATAAAGCCCAGGAGAGCAGGAGGTGCATGGAAAACTCTGCAAATAATCTAGAATTGACCTTCAAAGAGAAGAAAAACAAGGAGCCTGAAGAAACGGCCTCCTTGGAGCCCAGACACATTGGCCCCAGTAGAAAAGACCCTTCGATGTGCTTCCTAGAGAGAACCAGAAGGGTTCAGGTCTCCCTCCACAGACCTGGAGGAATGAGCCAAAACCTTGAGATGTGCTGGACACAACCCAGGGGCTGTTGCTCTCCCCTGTAACTTTGTCTGCACAGAGCTGGACTAGAGCAGGCAAGATGAATCTAGAAAGCAAGGCAGGCTCCCACCTTAAAAGAGGAGCAATCACCTCACCCTTTTCTTACCTTACTGGAGATGGGCTTGATGGAGAGGACCACATCACAGGGGACTTTGCCCACATTGCGGATCTTGAAGCGGGCTGAGGCCCGGTGCCCAACCAGAACGTTGGTGAAGATGAACTTATTCTCATCTGTGATGAACACACCTTTGTCCTGCACAGTCTGCAGGATGTGGCACAGGTTGGCGTTGCTGCAGATACGATGCTCCTCGAAGATGGAACCTATGTCATCAACTACAAATGCTGCGAGAAGAAAAGAGGACTGAGAAGCACTCCTGCTGAGGTTACGTGGACCCAGAAGGCTGTAAGACTCATCCTGGGAGCCCAGGCACCAGGACTTTACTTTCTGCTTGCCCTTCCACATATTCCTCCTGCCCTCTCCCTACTGTTGGACTTGGCTATAGCAACCTGTAGGTGGTGTATACCTGGAAGGCAGGACTCGGCCAGCAGGGTGTAGGGGATGCCAACAGGGTTGTCCTTGGGGTCTCTGTCACAGATATTGATTGATAGATGCGCCTCGCACGTCCCCACTGGCTCTGCCTGGCAATCCACTGTGATGGTCTGCTGGCCCCCAGGGTGGATGGAGCCAAAGCCAGGGTACACCGTGAACATGCCAAGGGTCAAGCGTGCCTGCAGACAGAGCCCCAAAGAGGCTGATGACTCGCAGCCTTGCCTTGGCTGTCCCCAGCAAGGAGCATGCCACCCCCTGGCCTCCAGTCACTGAGGGGTGACCCATGGCCCAGAGGCAGCCCCACTACGTGACTGTATCCCAACCCGTGGCCACCCACCTGCATGAAGGGGTTTGTGTCCTTCTGCAGAGACTGCCTGTTTTGCTTCCCAGAGTTGGGCACTTTGTCGATGCTTTCATCGTCATTAGAGTGGTTGGACATCCCATGATTGACACTGTGAGGAGAAAGCAGAATTATCCATCGTGCTGAGCTCCTCGCCATCCTCCAAGGCCAGAACCTTCTGGCCATGGAGGGAAGCCTTCCTACACTCGTGTTCCTGATGGATCCACAAGGGTTGCCTGGTGATGGCCATGGGTAGATCAGCTTTACCACCAACTCTGTCCTACTCACAGGGCAGCTGAGGCATTTTTGGGTCCCTTGGATCACCAGCCACACTCTCATGACTGGGACAGGCACTGCAGAGCTTCACCCACCTTTTCCTTCTTGGTCCAGATGCATCCTGCTCTGCTTTGTAGATTTGGAACTTGAAATCAAGGCTGCCTCTGTTTTCCAGGATGAAGCTGCAAGTTTTCTTGGTGCCATTCACCACAGTCCCGAAATCAATGAACGAAGCTGGGGTGATGCTGTACTTGCTGAACATGGCCTTGGCAGACACCTTCACTGGGATGATGGCGATGGTCTCCCCTCCTTCACAGAGGCTGGGCTCAATCACCTGCAGCCAGAGGAAGGTTTGGTAACACAGCGAGGAGCCCCATGGCCCCTCCTGTCACCCCACGTCACCTTTAGCCTATTAGCCCTGTTCAGTGCCTCCTCCAGAGCCAGATTTTCAGCTCTGCTTGGGAAGCATCACCAACACCTTCTAAAGATTACATTGCATGTATCTAAGAGAGGATTTCCCAGCTTAAACCTCTCCTTCCAGGAGACACACATCCTGGGTGTGAGCAGCCACCCACCTGCCTGGAGCAGCTCACCTGGCACTTCAGGATGGGTTTGTCCTCGATAATTATTTCTGCCTTGGGGTGGAAGACCAGATGGACATGCACAGGGCGCTCCGAGGCAGCCAGCACCCCTCTCTGTGGCAGGATGGCAAAGTGGGATGCCAAGTTTGGAATGTCAGTATCCGCATTTTCAAACGTGAAGCTGGGGACAAAGGAAAGAGACAAAGACCTCTGTGGTTATAGGTGGGTAGCAGCAACACAGCCAGGACCTTTAGGAAAAAAATAAAAATAAAAAGAAAGAGGGAAAGAGTCAAAAGAGTCCATCTCTGCCATCCCCAGATTTTGGCACAGGCTGCAGACTAAAAGTGCTCCAATCTCACTTCAACACTGACTTTCTCTTTCCCTCATTTAAAGAGTTTCGTAAAGAGAAATGAACACATCCTAAAAGCAAGGACAGACAAGGTGGCCCAAGCAGTCGCTCACCTGTATGCAATCTCATACTTCCCTTTGTTCTTCAGGGTTAACATTTGCTTTGCATCGTCCTGCACCCTAATGACTCCAAAATCCACGTTGCCATCCATACCTGCAGAAATCCCATAAGGGGTAAGAGATGGGCAAGATCTGAGTTGCTGTGGGCTGCAAGATGCCTATCTGAGGCTCTCAAGTGGGACAAAATCCTCAGCACCCTTCCCAGCCTGGAAGTTTAGCTGCTCTGTTGCCCTTTCTCTTGTTTAGAGAATATCTGCAGGGTTTAGCATACAAGGAGCCCAGTTTCCACCTCCTTGCTTCCACAGTTTCAACTACTCCCCAAGCTCTGCTGTGCCTCCAGGAGCTGCCAACTGCTTTTTCACATTGCTGTCATTTTGGCAAACCCAAATCAATCTGCGTGGGAAATGACACATTTCAAAGCTGGGACATAAGAGGCTCAAGGCTCTCTCTGCCCTGATGGTGCTTCATGCCACGCAGCTTGAAGGACACGTGCTTTATGGCCACGCTTACATGCCTGTGTTAGGAAAAAGGTCTCTGAAAGTGTGGTGAGGCATTAGAACAAGGTGCCTGAGGAGGTGGTGAAGTCATCGTCCTGAAGGTGTTTGAGAACCATGGGAGGGATGTGGTTAGGAGGCAATATTGATGGCAGGTGGATGGTTGGACTAGATGACCTTAAAAAGGTCTTTTCAAACCTGAATGATTCTATGATTCCACCCCAACCCCTCCCAGGTGTTTTGGTTGCATGCAATGAAATGCATCTGGTTTGGTTTGGTTTGGTTTGGGGCATCCACTGACCTTTGGCAATGGTGATGCTCAGAGCAACATCATAGGCTTCTGCTTGGATTTGTATATTTTCTATCTGAACAATCCCCAGGATGTTTTCTGCATCTGAAACCTAAAGCAGCAAGAAACAAACACTGCAGGAACAATTCTCCTAAGTTCTACTGGTAGATAATGATAGCTGGCTGGTTCCACCATGGCATACCCTACTTGGAGGGCTACCAGTGATTTAAATCATGGAGAACTATGGCCACAAAGACATCCTTTCTTGCTGCTAAGGGTCTGTAAGCAGAAAGGAAGTTCACAAATGCTCAGCCCTCTGCCCTCCTTACAGGTAACCCTTCCAGCACAACCTCCATCCCCGACACCCTTGGTTGCCTTGTCCTGCTCCACTCAGGACAGCAACATCCCCTCACCTCCAGTCGGATGGTCTTCTTAATGCTGACAGCCTTTGTGGCTTTGAAATACAGATAGATACCCAGTTCTGCACAGGGCTCCACAGTGCCTTCAGTTTGTGACACACAGAAGTCCTCGCCGAGGTTCTCCAGCCCGCTGAGCCTCCAGGCTGCAGGCAGCAGCATGGGGTTGCGCAGCACCAGCTGCTTGCTGTCCCTCCTGCAGGCACACCAAGATGCTCAGCACAGGCACCTTGCTTTGCACCTTGGAGCAGCCCTATCCTTCCCATTTGGCCAACGGCCCCTTTGAAAGATTGGTCTCCCTTTCTCTAAAGAACAACTTATATGCATAAAGGATGAAAGGATGAGAGGCAACAGCCTTAAGTTGGGTCAAAGGAGGTCAGATGAGATAGTAGGAAAAACCTCTGAAAGAGCAGCAAGGCAATGGCACAGCTGCCCAAGAGGTGGGGGAGTCTCCATCCCTGGAGGCATCCCAGAGGCGTGGGGATGTGGCACTGAGGGACAGGGGCAGTGGGGACGGTGGGGGTGGGCTGGGGTTGGACTTGGGGATCCGAGAATTGCGTTCCAATCTCAGTGATTCTACGACTGTACGATTCTGAATTGGTGGTGATGGGTTGACGGTTGGGTTTGATGATCTTAGAGGTCCTTCCAACCATAACTACCTACGACCCTATAATCCAAAGAAGCTGAAGGCTGGCTGATGGCTCTCGCTGCTAGCAGAGCAGCTGAGGGCTGACCTGTGCAGCAGCAGCTTCCCAAAGTTCACGTGCTTGGGGCTGACCGTCAGCTCTATCCGCACCCCCTGGCAGCACAAGCGGAAGACCACCGGCTCCGGGTTGTCCTTAATGCAGCACACGAGCTTGTCTTCCACGAGGCCGGCCAAAGTGGGGTACGCCCAAATGCTCAGTTTCTAACCCCAAAAAGAGACAGCGAAGAGGTCTGGTGAGCAGGCAGAGCAGCTCCTGGGTGCTGCATCGCTGCACGCTCGCCTCCTACCTGCTTCTCCTTGGGTTTCAGCGTCATGCTGGGAGGGTCTAAAATGAACGTGTCTGCTTTGAGATCGTGCTCGAAGAAGAAATGCACCTTTGCTTCCAAGGGGGTGATGTTGAGGATGGTTATCTTCTCACAGTTGCTGGGGAAGGGCAGCGCCTTGTACCTATCCACAAAGGGAGAAGGCTTCAGCAATGCTGGGACCGCTGCGCCTATCAGCCACCGAGGCAAGCTCTGCATGCTGGCAGCAAGAGGCTGCTCTCACCACAGAGTAACAAGCAGGCTAGGAAAAAGGAGCACACTGCATGCTGTGTTCAGCCTTCCATTACTTCTACGTCTGCGCCTTCACCTGGTGCCCCAATCCCATCAGTATGACAAGGCACAAGCACTTAAAGAAAGAACACTTTGCAAAACAAAAATTCAAGGGTCCCGCAAGAATAAAAGCCATCTGGCACACGGGTCCTTCCTGCATCTCTGGTCCTTTCCCTGCAGGGTGTCAAGAAAGGCTTTTGCAAAAAAAAATGGTTACAAAGGAAACCAAGACCGGAGTCCATTCATCAGGCTGCCTGAAGATGCCCTTTCGCTTTTAAAGGGTTTTTATTTCATTTCCCAGGGTTGTAAAATATCACTGGATCTCCAGGGCTCCCATGAAGGCAAGGGCTTCATTTCTGATATTAAAAAAAGAGCAAAATTAAAAATAGAACCACGCCAGCAGTGACAACGACAGCTTTTAAGGCAGACCTCATCCAGCAGTCAGGTTCATAAATCCCACTGTTATTCCTCTGCAGGTCACACGCACATGCTGGCAGGCCAAATCATAAAGTCTGCCTAATGTAACAGATTAATCAACATTTTACAAGGCTACGGGCAGAATAATTGCTTGGCCAGTCTGCCCATGCAGCTCAAAGCACTTCAAAAAGCACCATTACGTTCACTGTCATAAGCGAGGAAGCTGAGAGGTGGAGGCAGGACATGAGTTGCCCAAAGTCACCTTGGGCCATTAGGACGTCTACCCAGGACCAGCTGGCAGCCCACCAGTACGTACCAGTCTCTGGACTTCCCACAGAGCAGTGGCCCAAAGTGGAACACGCCCGTGCTCATGACATACTGCTTGAAGATGATGTCATTGTCTGCTTTGCTCTTCCTTCGGTGAGGAAACACCACCCTAGGAGGGAGAAAACGGGAAGGTGAGGAGCTATGAGATGCTCCAACCTGAAGCCATAAGCTTCAGCAGCAGAGCTTCCCAGCTCCAAGCTGGATGAGACAGTAATGCTCAGGTGGACTCATGTCAAAGGTGATGTAAAGTGGTGGGAAGTGGTCATTGGGGTACAATAGGCAGCCCCTGTTCCAAGTAGGGAAGCAGAGCATGGGGCAGCCTTACCGTGGGTCCTTACTGATGGTGGGGTACACACAAATGCCCCTGCAGTGCAGCTGGTACAGTCGCTTTGTCCCCAGCACCTCAAAATTCATCGTCTGGTCAAAATGGCCCAGCACCGAGGAGGTGAAGTGTACCTTCAGCTCCACCTGGCCATGGGCAGGCACGATCCACCGACAGCTGCTCAGCCTGGCAGTTACAGAGAAACACTTCAGATGTTGGGGACACGTCAACGAGACAAAGAGGAGGGCCAGGGACTCACCACCCAGCAGCCCATGGGAATGGCAAACCATTTGGTGAGATGGCTCTCCTTCCCCTCTCACCTGATGGGCTTCCCTGGAGAGGGGGCCACGTCCACGCTGCTTTGCTCCACATCAGCAGGATGTGTTGATGTTCCCGTGCCCGTTCCATGGAGATTCTTCTTGCTCCGGGCAGAGCTCCGCTTCTCTTTCTTGACCTCCTTGCTGCCCTCAGTTTTTTCCTTCCTCGCTTTCCCTCTGGTGGGGGTGAGCTGCTCCTCTGACACCTGAGCACCAGGTGAGGAAGAAGAGGAAGAGTAAGGTGAGACGAGCCCTAATTCATCCCCACCCTGGAAGGAAAGCTGCAGGTTTGTAGACAAACACGCAAGAGAACCCATGAATGACCAGTTTCTATTGGTTTCACATCTGCCCACTGCCTTGCTCTCCTTTACTTGGCTTCGTTTTGCCCATGAAATCTCTTTTCTGATTGCAACAAAGCCTCCATCCTTCCCCCAAACAGGGTTTGTTCAGTTGAATCAGGTCAGGGATGTGCTGTGGCTTCCTGCAGACATGGGGTCCATCACTGTTTGTCTGCAGTGGTTCTTCTCCATCTCCCCCACCCGCTCCCTTTGCCCTGGCACCTTTGTGGTAGGCGTGATGGGAGCATCCACAAGACTTTCTGATTCCTTCTTTTCTTCTTCTGCCATCGCACCTTCTGGCATTATGAAGGTGAAGTGCTTGAGGGCTTCTCCTGTTGGGGCCACTCGCTTCTCTGGGTAGTGGATCACAGAGTAAAATGCAGTCGGAGGAATGGGAGGCCCTGAGGGCCCCAGACCCAGGCTATCCAGGATCTAAAAGATCAGAGAAAACTCCGTCAGTTCTCGGTCACATTCATCCTCACACTCTTTCCTTTCAGACACTGAAAATCTGGCAGTGTTTTTACATGGAGTACTGTGCTTTTTTATGCACACTGGGGTGGATGGGCTCCAGAACAGTGCCAGGATGGCACTCCCTCTTTCCATCATTTGAGAAGAACTGAGAACCATCCCAACCCCATAGCTGCCATGGAGCTGCAGTGGAACAACAGCACAGCACGGGACAAGGCTCTGTGCCACTGTCACTTGGTGGGACACAAAGCACCAGGTCTCAGACCTCAGCACTTGAGCCCCAAGAGGGCTTTACCTGCTCTGCTGGGGGCAGCTTTCCACTCTCCTGGATCTTCCCAATAGTATCCTCTGGGTCCAGCACCTGGATATCCAAGCAAGGCACCCCGACACCCTGGCCTTTTGCTGACCCTTCTGCACCTTCCCCTGCCTGTGCCTGGGATTCCTCGAGAGCCTTCAGTTTCTCCTGCCTCTCCCTCTCCAAGCGCTCCTTTTCCTGCCGCTCCTTCTCCAGGCGCTCCTTCTCCCTGTCCCTCCTGCTCTTGCGTCTGGATAAATGCCTGCTCTGCTCTTCTGTCCTCTGACACACCTCCTCCTGGCTCCAAGAGGACACCAGAATGCCCTGAACTCTGTCCCAGTTTGATAAAATATGTGCGATATCTTTCTGTGACGCCTCATAGATCTTAAACCTCGTGGCCAAGATCTTCTCGCTGTCGCTCAGTGTCTTCTCCTTGGCTTCCTCCTGCTCTGTGGTGCTGGGTTGCAGGGGCGCTGCTGGGCTGGCATTCGTCAGGGGGACCTTGTTACACTTTTTCTTCTCATCCTTGTCACCTACAGCAGAGTCTGGGTGCTCCTTTGTAGACCCCTTTTTGTCCACCCCATCGCTGGTGTCTGAGCGGTTGCTGGTGGACGCGTTGGTGTTGCTGGTGGATGCGGTGGCATTCTGGGCAGGAGAGGAGAAAAGAAGTATTTCAAAGCACTGAATCAGTTCTTGTGGGATGCTGATGATCATTGCAATAGTATAACCACTCACCTGTCTGCCTCCAGGCTGGCTTTTCTTCCCCAAGACACTGTCTTTTTCTTTTCCAAGCTCTCTCCTTCCCCGCTTGGACTTCTTCTTCAGCTCTTCTTCCTCCTTCAAGCGCTCTAGTTCCTGCCTCTGCCTTTCCTCAAGCTCTCGAGCCAGCTGCTCCATCCTCCTTCAGCAAGTCAAACAGAATACATCACTGAGAGTCACGACAGAATGACATGGATTGTGCCTGCCTGCCTATGGCCAAATTCAGGACCTACTGGGGGTCGGTCTCATCTCCCAGGTAATAATGATAGGATGAAAGGTGGCCTCACATTGCACCAGGGGAGGTTCATGCTGGGTATTAGGAAGAATTTATTCTCCAAAAGATTGGCGAGGCACTGGCACAGGCTGTCACCATCCCTGGAGACGTCCCAGAACCATGGGGATGTGGCACTGACGAATGTGGTCAGTGTGCATGGTGGGGGTGGGCTGGGGTTGGACTGGGGGATCTGAGAGGATCCTTTCCAACCTTAATGTCTCTGTGACTCTAAATTGTGCACCTCCTCTAATAAGGTCCGCCTGGAACGAAGCTCTACGTGTTCTCCTCCCCTGTGCTCTGCCCTGAGAGGGCCATAGCCAGAGTACTGGTCCCAGTTCTGGGCTTCCCAGCTCAAGGCAGACAGGGAACTGCTGCAGAGAGCCCAGCAGAGGGCTGCAGAGATGGTCGGATTCTGGAGCATATCCTGTACGAGGAAAGGCTGAGAGCCCCAGGTGGATGGGGCCGGGTTCTTTTCAGTGGTGCCCAGCAACAGGACAACCATTCAATCAGAAAGCAAAAGCTGCAGTAATTGCCCTCCTGCAAAACAGGCTCTGAGCAACTACACTTTACCTAGCTATTGCTCTAGGAAACTTGTGCTGTCTGTCCTGAAAATCAGAGCCATTTGAAGCAGCCCTAGTCATCTTCCCTGGGGAAACAAGCCTTGACAGAACAAAGAGCAGAGACCTGCTGCGGTGTCACTCAACCAAATCTCCAGCAGCCTGCCTGCACCCAGCACAGGGAAGGGAAGAGGGCAGCAGGTGGGTCAGGAGCCCCACGTGGGATGGGAAGATGGGAATGGGGGAGCCCTTCAGGGACACCATACTGGAGAGCTGCCCATGTAAAGCTTACAGACCTCCTCCTCTCACGCTGGACTTGTAGTATATGGTCATCAAACTGAGCTTTCTGCTCCTCAGTGAAGGCATCGTACTCCTCCTCATCCATCTCCTGAAGGCGTGCTTTCTCTCTCCTGGCAACTTCTTCCTGCTCCCGTTCTTCCATGCACACACGAGAAACCATCAGCAGATACACACAGGGCTTGGTGCTGGGGATGAGCACACAAACCTTCCCAGACCCTCCAGGATAAGCTGATAGTGGGGAGCCCCAACACCTGCTGTGGTTTGATAATGCCTCAGAGTGCTGCTTTGCAAGAACCACGTCCCAGCATGGAGGATGCACGGAGGATAGGTACCATGCCATGAGAGCCTGCACTTGCACCCAAGCTTTGGAGACACAGATTGAAAGGCAGGTGTTTTGCATATCATGAAGACATACTTGAAGCAACTGTGAGGTGAGTGCTGGCTGTGCTGAGGCAGAAGGTTGGATATTAAGAAAAACTCCTCTGAAAGAGCATTTGGGCACTGGCACAGCTGCCCAAGGAGGTGGGAGTCACTGTCCCTGGAGGTGTTCATGGGCCGAGGGGACACGGCACTGAGGCATGTGGGCAGTTGGGACTAGGTGACCTTAGAGGTCATTTCCAACCTCAGTGGAGGTTGGTATCATAGAGTATCATAGAACCATGATACTAAAGGAAGGATTAAAAAAAACCCAAACATTTCTTACAAGTTCTGTTGGTTATGTCCAGGTGGACAAGATGGTAAGGCTGAGAGCTTGAGAGGACATTTGAGAGGTATGGAGATGATTCTCACCTTCCTGCTCTTTTGCAGCCATCTCTTTGGCTTTCCAAGAGGCATAGTCCTGGAACAGGTTCACAAAATAGATGTAAGGACGGTTGTTGACAGCTTTGAGCAGGCAGAGGAGAGCAGACGCCATGCTGCGTGCAAAGAGGGTCTCCAGGCCATCAAAGATCACTCCCTGGTAGCAGTCACTCAGCTGGGAATAAAGCAAAAAAGAGGAAGAGAGAGAGTCAGCAACAGCATGCACTAGGCTCTCAGCTTGGCAATAAATGCAGATGTCCAAGGACACAAGCCATCTTGTTGTCATCACCTGGGAGCTGGTACTCCAAACCACGGAATCACAAAGGTCAGAAAGACCACTAAGATCGCCTAGTCCAGCCATCCTTCCATGCCTAATTGCTCTAGACCAAGTCCCCCTCTGCCACATCCACCCTTTTCTTGAATACCTCCAGGGATGCTGACTCCCCATCTCCCTGGGCAGCCGTGCCAGCACGTTTCTACTCTTTCAGAGATACATCAGCTCAGACAAGCTCTTGCGCTCTGCCAACTGATGGCATCTGCATCTTCACCAAGATGCTGGCAGCCCAGGACTCCCTCCAGCTGTCCCCTCTCAGTGCCTCCCACCCTCCTGACCCCCAAAGCAGAGGACATGCCATACCTGCAGCCTCTCTGACAGGATGGCTCCCAGCACGTCCTCGGGCAGCACGCAGCTCATCAAGCCTGCCTCTCCTGCCGTGCTCCCTTCAATGCTCAGCCACCGCTGTGTGGGGACGCAGGGAAGCAGCGAGAGGTGATGAGAGCTGGAGGAGCCCTGCAGAAGACAAATTAAACCCCTTGGAAGAACTCCAGGCAACTCCAAGCACTCGGAGAGAAGGTCTGAGGTAGAACAAAGCTGTGAGGTGAGGGATCCAGGAGAGAACCCTGGGGGACACATCCCTGGGACAGCAGCAAACACAACTTGTAACACAGCATCCTGCAAGCTGCCATGCTGATCAGGGCTGCACCTTGCCAGCAAGACACATGGCCCAGCAGAGGTTTTCTTCCCACCCTGAACTATACCCAGCGCTACTCAAAGACACTCGAAAGGTCTCGTGAATCACCAGGGCGATCATTCTTCACCTGTGAGCCTGCTGGGTCTGTGAGATGCTGTTTCTGGGACTGGGACGCATGGTTTTCTGATTTCCTCCTGCCTGTTGCTGCACTCGCCCGGCTGCGGGAGCTGACGGAGTGCAGGCTGGTCTTTTCCCCAGAGCTGGACTGGCTCATGTCCAGGCTGCGCCTGGGCTCAGCACCGAGCTGAGGGACGGATGGGTCTGTGCTTTGACCTGCAGAAGGGACAGAAGCTCAGCAGGGCCTAGAGATTGGCTTTTCAAGCCGTTCAATGCACAACACTGTGTCCTTCCTAACACACAGGCAGCACCAGTTAGCCATAAAATCATAAGATCATCAAGGTTGGAAAAGACCTCTGAGATCATCTAGTCCAACCATCCACCTACCACTCAATACTAAATAGTACCACTAAAAAAAGCTGTGTGGTATGTCCCCTAGAGATCAAACCAAGGGTTCACCCTTCAGGACCACTGTTTCCACACCCTACATTCTCCTACAGATACTACCACGCTCAGCCTTGCCCCAGCTGCCACCACCAATCTCCACTGGAGCTACATTTTCCATGCTGGATATCCCAACCCATCCCATCTTCTCCCAACCCAAGTCTTGGCAATGCAAAGCTTTCCTTTAAAGCTGATGCCTGCCCTCAGTCTACACTTCTTCTTGGAGCACCAGCTGTCCAACAAAACACCTTAAAAGTTGCTGGTCTCATGTGGGGAACAGCATAACATCCATGAGCTGATGGCATAAATATGAAAAATCTCTGGAGAAAAGAGTCAGTCTGCAGCATGCCTCTCATCTGAAGCTCCTCGGGGAGGCTATTCTTCCCTTTCTCTCATGTTTGTGAAATCACTCTCCAAGCCAGGCACCTAGTGCTTAATGAGCCACTTCACAGGGCTTGTTCCTCGTTAAAACAGGCAGCAGCTCTGCCTGATGGCCACCGAGAGCTGGCTGAATTTAGCTTTGAGGAAATAATAAAAACCCTGAGAAATATGCAGGTGTGCTTCACCACTCTCAGGAAAAGGGACATGTGCTAAGCAGCCTGCAGGCAGCAGGAAGCGTCCCTGTGTGAGCCCTCGAAATGAAGAGATTTCAAACAACTGGAGAGGGTTTGCGAGCTGGCTTTGCTCTTCTACACGCTGCCAACTAACAGAGCCATAGAATTGCAGAATGGCTCAGGTTGGAGAGATCATCTAGTTCCAGCCCCTTGAAGCTGGTAGGGCTGCTAATCATAAATCGGGCTGGCCAGGGCTCTGTCCATGGCACTGGGCACCTCCTAACTCTCTGGGCAGCAGCTCACATGGAGTAATTCAGTAGTCACGGGTGCTCGGGGTGGCTCTGACCACACGTCTGCACATACCAGCATCCTCCGTCTCCTTGTGGCTCTGCTCTATGGCAGCCCTGAGGCACAGCTCCCTCGCACGGAGCCCAGCTGAGCTGCTCCTGTCGGAGATGGCCTCCATCACCAGTGAGTCGATGGACAAGCAGGCTGTGCCATAATATCTGGAGAGGGCGACCGCAGCCGATGTCTTTCCTTGGGGGAGAGGAAGGCTTACATGGTGACACCGGCATGGGAAACCGAGGGGGAAGCAGCCTGAACGTGACTGGAAATGTTGTTCTATAGAGGGAGATCATCTCCAGCTCACTGCCACCCCAGGGCTTTGTCCCATGCGGTCACCTCAATGCTTGAGCCCCATCCCACCACCATTACTGTCTCACAGGGCTCCTCACGCAGCAACTGAGGCATGTTGGTGAGGGTCAGGCCTTCTGAAGGCCACAAGCCAACACGCTCCCATGAGGCAACATGGCTAAGGCCACCTAGTTTGGGGGGACACAGCCCAGCCGCACAGACACAAGATGAGCCACTTCCACCAGTTAGGGGAAGGCCTGGTGCTGCTTCCCACCTTTGCAGATCCACAGACACCTGACTTCCAGTGGCAGCCCACCAGGATGCCTCTCGCCCTGCTCCTCCTCCCCTGTGTGGCACACGCACCAGTCAGGGGTGCCCCGTGGATGATGATGGCGATCCCTTGGCGGTTTTGGGCCTCAAGGCTCGCAGGAGAGATATCAATGCCCAGGTGGCGGGCGATGGCTCTGAGGACAGGGCTGTCATCCAGTTCTCCTGCAGCCTCCTTGCTGCTGCTGGCGCTCTGCTGATGCTCTGCTGGGCAGAACACGGTACCAACATCAGCCTCCTGCACACCACTGATACTCAAACTCTTCGCCATCCCCTCATGTCCTGGGAGAGGAGACCCCGCTGACTCCAGTATCACACCTGGGGCTTCCCCATGCTCTTCTTGCATTTAGGGTCTGCCTTCAATTGCTGCTGACAAGTCCCATTTAGAATGCAGCAAATGGAGTGGCAGAAAGGGGGAAGCACAGGCATCTCGTGATGCCTAAAGGCCCTTCTGTCACAGTGGACACAGAAGAGGCAATAATCACAGGGCTCTGACCTGCTCCGTGTCTTTTCTCAAGATCCTCCTCTTCTTCTCCCCTTTCAGATTTAGAGTCCACCTTGTTGGACTGGCTTTCATCAGAAGTGGAGGGAGGAATGACTGAGTAATGACATGAGAGGGTGTGAATGATCTCAGCAGAGTGCTTTCCTCCCTGATCCGAGAGAAACTGGACATCTTCTCTGGTGGCTGAGGAGGAAAGACAAGGAGAAGGCTGATGATGATGAACGTGGCCAGTCAACCTGCTCTTTGCCATTTGTCCCTTTACACAGCCATATGTAAAAAGATGGAGAACCCCCCACGAAGCGAGATGCCCAAGGCACTCAGAAACCTGTCTCTGCCTTGGGGGAAGCTTGAGTTTGTGCTTTTGTTGCTTGGAAGGAGAAAATTCAACATACTGGTGATGGTGAACCTGGTTCTACTGGTTGAGGAGCTCACTCAAATCTCTGTGGGTAAGACACATTCAGGACAGCCTCACCATTTTCCTGGCCTGCTGGATCCCCAGTCCTGGACTTGGCCTGCTCATCCTGCAGCCTCTTCTGGTCCTGGTAGTATTCCAGCACCTCCGGGGGCAGCTTCTCACCAGGGGCACGTGGAGGCAGCAGTAGGGTATGGCGGCCATCATAGTCCTTCAGCATCCGCAGGATCTGCATGCATAAGGGAGAGAAACCAAGCAACATGTGAAGAAGACTTGACCATGAAAGGCCACCAGACCTTGCTTTGGGGGCTTCCCACATTTCTTCAGGGAACTGAAGTACTACAAAGCCATGGCATGGGGACCAGACCTCCTCACCTGCTCCTCAGCAAGGTACTGCTGGTCAAACTCCAGTGAGTAAAACTCAATGGGGAAGTCGCATGGGTTCTTCACTACCACTGTCCCTGCTGCCCCACTGCTGTATGGCAGCAGAGGTCCCAGCTCAAGCAGTGGGGGGTCGAACTCCAATTGTGGCTCCAGCCCATACCCCGAGACTTGCAGCTGCAGAGGCTGGCTGCTCTGGCAAATGTTAATCCTCAGCTCGCATCTGTAGGATCTCTAAAAGAGGGTTATGTTGCTCAGACACAGACCTGGCACTGCTGCACCAAGCAGCAGAATCAGGTAGAGACAGACGAGCTCTCACTAGCTAGAAACATCTCTGCTCTGGTCAAAACATGTTTGACTCTGGTCAAAGCCACAGATAAGATGGTTACATCTCAGCTAGCTTGTGACATTGCTGGGAGCACTGCAGGCACATAAGCATCCGTGTCCATAATGCCTCCTGCTAACAGGCTCCAAATCAGGTGTAATCTAAGGTTTCCTAGCTCATGCTGTCTCCCAAAGTGCCTGGGATCACTGGCACCACAGTGGTGTGGATGTCTGTGCTGCCATGCCCAGCCACGCATCTGATCAGTCTGCTGTACTGGCAGGATCAGCGCAGAGCAGCCCTTCCAAGGCTCAGCCTGCAGTGTGCTCCTTCTCCCTATGCTTTCATTACAGCTCTGCCCATCTCACCTCTTCAGTGGGTGTAAACCTGACCCGCATGTTGCATCGCTGCCCTGGGGCGAGGTCCCCAGCCAAGGGCAGCACCTCGAAGACACAGGGCTTGGCCTTCAGCTCCTGCTGCAGCTTCCGTCGCACGCTTGCTGGCAAATGTTTATCCACCTGGGCACAGAAATCAACCTGTGAGGCTCCTGTGGCCTGTAATGATGGACACAGCATTCCTGCAGGTCTCAGACACAGTGCTGGGGACAGGAAGGCATGGGCGCAGATGGCAGACAAGAGGAACACCAGATAGGGAACAGTTTGAGATGAACCAGCCTTGCCCTGTACCCTCCAAAGGCTTCGTGAGTAGTAGCCTAAGTGCTCAGACACTGATAGGGTGCAAAAAAGGAAACAGAGGCCAAGGAAAACCAACTGATAAGCTACAACGCCGTCCCTGCTTTATAGAATCATAGAAGTCATAGGATCATTAAGACCCATCTAGTCCAACCATCAACCCATCCCTCCCTGCCCACTAAACATTACCTTCTTAACAGGCTCCTTCAAGGTAATGAACCATTTACAGGGCACCTGGATCTGATTGTAGAGCTGGATGGTTTCCTCCTGACACTGCCCACACTGGACAGTGGAGAACTCCAGGCTGTCCCTGGAGATGCAGAGGGATGGCATAGTCACGCAGGCACGAAGGCAGAGGTGAAACGTGGGGCCTCCTGTGACCTGGTGAAGAGCAGAGTGTCCAGCCGAGAGCCCAGGTGGGTCCTGCTGCTATGTCCTGCCTGACACAGGTGACAAAAGGTGGTACCTTGATGGGCAGCAGCACATCTGCTGCTCCCAGTGGCACGTTGGCGCTCCGTGGGTCGAAGCGCACCTCGAACGTCTCGGTCTCGCAGTATGGGAGGTTTGTCACACGGTCCAGCTCCACAGTGAAACCTTCAGACAGAGCAGCTGAGATGAGTGACCAACACATCAAAAAGTCATACAGGTGTGGCTGCTCTGTGAAGGGGTCCCTTTCACCTCCAGGAAAGACTCGCTGCCCTGTGTTACAAGGAATCCTTCACCAGGCACCCCAAGGATGCTTGGTGACCTCCTCAGAAGGGATATCCAGCTACAGCTCCCTTATTCAATGGAGGAACAACAACTTGGAGGAGGCATTCATTCATCTCATGGTGACTCAACATGGCGTCTCATGGCATGGTGGATGACAAGCCTTACATCAAAGCCTCCTCTGGAAGCCTATTTTGATGGAAAGGAAGACCTCAGAAGCTCTTTCCTCATGAAGGATGAACAGCGGCGTTACGACACTATGAACCAAAGCATTCCTCAACCACAAAGGGTCCCTCTATTTGCAAAGCAAGCCCACAGAATGTACAAAACCTCTTGGTAGCCATGAGCTGGAGATGCTGAGAGGCTTCCCAGGTGATGGGGCCATCTCAGCCCTGCAGCCAAGCATTTGGGCAGCAGGTGGGCCTGGACTCTGTCCAGAAGAACTCAGGCTCTACACCACCAAGCATGGGGTCCTGAGGAGGAGCAAGCTGTACAAGAAAGCACTCAAAACCCTCCACGTGTCCAGGGGCCATACACAATCAGAAATGGTGAGAAGCACCTCCATCCCACTTGCCTGTGTCGCGCAGGACGCGTCCATCTGCACAGAAGGACACGGGCAGCTGCCCAGTGTTGGTGATCTTCACAATGTGTGCATGCATGTTACCAAGAATGACGTAGCCAAAGTCCAGGATGTATTCAGGCAGCTGCACCCTGAAAGTAGGAACAAGGAGAGTTTTTAAACCATTTCTCAGCTAGCAGTGAGACCTTAACGAAAAGCAGGTTAGTTTTAAATGGTGTAAGTGCATGGATACGGGTCCACAGATAGTAGAGTCCATGGATCCTAGCTCTCCTGCTATGAAAAGCCACTGTAGTCCATTGCATCTTCAATGGTCCTAATCCAACTCCAAAAGAGCACTGGTAAAGGCAGTAACCAACATGCATGAGATTCATGGGAAGGTCTTTTTCCAGAGGAATCCCACTCAGCAAAACACAAACCACCTGTTTTGCAGTGTGTCTTCTTCCTCAGTCATTTGTTGAAACAAAAGAGGCCAGCCTCTTTCAGAGCTAGTTAGAAGGGGTGTTGCCCATGGTGATGGATGGTCAGCATGGTCTGCATTGGAATGGAGCAGGTGGGGAACTGGGCACCCTCAAGGCTTGTGGGTGGCCCTGAAGATGGGAAGGCACCCAGCTGCTCACAGACAGCACGGTACAGCCCTCTGGATCAGGTCCTTCCCAGGTCCCTGGCCAGTCCCAGCTCTGCGAGAGTTCCCAGGAGCAGTGCTGGGTGCTGCATGTTACCCTGGGGCACACGAAGGCAGGGAGTCCCCACCAACCTGAGAAGCTTCCGAAGAGCTTGCTGATCAAAGATAAAGTCCTCTGGGAGACAGGAGAGCAGGAGCTTCTGCTGCTCCAAGGCGTATTCCTCTACCAGCATCTCTTCCATTTGCATCTGCAGCCGAATGTCCAGCTGTGGAGAGCAAAGTCAATGGGCTGGTTGCCACCTATCAGATCTGGTTGCCTAGGGCTCCATCCAACCCAACCTCGGGCCCCTCCAGGGATGGGGCACCTATGTTCAGCTATTAAGTTCCATAAACGTGGCAGAATTTGTGAGCAAGCACCCCAGCGATGCCCTGCATCTCCATCACAGAGTGCCATAAACTCAAAGGTGGTGCAGAGAGGATGGATGGTCACAGGCAGGAGGTCCCAAGTGACAGCAGTGCACACCCAACCCCACTGCAGAAGGGTGGCATGTGCTGAACAGGGCAGAACCAAGTTCTCACCACCATATCCAGGTCATCCATGGGTGTCTCAGTGGCTGTGGCCTCCCCAAGAACAACTGCTTCATCTCTCTGGCTCTCTTTCTCCACCTTTTCTCTTGCCTCCTGGAGGATCTTCTCATATTTTTTGTTTCCTGAAGGAAAAAAAATATCCAAAAATAGAAGTGGGAGTACAGCACCAATCTCATGTAAGCTGGGAAGCCCCTCTCCCCCAACCTTGTCCTCTCCCAGCAGCACTCAGCAGGCAGTCTATAGCAAGCAGGCGCTGTTCTCCTCTGAATTTGGATGCTCACTTCCACCCATCTTCCCCCATACAAAGGAAAACTTCATCCCCTGCAGTGTGATGCTAATCTGTCCTTGCCAAGTGCCCTGCTGGTCATGTAGACAATAATCCTTCCAGCTGGCAGACATGCTGGCAAGCCCTTCCTGGGGCAAAGCCCACGTGGGTTCTCTTTACTGAGGAGTTAAAAAGCTGCTGGAGGGCTGGGTTTTGGGGTGTGATACCTCTCAAGCCTCCAGGTGGGTGACAGCCTATAGCACAGAGGAAACCAGGGGACCTTCCTGGGGACAGAGAGGCAGAGCTCACCTCTGATATTCCTGGGCAGATCCAAGCAGATTCTGGGGAAGCTCCCCTCTCCTCTCAGAGTGATGGTTTCTGGCTCCAAGTGCCCCACTTGGATCTGGAAAGTCCTGCAGAAGGCTCCAGGTACTCCTGGTAGGTAGTAAACCTTCAGCACCTGCTCCTGGCTAGGTCCAACATAACCCTGCAGAGAGTGGGAGAAGGAAGGGGGAAGGCATCAAAGAAAGTTGCATGGACAGACAGTGAGCAGAGAGGGGAAAGCAGAAGTGCCAGGGCTGATGCTGCTACAAGTCTCAGCTGCGACTTTGGAAGCTCACAGCAAGAGGGCATCAGCGTGTCATCCTTGTAGGATGCCAGGTGCTCCTCTCCCCCTTGTCCCTCTCACTGCCCCACAGAGCTCTGCACGAGCAAGGGACCCGCACCAGGGCTGCTCGTTTCTGGCACAGGAGCCAGCTAGAGAGCAAGAGCAGCCCTTCTCTGCCCCACAGGGCCAAGGTTCAGTGCTTGTGCTGCCCTGTACTCACCGTGCTGGGCAGCACCAGGGGCACGCCAGGCAGAGGGCAGTCGCTGGGGCTCAGCACCTGGTACTGGAATCCCACCTTGCCACTGTTCTGCAGGGTGAGCTCTGCTTCAGCAACTTCATTAAACAGCTGCAGAGGGACAGAAGATGGGCACTGAGCCTCCTAAGGTGGGACAACGCTAACGTGGGGAACCCACAGCTGCAGGGCATAGGGACAGGTGTCAGGGCTGGGTTGTAGAGGTGCAAAACCAACCACGTGAAGAGGGCCAAATACCACCAAAAATCAAAGATAAACCAGGACAGCTGCCCTGTTCTGCAGTGCCAAAGTCTAATGGCCACTTCTGGGTCATCACCCCACCACTCATCATTTATCCCTGCAAAGTAGCATGCATGTTGCAATAGCTGGATGGGCATGGAGGTCTGCAAGCCTCGGTGGAGCTAGCAGCAAAAAGGGAGATGATGGAGTATGTAGTTAGAAATATCTGAATGGCTTTTAGTTGAAAACAGGGAAAGCAGGAGTTATTCTGGGGAAATTCTCTCCACCTACTGACTGGGAAGCCCAATTCAGCTTCTCCCCTGGTTTATTTTGTTGCTTAATCAAAAGCAGTGGTAAAGAGCATCTCCTTGGGTCTCAGCCTGGAGGAGCTGGATGTGCTAAGGACGTTCCTCTGCAAATCATCACCCTTCTGCCCAAAGAAGCAGAAACCTTGAGGAGCAGGAACTCCCAGCTCTGGAGAATGGAAATGGCCATAAGAACAACAGCTGGGACGCAAGGTGTGTTACACAGATGCTGGAGGAAGGGCAGGGAAAGCTGTCCACCCGACAGAGTTGCTGGAAAGAGTCCTAGACCTTGCTGAAGATGAGGACCAGCCCCGAGAGAAGCTGTGGTACCTGCAGCCCCCAGTCGATCTCTGTGACATCAAGGAGGTAGCTGACAACTGAGGCCTCTCCACTGAGCATCACTTCATAGGTTGGACCTCCCTGCACCTCACACAGCGCCGTGATGTGGACCACCAGGTTGGCATGGCCAAAGAAGGTGAAGGTGACCTGCTGGCTCTCGCCTGGCTGCAGCTCGCCATATAGTGGCAAGATGTCAAAAACCTGCAGGAAGGGGAGGTTGGGGTAGGGAGCATCAAGGTCAGTGCAGAAGAGCCACCCGGCCCTGGGGTGAGGCTGGAGCTCTGGCTTGGAGTGAAGGACGTGGCTGCAGGGGCACTCAGACACACAAAGTCATCCCAACCTCCTTCACAGCCATTCTGCTTTTCAGCCGAGGAACCACGGGGAAATCTTCTCCCATACTCACTAATTAATGCTCTCATTAATACATTACATTAGCATAATTTGGGAGGTCTCCTGGCAGCAATGCATTCTCTCCGCAGCAGATCATGCCTTTAGAAGCTTTAACTGCCTTTGGAGAAGCATGAGACTTGGAGATGAGAGTCCTGCAGCTGGGGGAGGGCTCCGGCTCAGCCCACGTTGCTCCTTGTCCTTTTCACTCCTGGGCACTAACACACTGCCCTCTCTTAAAATGCTGCAGCAAAATCCACTGCAGAAACTTCCTACGGGCCACTTGATTAACGCCAAGAGAATGAATAATGCCCACTTGATTAATGCCAACAGAGTGAATAATGCCCACAGGTGTGGTCCTTGCTCAGCCCTACAACACGTCCTGCACGGCCTCTCCCAGGGCTGGTTGCTTCATCAGCACTGCACAACGCTGCGCTTGGAGGGATGCAAGGCCACTGAGCAGCACCAAGGGCCATCAGCGTGTGCAGGGGCCAGGCAACTGCTTGCTACACTGGAAATGTGGAAGTCAGACCCAGTAGACAGCTCTTACCTCCTCCACACCCAAGGCGAGGGGCTCGTTCTCCACAAACTCTGTCACTTCCTTGGTCTCCACCAGGCTCTGAGTCTCTGCAGCACTCACCATCTCTGCAGCACTCTCCAGTTCCTTGACAGCAGGTGGTAGCAGCTGGAAAAAGAGCACCAGGAGCTGCAGCAGGAGCTGGCTGCTGCGGGGAGACCAATCTCAGGCATTGGACTCAATGATCCTTGTCAATGATCCTTGCGAGTCCCTTCCAACTTGGGATATTCTATTACTCTATGATTCCATCTGCTGCCACATCCACATCCCACCTGTGTGGGCTCTTCTCTGTTGGTTTGAGGAATCATAGGATATCCTGAGTCGGAAGGGATCCACACAGACCACAGAGCCAGGAGTTGGACTCCATGGTCCTTACGGGTCCCTTCCAACTTGGGGTGGTCTATGAACCAGCAGTGACAACCTCCTATGATTATCTCAATGGATAAGGAAGAATCTTGTCAAGCTAGACACAGCTGAGACAGAACCCAGGCACCAATCAAACACGGAACATCCCTGCCATCAGTTCAGTGTGGTTCTGAGCCCATCCACAACTGATGCCCCAAACCTGGACAGGTGAGGTTCTCCATGACTAAAAAAGGGTCTACAAGAGAAGAACATCAAAAACTGAAAAATAAGGACTTGGGAAGTGACTGGCAGACCTTCAAGTGCTGCTTAGGTTTCACCTCATCTGCTCCCCACCACCAGGGAGCTGAAGATCTTCATGGGAGTGATCTTTCTGAATGGCTCCATCCTGGCCAAGGCAGCTCAGATGCTGCTTCAGTGGTATTTAACCTCAAAAGTGCCCTCAAAAGAAGAGAACTTGTCCTTGGGGTTTTGGTCCCTATTTATACAGGAAAGCTTTGTAATTGGTCTTGGAGTTGAGGAATATGTGCTGCTTCTTAATTAGAAGAAGTGTTTTGTGCTGCAGTCCTGACTTCAATAGCAGCTGCAAGAGTATTTAGGGGACATCCTCAGACCCAATTAGAGGCTCCATCTCCCCTAACAGATAAAACACAGGGGAAGGCTGAGTTTTCTCACATTCCCTTTTCTTCTCAGGAAGAAATGGCAAAACTTGGCCATCTTCAGCACTCTCCAAAAAGGCCTTTTGGCCCTTTTATAGTTTATTGTTTGGCCAACAAGGAGTTACAGCTAACAACCGCTACTCACTTCAGCAATGTAGGACCCCGAGACTCTGAGCACAGCTCCCCATCCTCCTTCCTAGCCTACAAAAGGAGCTACAAGGGGATTAATTCCCTTCCAACTCCAACAGAACCCTCTCCAAACCCACCATCCTCAAAGTCTTTCTGCACTCCACATACACCATTTTGTCATACCTGCATTTTCAAAACAAGCAAAGCATTCTAAAAGATGCTAGCCAGACTCTTCTAAGCTTACAATCTCCCTTCTCCCCAGAAAGGCTATACAGATATTGCCTAAGTACAGCAACGTGAGCAGAAAATCAAACTGCAGTACAGACTTGAAGCAGTTTTGGATCCTGCTCGGGCACATCCACTTGGATTTCCCTGGTTTGCTTGTGCATACATGACAACAAAGCAGGAAATCAAAAAGACTGCATGCTTCTAACTCGGCGTTTAGCCACGCTGCTCTGTGCAGCCACAGGGTATCATTGCTTCTGGCTAAGAGAAAAACGTGTGGACTCACAATGTTAACACAGCTGATATTAGGATTCGAGCCCTTCTCCTTCAACTTCATGCTCATTTTGGCACTTCCTGACCCCACCACCACTGGGATCAAGCTCCAAAGCACACTAACAGTCAGCAAAGACATTCCCAAATCTGGGTGACAGCAGAGTTTCTGCAACCTCTCGTTTTGGGAAAGCACCCATCTGCTCTGGGGCTGTCAATGCAATATCCAAGCAGGAGGTCTACAGGAGCCTCTACCTGCGTCTCCAGGGCTCCATCTGCATCTGCTGGCTCTGGGGCAGGTTCTCCTGCTGCTCCCGCTGCTTGATCTGGCTCCTTCACGTCCATATCATGGTTGCTGCTGCCTGCTGATGCCAAGGATTCCATCAGGGCTCCTTCCTCTTTCTTTGGTTGGGATTTGATGAAATATTTAGGTACTGGAGGACTGAATCTAGAACAGAGAATACATCTGAACAGGGACCTTCAGTGGGAGTTCTGCAGGGGATGGACGAGCCGCTCAGCAGGATGAGGCTGATGGAAGCCACTGGGAATAGGCTCAGCTCTGTGCCTGGAATGAGGACAGAACCAAACACCAGTGCTAAGTATTTTGAGGGAAGGAGATCTTGGCTGTTTTTAACCAAGGGCCAAGAATAGGCTTTTAAAGCAGCCTTGGGTGCTTCACTCCTAGCTGGGAATTTGGTGCCTGCCCTTAACAATACACTCCCCAGTGGGTCCTCATGGCTCAGCAAGCCCTGCAGCCAACACCCACCCTAGCAAGGGAAAATAACCACAGCTTGGAGCTGCTTGAGATAAATACTACGGGGTTAATAACTCCTGAGGAGAGGCAAAGCCCTGAGATGGAAAATCCATAACCATGTATTAAATTACCCCTAGTTCTACAGTATGGTTTGAGGCAACTTCGCGGCGCCTCGACAACAGCAATATTTCTCATGCTGAAGTAGAAGCTCTCTGGGACTCCTGGAGTTGATGTGATCATTGAGTACTGCTGCAAGGCAGCCAGGGACCACTTCCAGGGGGAAAGCCTGGAAATGGGAGCAGTAAGTGCAAGATGAAAAGGAAGGAATCCCAGCAAGCCAACGGGTCAATAAGAGCTGCCATGCTTCTGCTTGCTGGGAGACAAAATCCCAGCAAGGGACCCCAAGGTGAGGTCTTAGGAAAGCAAAGGGAAGGGGGAGATGAACACGGGGTCCATCTCACCCACCCCCAGCTGCCTTCCACCATTCAGGGTCTCCCATTGCATGTGCATGGAGTGCAGCTCAAACCTCCATGGAGTGAAGAGTGGGGATGGGAGCGCAGTTGGACGGCCACTGGGGAGGGAGGGAGGAGGCCCTGCCATCCCCAGCCTCTGAGATGCCAGAAATAAGCCTGCCTGTGAGCCTGCTGGGGACACAGCTTCACACCGCTTCCCACACCCTCCTCCCAAAATAGAGGAGCTAGAAATCACGCTGCTGCTGCCAACCTGATGTGACGATGCAGGCTGAGCAAGAGTCATCAGCACCAGGACAGTCACCCAAACTGCATCTCACCACTGCAGCTGGCTGGATCCAAGCAGTCTCTGCTTTGAGAACAAGCAAAGAGCAGCAAGAGAGGAGACCCAGCCCCATAAACTGCAGGATGCTGCTCCCACATTCACCTCCTGCATGTGGAATCACCTGAAACCTCAACTGACCCATTACTTTCCATCAGAAAAATCAAGAAAGGGTCTTGAAAGCTCCTTTTGCCACAGCTTCTGCCTCTCTCAAAGCATTTCCATGGGACCTGGCAGATCCCCAGCCACTGGTAGGGCCAGGCACCATGGGCACCTGCACTTCTCACCTTGCCTGTGGGCACAGAGAGATGTGGAAGGTGCTTCTGGAGGAGGCCAACCCATAAAGCAGCACTCTTCTTTCAGTTCCAGGTGACTGCACTGCAAATAGCTTTCACTTGCCCTACCTCAGTATGTTCTCCAATGCCACAGCTCTGCTCTCCAGACCACCACAGAAGCACCGGGGTTGGTCACCGTTGGGCAAAGGAATCATAGAACCATTAAGGCTGGACAAGACCTCTCAGATCCCGAAGCCCAACCCCCACTCACCCCCACCATGCCCACTGACCGCATCCCTCAGTGCCACATCTCCATGGTTCCTACAGGGACAGTGACTCCCCTACTTTTCTGGTCAGTTGTGTCCGTGCCTCGCTGCTCTTTCTGAGAATAAATTGTTCCTAATATCCAACCTGAGCCTCAGAAAACCCAAGTTTTCTTCGTTTCATCTCCTCATCATCTCTGCTCCTGAGTGCAGAGCCTTTTGAGAGCTGGCTTGCATCCCAAGCAAGAATTGCAGCTCTCCAAACTGAAAGACCCAAGACCATGGGGCAATAGAGAAGCAGTTACGTTGGAGCTACCAAAGCCCCAGATCTGCTGCCCCAGGGAGCCTGTCAGCTCTATGAGACACAGCAGGCCCATGACAACACTGGGGAGAAAGGGGTGCACACTCCTGTCCCCCCTGTGAGACTCCCCAGCACCAGGGCATGACAAATACGTGCATTTCAGATGCAACTTTTTGCTACCTCTCTCCTCGGGCAGCTGACAGAGCGCTGCTGTCAGATTTTTGCCTTGCACTGTTTTTCACTGTCTCTATTTTCCATTTCTTCCTTGTTATAAAACCATCACAAACAAAGGCCCCATCAAGTACAACAAGAGATTGTTTTTGTCAGTAATGAGGCAGGAACCTGGCTGGCAGGGTCCCTGCAGTGCAGCCTGCCGGGGGACGTGGCAGGAGGGAGGGCAGAGGAACAAGAAGTTATTAATGCCACAGAAGACCCACTTGGGAGGAGAAAGGCTCGTTGTTTGTTCAAAGTAAATCAGCAGGAAAAATCCTAGGTAGAAAAGAGACGCTTCCTAACTCAACAAGCCCTTTCCACAAAGGATTTGCTGGCAATGCATTGCTCTGGGTTTGTAGCCACGAAGTTCCCACTGCAGAGGCATCAGGTCAAGGCAGGAAGCAGGTTTAATGGGAGCCACAGCTGTGCAGATGGTTTGTCCTGGAGCATGGACCACATGGAGCATGCTAGCTGCCTCCCCAGAAGGTTTGTGTACCTGAGTCTCAAACAGGGACGGGGACCAAGGGGTCGTGCAGGAACAGCAGTGCTCAGAAGGAGACATGCATTGCTGCTTGCTCCTATAAGAAGAAAACTTTGGAGAACAGCTGACCATAGAGTAGAGTCTTGGGAAGAAACAGGAAGGATGCATTTGTTACAGATGTCTCTGGTTATTCTAGAAAGGCCTTGCACAACCCATGGATGCAATGCTTTCCTTTTTGATGGGAATCTAAAGCCACACCGAGGACCTACGTACTTCCCTTGGAAAGGGGCACAAGTCAGTCCTCGTGGAAGAAGCCTTAAAGATAAGAAATCTTTAAGATACGAAATGCAGTGCTTGAATTTGGCTCTGCCTCCTGCTGGGTCGTTCTGGAAATTGATCCCAACACAGCAGAAAACATTGCAGTGCAGTGCTTAACTCAGCTTGGAGTTATCAGAGATGCAAGGGAAGGGGAGAGACTGATCTCAGCCTGTCCCCACTCTGTACTCTAGGGGAGGAGGAACCACGAGAGATTCATGGCTCAGCAGTGTTGGAAAAGAAGCATGGTTGGCATGACCTGGGCACGTCCAGCCACAGCAATGCTTGGGCTGGGTGACGTGATTGCTTTGCTTGAGGAACTAAAGAGTACAGAGGAGGAGAATAATGCATTCAACGGTTAGAAGAAAAAGGAAAAAAAGTAGGCACAGTGTTGTCCAGACAGAGAAACAACATTTTTATCTCCTGGTCAAAATAAATATGTGTGTCTGATTGATGCTGGGAGCCTCTGATGATGAGCTCCAGCAAGGTTAGATGGATGGATGTTAAATTCCATCAATCTCACCTTCATGGGACCCGATGCTTGATTCTCCCCATGTCAGACTGAGTTAGTTTGATCTGATAATTTAGAATACCAACAGTGCTTAATGCGGACCAGAAATAATATCTGACATGCTGCCCTTCTGCTGGGCTCTTAATGAGCAATTTGAGGTGTTAATAGCTTGGAGACTATCTTCATTTCCAGCTCTGCCACAGAGAATCACATGATGTCTGTTGAGGGACCCGGGGAGAGTATATTAATGCTTAATTAAGATGCAGAGCAGAAATGGGAGCTGTCATAACATCCTCCTCACTAACAAACCAGCACAGGGTCTACACCCAAGACCCACGGAGCACAGGCTGCCATGCTGCCCAGTGCTGGAACTGCTTGGTGCTGCCCACCAATGGAGCTGGGTGACTCAGCATCCTCTGCAAGAACCACTGCCTGTGGGCTCAGGTCCAGCAGAGCCAGCTTAGGTGGGGACAGGGTGATTAAAAGCTGAAAAAAACAACTTGGCTCTCGCATTTCCAAAAACTCCAAGGGGTTCTAAATAATAAGAGTAAAGATAAACAGGCAACCGTCCAACAAGTGGCCCCAGAGGAAATTAATTCCACACAGGCTTTGGTGTAATGTGCTTGTTTCTCTGTTATTATAAAATATAAGCATTGCTCTATCATCAAAATTAGATTCTCCCCTTTAGCTTGTAATTAAACCCTAATCTAATTTACCAGGAGATGACAGCGGCCTCCAAGCAACGATTACAGCCCTGCTCCCCTCCTGCCTGCCTGCCTCCCCCTGCATGACTGGAAACCTTTAGGCCCATTCCTGAAAGTGCCATGCATCAAGAAGGTCCGCTGTTACTTGCTCAGACCCAGCTGAGAACGGGCTGCCCAGAGCCCAAATCCTCCCCTGAGCCCTCCACACAGCCACAGCTAATTTCCACTCCCCAGCAGGTCTCCTGCTGTGAACCAGATCCAATTCTCCAAACAAAGCTGCTTATTGATGATCTGTATTATTTAGAAGAGCAGCACTTCAATGCACAGTGGTTAACTTTCCTAGGGCATTATGGAAAAACCATTTGCTGCTGTAATTAAAACCATCCAGACTAGGCTTCTGTACTACGGGGAGAGGCCACAGCGGGAAGAATGACTGGAAGTGTGCTTACAGATGTGCTTCAGCATGACTGCAAGAAGGCTCTTGGGCTTGGGATCCAAGGGGGAGCTCTGCTCCATGGGGACACTGGTTTAGTGGGCAATATAGGTGGTAGGTCATAGAATCATAGAAGTATGGAATGGCCTGGGTTGAAAAGGACCACAATGACCATCTGGTTTCAACCCCCCTGCTTTGTGCAGGGTCGCCAACCACCAGACCAGGCTGCCCAGAGCCACATCCAGCCTGGAAGAACAGTTGGACTTGATGTTAATCTTTTACAACCTTAATGACTTTACGACTCAGAGGTAAGAAAGTGAAATTCTGGGCTACGGATTAAGGTTGAAGTGTTGTAGGCTCCTACAGCGTCCAGTTGCAGCTGTAGGACACACCGTGTCCCTCCCAGCCTCAGACTGGTGCAGGTCCCCTCTTCCCTGACCGCAGCCAGTAGGTGACATTTCCAGATGGGAGAGCTGAAAGCAATTTGTCAGACGGCAAGCAGACAGCCTTGGGCTCTGCAAATTACAGACAGGACACGAGGAAGGAGAAAAGGGCAAGGCACGTACCTCATCTGGCTCACAGGGCTGCCTGCCAGGAACGACCAGCGGTACCGCACGAGCAGCGGGCTGCAGTTGGTCACCTCAACGTAACGCACGTCCTCGGTGTCGTTCAAGATGCAGCCAAAGTCCACGGCCGTGGTCTCCACGTGAAGATTTGGGAAGTAGACTTCTCCCCGAAGAGCAATGTGCTCCTCAAGAGGGTGCTCAAGAAATTGTATTTTCAGAGCCCGCTCCGCCACCCGGATGTTCAAACCCTCTTCGTAAGCGGGGTTAAATCTGATGGAGAGGTGAAGTTCCTCCCCAGTCTTCAGCTTTAGTGGCTACAAGGAGATGAGATGTTAAGGTCAGGCTGGATGGGGCCTTGGCCAACCTGACCCAGTGCTTAATCCAGCAGTTGGCAACCCTGCCCATGGCAAGGGGTGGAACCAGCTGGTCTTTGCCATCCCTTCCAACCCAAGCCTTTCTATGTTCTGTGTTGATCAGCAGTGCGATGAAGTTCCATGAAGTATGTGAATACGTGGTGTTCCAGGTGGGATGCCAAGGTGAGTTTCTCAGTTCATCCCTCATTATCTTTATGGTGTGTCTGCCCGCAAGCTCCCCCAGCGGACTACCTCAGGCTTACATTTCTGCTCTATACAAGAGAAAAACTGGCCTGCTGAATCCTGGACCTGAGAAAGCTACATGCCAAAAACACAACCACATCAGCTCCATGGTAAGCCCTGACTCCTGAAGAGTTCCTTCATCCTTACACTCAGAACATGGGCAATGGCACTGCAGCCTCAGACTTGCAGCAGAGAGGGAAAATCCAAACTTACCCATTAGAAAGGCAGCTTGTTTCTTTCAGCAGCTCAATTAAAATGTGGTTTAGCTTAGGCCAGGCTGCTGCTGACCCAAAGAGCAAACATCTCCAACTCCTGAAGCTGCACCACGAAGCCCGAGCTGCTCACCTGGGTGTCCATGGAGAGAGGCTGCTGCTCCACGTTGCAGAGCAAGAAGGGCTGCTCCACGAGCAGCACCACACTGAGTGGCAGGGAGGAGATGTTCTTCAAGTGCAGAGGTTTGTGCTGAGCAGTTAGGACATCACTGGGTTGCTACAGAGACAGGAGACAACAAATGGAGAAAGAGTGGCCATAGGCCCCCTTCCCTTCCTGCTGCATTGCACGTTTTTCAACCTCTGAATCACAGATCTCTCTATTGACCACTCCAATTGCTTTTCGCTCTCTTAGAAAGATTTTCTCACAGTTCATCAAACACTTTTCTTTTTCAGAAGCCACAGCATCCTGCAGGGGACTGGAGACATCAGTCTCTTACAGGGGAAGCAAATGTGACCCAAGAGGAAGCAGCTGCTCCTACAAGGCCAAAACAAAGCAAAATCCACATCATACAACTCCAGCTTTGGGCCGAGAGGTGCAAGGCTCATTTCCACTTGTGTAAATTAATGTTTGGGAAACGAGCTCTATACGCATTGCTCTCAGCCATCTGCCATGCCATCGTGTTTGGTAAATGAGAAAGCACACGTTAAGCAGAGCGTGGGCACCAGGGAGGAGAGAAAAGCTTCTCATTAAATCTGAGCTGCTCGCAGGATTGTGGGCTATGCTGAGAGCCAGGGAGCTGGAAGAGAGACCTGGAAACACTGACAATAAATAATGAACTATTTTCTCTTTTTCAGACACCTTGTGGGAGAGGGAAAGATGATGCAGGAGGCAGGAGTTAAGAGACCAAAGGGCACCTGCTTTGCGTTGCTGTTATCGTCAGTGCAACTGAAGGACGTCTGCGGCTTCTTTGAAGGAGGTGATGGGGAAATGCAAAGAGCCAACATCTCTACCGACAGCAGAGAGAGTGGCAGAGAAACAAGAGACCACGACAGCTTTTCCTCATCAATCTGAGCTGCTGACAGCACTCTTGGTTTTCTCAGCCTCCCTACAGGACTGGTGTTCAGACTCCAGTGTGCCACGGGGGATCCTCAGAACCCTCCTCTACACTGAGTACAGAAACCAATGCCTCTCTAGAAGTGGCCCCAGCCTGCTTCTGACAGGGAGCTGTAATCCCACCATTACGTGGGCGAGGAAGCAAGGAATGGTCCCGTTCAAATCAATAACCAAAGCTCCATGGACTCGGAGAAGACTTAACTTTGCATCCTGAAGGCTTGAGGTCAGCGGCCCCTCAACACAAGGTTGAGCACGACAACACAACCCAGCCACTTACCTTCTCCACCCGGAAAGTGATTTCCCTGGAGGAGAGCTGCAGGACAGGGGCAATGAACTCGCACGTGACGTCCACCTGCATGATCTGGGTCTTCCCTGCCTTGCTGCCTATGATGGCATGGCACAGCAGCCGCTCCATCACCACCTGCAATGCCACAGTCTCCCATGTGCCCCACTGCTGAGCACAACCTTTATAGAAAGCAGTAGGTCATCACTACAAAAATAACTGTGTGAAGGGAAAAGAGGGTCCAAAGCCAACAAGCCTTCCTTCTCTTGGAAGCTTAGAGGAAAGGATACAAAGGAGAAACCCATGTAACAGGGCATCTCAGGTGGCAGCCCTCTGCCCAAGCTAAGTGCTCTTACACTTCAACTTCTCCTGCTTCCTCTTGCGGTATCACTTCTCCACATCCCCTTTTTGCCCCATTGCAGCCCCATACAAGCAAGGCAAGAGCCTTCCCAGGGGCTTGCGGTGGCCACAGGAGCCCCAACTGAGCTCACAGATCCATATTCAGCTTTCATAGGATCATAGAATGGCCTGGGCTGAAAAGAACCGTAATCGTCATCTAGTTTCAACCCCTCTGCTATGTGCAGGGCTGCCAACAACCAGACCAGCACAAAACCCTCTCCAGTGCCCTGGTCTTTGTATTCCCTCTTTGGTTCCTTTTCTCTCTCTTCAGCGATCTCCTACAGTTCAGAACTGCAAAGTGAAATGCCAGGAGAGTCCCACCACATGAGTTGCCACATCTTCCTCCACTACCACTCTCAAACACCTTTCAAAACTGCTATCACTGGGGTCATGGTGCAGATTCATTCCTGCTCACTGGCTGCTTCCCTGCACGATTCCCTTCCAACCCAAGCCATTCTCTGAATTGGGCTTCCCCAGGCAAAAGGGGCCGGTGCAGCGATCCCATTAACACCTCAAGCTGCAGCTCACGGGTGCACAGCCCTACGGGCAGACCAACTGCCCTTGGGACAGCAGGGCTGCTGTGGAAATATTGACACAAGCCCCAGCTGTCAATGGTAATGATCCCTGGGAGCAGTTTCCCACGTGGAGAACGTCCTCCTGTGATCACCAGGGCTGACACACGCTGTGTTCATTTTTCTCCTCTGCAGCTCGGTGCCAGACGAGCCCTCTGCCTGTGTTTGTGCACGGAGGAAAAATGCTGCTGCTCCCAGACGCTGCCCCCTCCCGCAGGTGTTGTGGATGCTTCCCCCAGATACATCACCTTGTCTTTCTTGTGTGTTGCTGTTCAATTATTATTTACTTACTTCCTAATCTCTCTGAGCTTAATTCTTTTCTCTGTCCTTCCCTTCCGCCTCAGCATGGGATGCTTTATCGCCTTATCACCTTATCACCTGCTGTTTGCCCCCTAAAGTAGCCCATATTTTGATATCAGCAAGATGGCTTTATGGTAGCTATAGAAACAAGAAAAGCCTTAGCAACTGATGGTGGCCAGCAAGGAAAGCAACCGGCGCTGCCATGGTAACTTGTGGCATTTAAACACTTTTTGAAGGCAAATGCTCATTTTCTCCAGTAAGAGCCAAGGGGCACCGAGGTCGACCCCACAGATAAAGCCCGATGGGAAGGGCTCAGCCCCAAACCCAGCCTTACCCTTGGAGTGCTGGAGAAGCCTTCCAGCTCCATCTCCATCGTCCTGCCCGGCATCAGCTCCAACCTCAGCGGCCAAAGCTTGAACACGGGGCCCTGGGGGGGGCTGCCCTTGGTGTCACCCACGGCTGGGAGGCGATCGCGCTGGCGGAGCGGGGTGAAGCCTTCTGTGGTCCAGTAGAGCAGGTGGGTGCGCCTTCCCTTGTTCGTTATCTTGAAGTGATAAGAGCAGGGACTCAGGCTGGAAGAGAAGTAGAGAAGATGGAAAGTGTCAGGGAAGCTGGGATTTCCCAGTAGTCCCCCAGCTTCAGCACTCTGCTGGCTATAGCATAAGCCAGACCATGGCTGTCCCAAGTTTATCAGCACGTAACATTTGGTCTGTGTGAGAGGAACAGTTTTCATGAATCATTAAGAAAAGACCAGTAAGGTCATCTAGTTCAAACGCTGACCCATCACCACCATGCCCTCTAACTTCAGGGCTCCACACTCATTGTATTTTTCCAAGGTGCTTCCCCCAGCATCTCTTGCTGCACCCAACAGATCACCATCCTGTGCCCTGGTGCTGTGTTTTGGGATGATAAGTGGGACATGGGTACATGGGATCAATGGAAGTTCTCCTGCTATGAGCACAGCAGTGAGAGCCAGTCTGTCTGCAGAGGGGACCAGCAGGGGGTAACTAACTGGAGCGAGACATAAACCTAAATGAGCATTTAATGGAAATTGATTCCTTCGTGTAAAGAAACACTAACTGTGGGCAAGGCTGGAGTAACTATTTTACCCATTAAAAATCTCAGCTTGGCCAGGGAATAAATGGTTCCAGGAGATGTTCAAAACCAGCACAAAACATGCGTCCACCCTAAGGAGCTAAATACAAAAGTAGAAGGCAGCGAGTCTTTGAAACAGACTGCAGAAGTGTTTGCTGTGTAAGAACTCAGCACGAGATGCCGTGTACCATGGAGAACTCAGAGCAGTCATGCCAGATGCAGGACCACAGTCCTGGGAAGCTCAGCTGGTGCCTGGGCTCTTTGTAAGGACCTGCCCTCCTCCGCTGCTTGTAAGACACAGAACCCCCTCTTAGAGATGAGCCCTTTCAATTAACAATTAATTTATCCTGCCCAGCAGGCTTTTCCTCCTCTCGCTTTCAGGGCTGCTCATAGAAAGTGTCCCCCATGCCCATGGGACATACCTGTCCCCAGCCACCATCCCATGCCTTGGGATTCCACAGCTGTGATGGAAAAGATGGCAGGAAAAATAATAACAAATACACAAATACAGGCAGGAGGAACAAGGGAAAACTACACCTAATAACGAGAAGCTCAGCAGGGAAAGACAAGTGAGCTGATCAAGGGCAAAGAAATTCTACTGCTCCTCCAGCACTGCCAGGCAGAGAAGAAATAAAACAGCATCATTAATTTCGTCAAGGAATTGCTAACAAGCTACCACCAGGCTTTACGCTGCTGTGAACCAATACTCCATACTGAGTGAAAAAGCAAGCAACATTATTGCAAAGGGAAATATGTTTATATTGGTAACGTAGTGTTTTTCAGCCAGAGGCTTCCGGGACCTGCTGCTTTGCTGCAGATCTCTATTTGACAAAGTCAGGAAATAAATGCATTATAACTAGGGGCAATTCAGTGACAAGTTAGCAACTGGTTTCCATTGTGGTTGCTTTTGAGGGCGAGCGCTTTATGCCTTTCAAACACCTATAAGGCATTTCTAAAGGATTTCCTACCAATGAAACACTGCTGGGACCTCAAGAGGAAGGACTGACCTCAAGGACCGCAACGCATCCCAACCCCTGAGCCCCTACCTGAAGTGTGGCCCCAAGTTGAGCTCTGGTGCAAAGGGTTTATTGGTGACGATGGTGGTGCCGATGCCAACAGCCCGGACTGGGATCACGTAGGTGCTGCTGTTCTCTACAAAGAGGTTCACGTTGTCCTGGAATCTCATGGTGTCGTCCAGGTTGGCTATGACAGCCACTGACACCTCGGTCTCGGGAGGGATGATGCCTTGATGGGGTTCAACCCTCCAGCGTGAATCTTTGCCATCCTGCAAGAGGAGAAGCATCGACTCAGGGTGGGACCAATGGAGATTTGTGAGTGCAGGGAAAAGGCAGGCTGAAGGTACGAGGCTAAGAGACACAGTAAATTTCACAAAATCTAAGCTATGCTGTCTGGAAAAAACAATTATGCAGGAGTTTGTGCAACTTGCATTTTACCTCTCCGGTAGAGGACCCCCTTCACCAACCCAATTTTGACCAATCCAAGGGATGCCAAACAACCTGGCCCCAAATGCCTTCAGGGATGGGGCACCCACAGCTTCCCTGGGCAGCCTGTTCCACCCTCACATGGATGACACCATAAACCCCCTTCCTGCCCCCACAGACCTTGCCACTGAGCTGCCACCAGCCAAAGAACACGTCCAAGCCAACCAGCGGGTGCAAGATCTCCACTGACATTAAGGTACAGCTTTTCCTCTGATTTGTGCTGACATAGGGTAGCTCGCTTGAAAAGGAGACCTGATAGCTCTGCTCCAGAGGTGAATCTGCAAGTTTGCTACATGACAAAGCTCATTTATCAAAGCCTGGCAGCAAGTCGGGCAGTAAATTGTGCCCAAGAAACTATTGCTGAGGAATAGTGACAGGTTGTCTGGATGGAGACAGGCTCTGAATTCCCAGTGCAGACCCGCTGCGCTCCTCAGGTGGAGGAGGATTTGCAGCATGCCTTCATTCCTGCATTAGAGCTTGGATTCGAGGGGCAGCACCCAGCAGGAGACCCACCAGAACCAACAGGCTGTGCTGGGCCACCTCCATGCAGATTTGCAGGACGGCTCCTGCCCACACCATCCAAATTTCCCCCATGAAGCAGAAATCCTGCAGAGCTCCAAGTCTCCAGGAGCTGGAAGTGAGTGGCCCCATACATTCCATCTATAGGAATCCCCAGTCTCAGGCCTGGCTTCTGATAACATCCCTGCTTCTTGCTTTTCCCTAAGTGCTCTGGGAGACGATGCAATCGCAGTAATGCACTGAATAGACAAAGATAGTGGCTATTTTTGTCCCTGTAAGAGCTTGCACTATTGGACATCAGAGTTCCTGAGCGCTAAGCAAGGGTTGGGATCAATCATTTAATCAAGAAGCTTAGCACCAAGATCATTAGCTCCTCACAGGACAGACTTCCATTGAGAGTAAGAGCTGCCAAAATCTGTCTGTAATCAGCACCAGTGAGCGTGGGAGATGGATGGCAGCTCTCAAGAAACAACGGGGGAACCACCGCACTACTAACAGCCAGTTAATTAAGGGTTCTGGTCCTTCTGGCCTTGCACAAGTCCAAGGGGAAGCAGAAGTCAATAGTCAGAATGCAGCTGTCCTCCTTCCCAAGCAGCATTTCTTTAAGACTAGTCAACCGAGCAGGGACAGGCTGATGCTCTACCTGGGGATCGCTGCCAGGCAGAGCTGTGATGCTGCAGAACAGTTGCTGTTGACTGCAAAGATCTGGTTGGGCACTGGAATAGGGAAGTGGTGGAGTGCCCACGCCTGGAGGTGCTCAAGAACCACAGGGATGTGGCACTGAGGGTTAGTGGGCACGGTTGGGGTGGGCTGGGCTTGGCTTGGACCTGCAGATCTGAGTGATCTTTTCCAACCTTACGACTCTGTGATTCTACATGGCTTCTGACTGCTTGGAGATGTCTGACATCCAGGAACTGAAGGGGCAACCAATTCCTGTGGACAGCCAGGCTCCTGGCACTACAGCAACACCATATTCCCAGCAAAAGCACCAGGAAAAACCCCCAGCAGCCAGAAATCCTCCAGCTTTGCACCAACTCTGCAAAGGGCAGCAAAGAGATGGCAGGCGGACCGCTTGGGTCCAGCTTCAGATGCAGCGCACCACCAAGGGGATGTTCTACAATAAATTAAAAAATAGTAATAATAAATCAAAACTGATGTGTGGGACTTGCTGCCACTGACAACAGAGCCCGATTTGTCACACTTGGTTCAGCTGCTTGCCTCCATCTGCTTCCCCTGTCCCAGCTCACCCCACCAGCACTCAGCCTTGGGGCTCGCCTGGCGGGACACAGCCACAGCCTGGCTGCCAAGCAGAACATTTAATAACCAACCCCTTTCATTGTCCTCTGGGAAAAGCATGCAGCTGAGTCACTCTTGCTTGTAGGAGCGTAATTGCCTTGAAGACTTCTCCACTTCTTTAATTTCGTTGGCCAATGAGCGCAGCAGAATACTCTCAGTTTCCTTAGATGAATAGATGACAATTTCTTTGTTTACCAAAATACAGCAATTTTGAGGGGGGCATGAATTCATGTAAGTTACTGATGCAATAAACACTCTTCCCTACAGCCAGGTTTCAGGCGCCTTTCCCAAAGGTCCTCCAACCCTTTCCTGCCCCTCCTAAAAGCCACGTGCAACCCACACCCTGGGGAAAACACAGCTTTCTGCCATCCTCAAAAGACTTTGGTGCAACCCACTGCAAGCACAAGGCTGCAAATCCCTGGCCATAACCCACGTTTGTGGCTGATGTCACATTTCAAGCCACGGTCTGATACATGGAAATGGTCCTTCCAGCTTTGGCAAGACCAAAAATCAAGGCCCAGTGCCCAGCTAGCCTCTTGTGCAGCAAAAGAGAGAGATGAATTCCCACCCTCTTCAAAATTCCTTCTGCACAATGCCAAATGGTATGGAATTTAAATCCCTTTGACCAGTTTAAGTCAACTGTCCCAATTCTGCTCCTTCTCAGCCACTTGGGCCTTTCACTGTGAACAGCCTTGGCTCTGTACAGCACTGCTTAGCAGCAACCAGAAACATTAGTGCATTATCAACGCTGTTCTTCCCCTAGACCCAAAACATGGCATCATACCAAACACTCTGAAGAAAACAATTCCATCCCTGCTGAAACTAGAGGGCCAGCAGAGTTCTCCACCTCAATGCACAGCTTTGGAGATCTTTCTTCCAGTTCCAGCCCGGCTTGCCTCTCTCCTGGCTGACTCCAAAGCTGACCCAAAGCAGGGACATAGCTCATCTGCATCTCAGCTTGCTCTTTTCATCCATAAGTCAAGTAGAAAGCATAACTTAAGAGGAACAGTGATTTGCACAAAATGGGTACCACCAAGTGGGCAACGTGGCCATCTCCATTACAGCACCTGCCTCTTCTACTCTGAGCAAGACACTTGCTTTATGCCTTCCCTGTCACTAGCCCTTAATTTAATCTCGCTCCGTTTGTTAAGCTGCCAGTCCTGTAACATTGCTGTTGTGAAAATTTCAATCAATAGCTCATTCTTTCCAGTGGGGTCTGTGATCTATAAGCCTCACTGCTAGCAGCCACAGTTTCAAGATGAGCCATTAGATGGGAGGCAGGGGAAGGAGCTGCCCTGTGCAGTGTGCCAGCAGGAGATCGAAACAGCAGCCTGAGCATCTCGGAGAACGTGAGGCTGGTGGATTTATCACCCAGTCCCATAAATTAGGGCTCTGAAAGGCCTTGCAAGCTCCGCAGGGTACAGCTGCACAAGGAAGGAAGGAATTGCAATGGGATCGCAGGCACAGATGCAATCAAGGACAGCATGCAAAACCCTGCAAAAAAACATCGCTTATAAACCAGAGCCAGCTGCCTGAGGTCACAGAGTATTTCATTTTCTCTTTGAGATGGGGACGTGGAAATACTGCACGTAAGACCAAGTCCCAGGCTGCTACAGATCAGTCACGATAGGTTGGAAAACAGCCCCGCAATCACCTTACCATCTCTGTCCAGAACGATGCAGGGATGACAGCCTGGTTGAAGAGGTGCAGAGTTTGGGAAACATCTTGCAGAACTGGGATACGGCCGAAATTCAGCTTACTTGGATGCACGTAGACAACTGGGCCTTCTCCAGTGCTCACTAAATGGATTTCCTGCTCCAGGAAGCACGTAGAAAAGACACCAAAAGAGAAAGAAAAGTTAAAAAGACGAGACTGCTCAGAATGCTCCTAGACTGAGGGAGTGTTATGACTGTTTGAAGCTTTTCGTGCTGTAACAACACAAAAGACCTGGAACAAGTGGAGGATCTGGGGTGATCCCAACTGAAAGACAGAAGAGACCTTTCCTGGGGTGAAGAAACCCATCTTTTCTCCATTTGTTCACACTTGCCTTTGAATTGTATTCATGTTTACTCCCGGTGCTATAGGAATAGCAGCTGTTAATTATTAATTACATCGTTCAGCATTTTTCTCCTTTGCCAGTCTGTGACCTGACAGTTTTGTTCTTGCAGAACTGGCACAGGCTCCAGGAAGAGGAATGCAGATCCCTTTACCAGCCTGCCTTCTCACATCATTAAAGCAATGAGGATTTACCCAGCCTTGCCGACTTTTACCCGTCCCCAAGACCCCAACAAGACCTGGATGCACAAACCTCCCACGCTGACAAGATGCTGTGTGATTCACCAGAAGGCACAGAGCGGGATTCAGCCACAAGAAAAACATAACGTAAAACCTTTAATGATGTCTGACAGAGGGAAATGGCATTGACAGCTGTCAGAACCACTCCTCCACCTCAGCCAGTGCTCTCCTCTTGATAGGAGGCGACTGTGTGCAGTAAGAACCAGAAATCATGCAGGGAGGCTGTACCTCAAAACCAGGAGCTGGTTGAGGAAGGAGGAGCTAGAAACCTGTTTGGCACCACTTAGAGCGTGTGCTATCATTGTCCTCACCAACAGAGGGCTCGTATTAAAAGAACCCTTCATCCATAGACTTCTTGGAAGAGGCAAGAAGATCCCAGTTCAGTAGAGCTGGAAGCACGGTGACGCAGGGAGACAGAGCTGTTTGAGGATCCACCTAAGGCTATAAAGACTTGATGCCAACACCAGAAGGCATGACTCAAGATGACAACAGCAAGTTCTTATTTGGTTTTGTGGGAATGCACTGTGGTTGCTCCAGTGGGGCCAGATCTGTATGCCATGTTGCACTGGGCTAAGATATGCCATCAGTGCAGCATGTATGCGGAGAAATGGAGCCTGATATCTTCAAGATCCCTTCCAGCCTGAGTCACAGTATGGGACAGTGAATCAACACTCACACTATAGGGCAGTCCTACAGAAAATGCAGGAACCCAGCCTGATGGCAAGAAACTCCCTTCTTATTCAACAACTAGAGTGTAAAAGATGCTCAATGCTGACTAGCTTAATGACCACACACGAGTTCAGTCCTGTGCCAACCACTGCTGTAGGGTGAGCGAGGGTTCTCCAGCTGAAATTCTCACCGTTTGGGCAAAAGAACAACAAATTCATTTCCAAGCAAGAAATTTAAAAGTTTCTTGAATTTGCTGAAACAAATTGTTAACCCAAGGGTAAAAGCTCTACAAGAACGCTGTAGTTAAAAAAGAAGCCAACAGCAAAACCACTGGGTCGTTCTAACAGGGAGAAACTCTCATCTTTTAAGGAAGTGTGCCTTGTATTTACAAGAAAACGTTCTGCCAAATGTCAGGTTTTGCTGCAAAATTTGCCTTCCTGCACCGCCTGGCCTTCCTGTTGACTGGTTTACACCACAAACGCCTGGGTTGAAACGTTCAGCAGCATCTAGGGGATTTAGCAGCATCACTTCCATTCATTTTAATGAGAGCTTAAATCCCTCAAACAGCTTTCAAAATGTCAACCTTCCTTTCCGTTACAGAAAGCTTAAGGTTCCCAGCAACCCTCTGACATCCAACTTCACGCTCAGAGGGATGACGAGACATTTTAGTGTAGCTGCTTCAAAGTTAATATCATTTTAAATTAAAGTTTAATTAGCTAAATTCGTTCTAGATCTCAGCTAGGTGAAGCCAGGACACTACGCAAGACTTTTTTGCCTATATTTTGTTATTGCTCTCATGTATGTGTGGCTACGAATAACAAATTTTAGGAGGTTTTAGTCCAGGAAGAGTTTCCCTCATCCATTCCCAAGCTTGGTAGAAAAACACCTCCCTCTGTGTGAGATGTGAGGAGTGAAGATGCCATGAGCAATACCATCAACCCTTCATTCCATGCTCACACCAGTTCTATGTGGCAAGCCTGCCCATAGCTGGGTTTGGAGCAGTGAGTTCCATGGTGGAAAGGTGGAGGTCATCAGAAACACTTGGGACTGGGTCAGCGCTGTCCCTTTGCTTGGGAAACTCTGGCTGTATCACTCCTGTGCTCCTTTGGGCCTGAGCTATAGCAAAGCCATACGAGCACATCCAGCTCGCTTTTCCTGCGTTGCTTCCTGTAAATGCACCATCTCTGGGGACACAGCCTGGTGCAGCGCGGAGCTCCAGTCACCTCCTTCGCCCCCAGGACAAACAAACACTCCCAGGCACGTGGCAGCACCTGGCCCATGCCCACACTCTCCCCATCCAGGCTGCCGTGATTTCGGCACCGCACGCAGCCCACGAGCACCCAGCAAAGCAAAGATTTGGCTTCCTGCCGCCCCAGCCATCATGGCTCATTCACCCACGGAAATCCTCAGCGCGCCCCACCAACCTGAGCCACGCAAAGGGCACCTCTGGGACTCACCAGCGGGGATCCCTCGCTCCCAAACACCGCGACCGAAGCCACCGTCAGCCGCTCGCCCATCGCCTGGGCCTGCAGTGTCACCGGCACCTGCACTGAGCTGTGGGGCTGGATGATCCCGCAGGGCGCGGGGCTGCAGTACTGCACAGCAGCACCCTCCTGATGCTCCTAGGTGGGACAAACAGCTTCTAAACATTTTGGAGGGATATTTCATAGTATCACAGAATGGCCTGGGTTGCAAAGCACCACAATGCTCATCCAGTTCCAACTCCCTGCTGTGTGCAGGTCGCCAACCAGCAGCCCAGGCTGCCCAGAGCCACATCCAGCCTGGCCTTGAATGCCTGCAGGGATGGGGCATCCACAGCCTCCTTGGGCAACCTGTTCCAGTGCCTCACCGCCCTCTGAGTGAAAAACTTCCTCCTTATATCCAACCTAAACCTCCCCTGTCTCAGTTTAAAACCATTCCCCCTTGTCCTGTCCCTCCAATGCATCGACTGCACCGCTCAGCTTGGTGCCATCTGCAAACTTGCTGAGGCTGCACTCGATGCCATCGTCTGTCACTGATGAAGATGTTGAAGAGCACCAGTCCCAAGACCGATCCCTGAGGTGACCAGCCTGTACCCTGACATGCTTGAGTCACCGAGCCAAGGAGCTTAAAGAGCCCCCACAGGAGAAAGCAGAAAGGAACAAAGCAAGAGAGCTGGAGCCCCTTGGGAAGGTTTGGGGAGAGGAGGAGCAGAGGCAGACCTGGGGCAGGAGCGCGTAGCAGCCAGGAACGTCGCCGTCGTTCACCAGGGTCAGCGCCCGCTGGTAGGGATGCTGGAGGAAGCAGCGCCCAAAGGGCACCACGGGGCTGAGCGCCCGCAGAGGGGGAACCACGCATCTAGGATAGAGATGGACAGAGGGGAGTCAGGGACGCCGAGGGGGGGCAGAATTGGTTCATTTGTTGAGTCCTTGGAGGCACCGCCTGCTCAGGAGGCTCACAAAGATGCGTGGCACTTAACACCTGTGCGCTTTGGTTAAAAAAAAAAAACAACTCCCTTTCCTTCCAAACCCTGGTCTCCCTTGCCCACAAATTTGGCCATTTGTCACAGCCACCGAGGGCAGGAGCCATCATCCTGTTCTGGGTCCTTTCCTAGCTTCTGTGGTCACCTTGCTCCTTCACTCCATGGGCTTGTAGCTACCCATTCTCTTCCCATTTGCACTCATTTCACAGGAGATAAAAGAGAGATAAGTGAGAGATAAAAGCATGGAGGGAGCATTTCTGACCCACAGCCTCAAAAATACCACAAACCCACCTGGCTATTTCCACGGGCATCATCCTAAAATGCCAATGGCTTATCGATGGCTTACCATCATTACGGTTGCTGAGTACATTCAATTAATGAGATATACAGGGTTAGCTACATTCCTGCTGTAATTCAGCCAACATTTAGCACAGTGCACCAGGACTGAATTTGGCTGAGACAAGGATAACTTTTGACTCTAAACACAGAACCACAGAATGGTTTGAGTCGGAAGGGTCCCTTAGAGGCCATCTGGTCCAACTCCCCTGCGATGGACAGGGACACCCACAGCTCCATCAGGTGCTCAGAGCCTGGTCAGAAGAACAGGAGAGCAGAGAAATCTGAGCTCTCCCTTCACATCAGGGACCACTTTCCCCCTCTTCTCTCGTCTTGCTCTTATCTTTTGCTCATCAATTCTGCCATGAGCCCTTTCCCATTTCATTACGCCTTCTTGACCCAGCCAGCAGCAGGTCCCAAGTGATGCCTATTGGTCACCATTCAGCACAAGCCCACCCTCCCCCTTGCAGGAAGATGACTCTTTGGAAATACTCCTCAATGAACCACAGACCAAGCCAATCATGACTATAATTACTGTTCCCTTTAGAGAAACACTGAGGGCAGTGTCTGTTGGGCATACAAAATGCATTTTTCATACAAAATGCTTTGAAAACCCTGCTGTTCTCACAGCTGATTTAGCTCCAGCTGGGCAGAACAAGCTCATTAACTTTTGCTTCTTGTTTGGAGCTCGACCCAACAGCACACTGGTGGTGGAAGCCCCAGGACAGATGATGAGCTGCAAGGGAAGTTCCAATACCTGGCTGTAAGGAGAAGTGCCAGCACCTCATTGCCAACACCGTCCACATCCACCACCAGTGCCATCTCGTACTGTTTCACCGTGTTGGAGCACAGGGTGACCTGGCAGAAGGGAACAACAGAATCATATCATGGCTTGGGTTGGAAAGGACACCAAGGACCATCAAGTTCCAGCCCCCCTGCCACAGGCAGGACCACCAACCTCCAGATTGGGTACTAGACCAGGCTGCCCAGGGCCCCATCCAATCTGGTCTTGAACACCTCCAGGGACAGAACAACAACACCTCATCACTCCCTAAGGCCTGTGTCTGTGTGTGATACAAGCTGTACCACCTGGGATTGATGGGTGGGACAGAATCTTGCTGATGGATGCTCCACCAACCTCGGATGTCAAAACTCACAAGGAGCTGTGGGCATTCCCAATCTAGAAATGTCCCATTGGGGACCAAATGGGCAAGGGACCAGAATCTGAGGACAACAAAGGTCCAGTCCCAAGGAATTCTCTTTAAGGCGATCTGTGTTTTAGTAACCCACGGGTCAAGAGAGACAGTCAGAAATAACACGCAGGACAACTAATCCCAGACAGGCTCTAGGAGTGAGACATGCCCTTGGGCACAGGGTCCTCCATCCCACCATAAGGAAAGGGAGGATTTGGGCCTAATTTTATGCTGGTCCACGTACAGAAGACAAACACAAATCTGCTGATGATGGCCGAGTTGTTAAATACACCTTGCAGCTATCAAGGCTTGTGCAAACCAAGTTAAAGCACAAACAGACTAACTGCAGTACAACACCGTACAAAAACCAGACCCTTAATTTTAAACTTTATCTACAGTAGAAAAAAATCCAGGGGAAATCTGCTGGCTTGAACAGATGGAGTGCAGCTTTACAAGGGCAAAGTATGGCCCAGCAGGTGCTGCACAGCCTGTGGCTGCCACAGCTCTTCCTGTCCCCATTAGAGATCACTGCAGTCCATGCAGCTCCTGCTTGGCAGGGAATTAGAAGCAAAGCTAAGAAGAGCAGCAAACTTTTATGCAATGACTTCTCTCTAACAGCCATCTTCTGCCCACCGTAAATCAAAGCAGTGGTTCAAAGGAGCTCTCAAGAAGGAGCTGTTGAAGCTCCTGAGGGGGGCTATGGAGACGCTCAGAGGCTGGAGGACTTCTCCAATGTAGAAAGGCTAAGGTAGTTGGGCTTGTTGAGTCTGGAGAAGGCAAGGCTTTGAGGAAGACCTCACAGTGGCCTTCTAAAGCTAAAAGCTGTCAGTGCCCCATTCCTGGAGGTTTCCCAAGGCCATTGGTGAGGCCTGGGCAGCCTGAGCTGGTGGGGGCACCCAGCCTACAGAACTGGATGGGCTTTTGAGGTCCCTTCCAACCACGGCCATCCTTTGATTCTAACAATAGCAGTGCTAAGCCCTCCCATGGTCAGCACAGTAGCACGCTCCACACCTGCACATCCTGTGTCCCTTGGGCACGAATGGTCCCCCTGCAGGGCATCACGGTGAATTCGGTGGGCTTGGGGTGAGCTGGAAGCCCCATCCTCCAGGAGAGATGAGTGTTGTCCAACACCTGGGCAGAGCTGCTCACGCTGGGGGCTCCGGAGCCGTCGCCAGGAACGCGGAGGCTGAACGTCATGGGCACCAAGGAGGTGTTGCTGAGGCGACACGACAAGGTGTGGGGAAAGCCTATGAAAGTATGAATTTATGCCCGGTTACATCTCGATTCCTGCTGGGAATATCCTGTTAGAAAAGCCTGGGCTTGGAATCAGGCTGCCCATCACCATGGGCTTCTCTTTCTCTAACTGCAAGGAGCTCTGCCCCTATCCTTAAACAGTGCCCGTTGCTTCTCATTTACTGCATTCATCCACACAGACCGAGTTGTTTATTCTGCAAATTCAAGCAGTGAAATTCCACATCTCAGGCTGAACGTTATCTCAAACTCATGCAAACATCCCACCACCTCCAACCCATCAGAGCAGCACGCTGCCACTGAGGAGCATCCGCAGTAAGAATAAAGTATATGTAAAGAAAAAGAAAGGATTAAATTGGGAACTACAGCACTGTGCAAAGCAGCATTCCAGCTACTCACTGCAAACCACGCTTTCCTCCACGTGGTTGTGCCCGTGCTGTCACACTGCTGTCTATTGCAGCACCTGCATTTATAATGTGCTCAGTGCACACACTGTGCTCTGCAGTCTCAAGGACAGAAGCAAGGTTCCTGCAGCTGATCACTGCAAATGCAACACTCCTGCGGTGTTTCCCTTCTATTAGCAGCTGAGGTTGGTGGCAGTTGGCATAAAAGCTAGGCATGCTAGCTCAGCTGCATCATTGGACCTTCCATTTCTACCATGGATCCCATCACAACTGGATTATCTATATGGACTAAGATCAGCCCCCAAAGAGCAGGTTCAACACCTGCCAGCAGCAACTTTGGGCTGAGCTGCATTCACACAGGGCTGGAAAGGCAGCACAGGTCTTACAGGACACCTGCATGCAGCTGGAGCAGGAGCTCCTATGAAAGCACCTCCTGTTTTGAGGCAAGCAGACTGAGCACATAACAACCCTCAGCCTGCTTTCAAGCCTGAATGCTTAAAACTGAGCAGAAAATATATTTTGCCTCAGCTAACAAATGGGGACAGGGCATCTACGCAGGCTTTGATCGCTACCTGTGCAGGTTTACATCAGCAGCTTAATGCTGCCTGTCCACATGGAGCAGTGGGTCCAGGCAGGGAAAAAAGACCAAATGCAGGGAGAGCAGAGTGCATTCCCATCAGCAGTGCCAAGTGCCACCTCCAGAAGCAAGGAGGAGTGCAAAAGGGACAAACAGCCTGCCCAGGACTCAAAGCTGCCAGACGCAGTGCAGTTAGAAGCAAGAAATAGAAATGCCACCTTCTTCAGTTGGAAACACCGCATTAATAAACTCAGATTACATAGGATGAACCCTGTGTTACATAACCGTATTTCTGCTGGGTGCATTTCTTGTTTCATTTGCTCCAAAGGAAATAAAGTGAGAGATGGTGATGTAGGGAGAGGAGAAAGCAGCTCAGAAAATGTACTGAGTTTTCTTAAAAAGTCTATGAAAAAAAAGCCAACATAAAACCAAACAGAGGCATCCTGGGAACAGAATGATAATGGCCCTTCAATCAATCCACAATTGATTTCACATTTAAACTTCAGATCCTCTCAGTAAAAAGCCTTCTGTGAGGTTGAGCTGCGGTGTCCGAATCTGCATTTCAATGGGAGCTGTGGATGCTCAGTCAGGGGCTATGCCAGCAGAGGGGCAGGAGCCCCATCTCTGGGAATGCTGGGTGATGTGGGTCCTCAAGGACAGCAGGGTGTCCTTACAGCACACTGATTTCTCCCATGAAAGTGACAGGGAAGAGATGGCACATGGTCCCAGCTCCCACCTCCTGGGCAATCTCAGCACGCAGACTTTCGTGTTCACTGTGCTCCTGAAGACTGGCAGCTTTGGGTTAAAACACAACACGTGTGTGATATTAACAGCACGATGCAGCTGAAGCAGCCAGCAGCCCCTGGTTTTAACACCCCAAGGGAGGGATGTGACAGATGCTCTTGTGTTAGCTTGCAACACGCAGGCTGGCAAACCAAACCCGGGGTGCACTCACCAAAGGGGACGTCGCCGAAGTGGAGGGAAGGTACATCAAAGTGGAAGGTTGGCCCGATGACACAGCCTCTGTTTGGACAAAGGACAGGCAGAGGGCATTGGTTGGTTAAAGGGAAGAGCAAGGGGTTTGGTTCTCATCGCCCCTGTGTTCAGTACGGCATCTGTGGTGGGTGCCATGCCCCTGCAGATACCCACGGTCAGACTGGATGGGGTTCTGAGCACGTGGAGGAGCTGTGGGTGTCCCTGTTTGTTGCAGGGAGTGGAAGCAGATGGCCTTTAAGGGTCCCTTCCAACCCAAACCATTCTATGAGTCCATGATTCGGGTGGACAGGAGGCAGCCAAAGGAGAGCCATCATCAGGCCTGGCAAGGACCCTGAAGAAGTGATGGCTCTGTGCCTCCATTTCTCCCATCCACACCACGAGAGCTCAGAGGTGTCCACACAAATGAAGTGGAATCACTATTTGAACCTGACTTTCCCCCTGCAAGTCTCCTACTTCTGGCTGGAACTGGCGTTTCCATGGACTAAATGGACATCCTTTCCTCAAAGGACCTTGATCACAAGACACAGGATTTTGAGGCATGAATACAGGGAAGCCCCACACACCCACTGCTCACCACCTGAACAGCAAACATTCTTTACACTGGATAGCTGAATTGTAGAGAAAAGCATCTGCTCGTCACCAGGGCACCAGCAGACACATCCACAAGCACCGTGTGCCTTACACCACCAAGTGTGGGTGCCCTTGTGGTGTGAGCCCAGCTCACCTTCCTCCCTACCCTCACAGTCCAGCAGCCGGCTGCAGACTTCAAACATCACCCACTGAAATCACCATCTGGAGCTGCACCACATCCATTCACTTATGTCATGGCTGGAGCCAATCAATACCTGCTGTCTTTTAATTATATTGCAGAGAAAGGTGCCTTCTAGTTTTATCCACAGGACTGCCATCGTGCCTGTGTTGTACATGAGCCCAACAGGGGGGACCTGCCTCCATCTCTGGTCCTCCATTCTCTCCAACCCTTTCTAAATACCAAAGAAACAAGTGTTCAGGTTGGCATCCAAATAAGAATCTCCTGTGGGCTTAGGCATCTTTTGATCAGGTAATCAAAAAGAATGGACTTTCAGGCATTCCAACCCAAGGCTCACGTTTGATTCCTTGGAACTGAGTTAGATCCTGAGAATAATCCAGGTCCAAATCCCTGCTGCTTCTCAAGATCCCTCCCCAAGGACCTCACATAATCAGCCCTAACCTCTCAAGCCAGCCCGGCTTACTTGCAACAGACAATGCTTCCCATCACAGCCCATGCCAGGAGACGATGGAAAACTACCTCCAAGCCAGGCACAGCTGGGGATGATGCTGGGAGCTGCCAGGGACGAGCTTTGCCAGGCTTCCATTCCTGCTGAGTGAGCTGTGCCTGTGCTCAAGCTAAACCTGAGCAGCTGCCCAGAAGGCTCAGGCAAGCAGCCAACCCCAAGCAACTTGGGCAACAGCTGATAACAGTACAGCTTGCAGGAAATAGAGGGAGGCAGTGGTTTGGGCCACATTTTGTCTTACAGTAGCATTATTTAATGCGCGTGCATAGGAAGAGTGGGGTCAATGTGGAACAAGAGGGATAACATCAGGTGAGAGAGAAACCACATGAGCTCTCATCCTCGTTCCTTCCTTAGCAGCCCCAGGTCCCACCAGGCAGATCTCCCCCAAGAACTGAGAATTCTCTCCATGGAGAACTAAATCCAGGCCACAAATCCCCCTGAAGCAGAGGTGCACCTCGAGCTGGCATCTCAAAAGAGTTTTGGGGCTGGAGGGCGAAAGATAAGGGCTAGAGAGGGAACTTTGAACGAAAGGGGATCAAGGAGGCAGATGCCATCTCCGAGGAGTAGATTGCACTGGGAATTATACCGCAGATGGGAATGTAACATCAGATGGGTTGCAAAGGAGCCACCATCCAGGAATCAGGAGTTCAAGCACTGGGGAGGAACAAAAGCAGGAAGGACAGCTCTGTTTGATTGAGAAACAAGGCCTGCACTGAGCTGAGGGAGGGACCACAAAGAGCTGACATTGGGAGTGAAGTTCTGGGAGCCAGTGGAGAAACCAAACCATTTCATTTGGTGGGGGAAAACCAGAAGGCAATGAAACCCATGGATAACCATCTTCTCAAGGAACATGGCCATGGCAGGGCAAAGGCAGTGGGCACGAGACAATAAAATTGTATTCTACCTGTGATAAGCACGTCTTTCCAAGCAAAATCTGCCCTTGTTCAAGGAGAAAGATGCTTATGCAATAACGTCCCATGACCAATTTTGGGGGGAGGGACAGAGGAGAATAAATTATTTGATTGTGAAATGTTCCCTCTTGATTTCCAAAAAAAGCAGCACTTTCCCTCCAAACACAAACCCAACATAATTGTTCCTCTACCGGAGGTCAACAGACCTACTTACCGCTCTGGCAAAGTAATAACCTTGCTTTTTTTTTTTTTTTTTTAATCAATTTTCCTCTACCTTATTGATAAATCAACTGCAGATTCCTTTCATTCCCTCATTACCCAGCCCAGCGGTAGGGCTCTCAAGAGTTATTGAGGAGGTACAGCCACCCCAAAGCTCTTCAACGCCAAGCATCGACTTTCCAGCCTCCACCACCACATCGCAGCCGATAGGAAGGACCACCTGGGACAAGCTTGCATAGCAGCCTGGTTCTGAGCATCATAACTTGGAAAAGACCTCTTGGCTCATCCAGCCCAACCACCCACCTACCACCAATACCCCCCGCATCCCTCAGTGCCACGTCTCCAAGGTTCCTGAACACCTCCAGGGACGCTGGGATCGCCCCGAGGCATCAAGTGCCCGCCTCACCTGACAGTCAAGGTGACGGGCTGGGGGCAGCCGTGCACGCTGACCCCAAACTCCTCGGTGAACTGCCCCAGGATGGTGGAGCAGAAGGAGATGTGGATGTGCTGCAGGCCCCCCGGTGGGACCAGGCCCTCGCGGGGAACGAAGGCAAAGCAGGAGCCCAGCGCTGTGCTTGGAGGCACCACGTGGAAGAGAGCATCGATGGCTCCTTTGTTAAACAGGACCGCCTGCAGCAGAGAGAAAAAAAGAAATGCTTGAGGAGTCTTCCTACAAAAGGAACGAGCTGTTTTTTGCTAATTTCACAATTAACATCGCTAAGAGGCAGAAGATGCGGTGTGCTGCTGCCCAGTGGAAGCCAATGGAAACACAACAAATTCTGCCTTTGGGTTTCTTCATGCCAAGCAGTGATGGTTCCATAGAAATAGAATGATTCTACACTTCTTTTTTTTTTCTTTTTAATCAGTCTATCAGTTCCTTGGGCCTTGCCCAACCAGCAGTGTGAGGAGAGGATTGCAATGAGGCACAGAACAACTTCACCTGTTCTCAAGAGCCACAGCCATCACCTATGAGCTTACCATCACATACAAAACAATAATTAAAAAGCCCACTGAGCTCCAGCTCTGTTGTGCTGGTCGCAGTGTGCCCACGCGTGCCTTGGCTGCATTGCTATGCCACCAAACTCACCTGCAGCAAATTAAGCCATCAATTGCCGCTGGGAGAAATGCTGCCATTTCCAGGGCCTTATCTATGCGTTTTGGATTTATTTTCCCTACCTTCTGCCCTTGCAAAATCTGCCAGGAGAACTGAGACAAAAGCATAGAAATGCCCTTTGCTTTTTAATTTTGCAGCTGCTGCTGCTGCTGGAAATATTCAGGTATTCAGATTGCACAATGGTGAGGTGAACTCTTAGCGAGCTGCCCTGAGCTGAGGTTTATCTCCAGTCCAGCTGCTTAGGACAGCACCAACTAACAGCATTGTTGACTTATTAATCTCTTCTCAAGTAAAGGAATTTATAAATTCATACAGCAAGAAGCAATAAGGAATCAGCATTAAAAATGCATAAAGAGCAAAATATTTTGGTAAGAAAACACCTCAATGTGTCCTTCCATGCCACAGCGCCGCTTTTCAAAACGTCTGGCATGATGCATTGCCTCATTTACTACCTCCCTTCGGTTGCTCTGCTTTCTTTCTTTTTTTCTGCAAGAGCCCGGACGCCGAATTTACGGCAATTTCCTCGGCCTCGTTTACAGAAATGCTTTGCAGTTTGTGCAAGCAGCGGAGCACCAAGAGGAGCACGGCGGGCAGCACTAAGCATTCCCAGCTTCTCTGCAGGAAACAGATCTCAGGTGGGTTCCCTCCACTCACCTCGTAGCTGTGGGCTGAGCCCACAAACACCTTCCCGATGTCCAGCTGGTCAAAGCTGAAGCGCAGCCGGGGCCCTTCTCCTTCCCCTCTGATGCGCAGGGGCAGCCTGGTCTCACGGCCTGGGGGGAATTTCCATCTCAGTGCAATGATTTCTTTTGTTACCCCAATACCTCAATTCCAATCCCCATCCCCGTGCTGGCTTGGGGCACAAAAAGCCTAAAACGTGTCCCAAAAATGCCATCAAAATGACCCCCAAAAGCCCCCAAATGGCCCCCAAACCACCTGCCATCCCGTTCTGCTCTGTGTGAAGGTGAGGAGCACAAGGAGGAAGAGAAAGTCCAAGAGTTGCAGCTTCACACTAAAGTATTCCTATCCTTCAAAAAGGGGTAAAAAGCCCCCAAAGGCCCCAAATTGCCCTAAAATGAACCCCAAAAAAGCCCCAAATAGACATAAAGAACCTCAAAATGGACATAAAAAGCCCTAAACATGTCCCAAAAATGCCATCAAAATGGCCCCCAAAAGCCCCCAAATGGCCCCAAAACCATCAAAATGGAGCCCAAAACCACCCCAAATGGACACAAAGAGACCCCAGAAGGCTAAAAAGCCCCAAAAGGCCCTGAACTGCCCCAAATTGGACCCCAAAAAAGCCCCTAAATGGCCACAAAGAGCCTTAAACGTGTCCCAAAAATGCCATCAAAATGGCTCCCAAAAGCCCCAAGAC